GGAACACTTGTATTGCTAACAGAGTTGGCATTAACCAGACTAAGAATGCTTGCCAGCTATTAACTGCTTTTCTCCCACTTGTATAACACTTGCAAGGAAGCCTAGGCTACCGCTTATAGCTGGGGTGTAAGTTGAGAAGGATGCATGTTCAATTGGACCACCAATTAGGGTGGGGAGGGTTGTAGTAGTAGGGGCTAGGGAGTAATGGAGGTCGCCACTGCTGACAAACTACTGCACGGTCCAGGGATGGGGAATGGCCACTTGAGGTCATCTTAGAGACACCCCTCCATGTGGGGAAGAATGTTCCCAGGGTGTGATTTGAGTGGTTTTAGTAGTTCTGAGATGGGGTTGCTGTGTTGCTTCAGTGTTGAAACATTTTCCAAGGTCTGTTGCTTCACAAAGTCCTCCTTAGGCCATACACACACCTAGATATTTGTTGCCAAAGCTAGGCCAAGAGAGTTGTCCAATTTACTTTATATTCCCTTTTTTTTTTTTTTTTTTTTACTTGAAGAGGCAGATATACAGAGAGAAGAAGATACAGGAAGAAAGATCTGTCTGTAGATTCAAGCCTCACGTGTCCGCAATGGCCAGAGCTGAGCTGATCTGAAGTCAGGAGCCAGTAGCTTCTTCTGGGTCTCTCGGGCGGATGTAGGATCCCAAGTCTTTGGGCCATTCTCTACTGGTTTCCCAGGCCTCAAGCAGGGAGCTGAATGGAAAGTGGAGCAACTAGGATGTGAACTCCCACTGGTATGGGCTCCTGGTGCAAGCAAGTTGAGAATTTAGCCACTAGATTATGGTCCCTAGGCCCGGTTTACTTTTTATGCTCTGACATCCTCCGCTGGCCTAGATGATGTATCGTATCCTCCATGTGCTTTGGGGCATGCTATCCACTGCACAGCCACCAGCAATGGAGGAGGCCCAGTTACAATACATGGACTCCAAGGTTAACCACGTAGTCTGTGGTTAGCATTTGAATGCAGTGGTCCGGGGACCCAGTCACCAGTGAGAGCACCAGTCCACCAGAGGAGTACCCATGTTCCCCTGCGAGGCAGACTCCCAGGCCCTGGACCTTAGTCTTACCAGAGGGTAGTGTGATCCAGCCTGGCATGACTTGTAGCTTGTACCTAATTCCAGCACTTCCTAACAGAAGTGCTCAGCCAGCCTGCACTTACTCTAGCTCTTGCATGTGCCAGTATATGAGGTGGCTTAGCTTAGCCTGGCCCTGTCCTCAAGCCAGCTCTCATGTAGGCCAGTGGGTGTTGCAGCGCTGCTTTGCCCAATCCACCCCCAATCCCAGCTGTCACCTGTGGGAGTAGTGGCCTGGAAGTTCCTTGAACTCCCCTACCAGGCTTATCCCTAGTCCAGGATCTTGTGCGTGCTGGCGGGTGCTGCAGCCCAGTCTGGCATGGCCCACCTTGCCCTGGTGCTGTAGCCTGGCTCTGCCTGGCTCTGCCTGGCCTGACCGTAGTCCCAGCTCTAGCTGGCAGGTACTGCAGCCTATCCCAGCCTGGCCAGTCCCCAGGCTTCAACCTCATGTGAACCAACAGGTGTTGTGACCAAATCTGGCTTGGCCTACACCCCATCCTGACTGTCGTACTTCTACTGGGTACTGTAGACTGATCCAGCTCAACCTGTCCCCAGACCTTGCCCACATGTATGCCAGTGGGTACTATAACCTAACCTGGCCTGGCCTGGGCTGCTCCCAGCTTCGTTTCTTGTGCTCACCATTGGTAACTGCGTCCTAACAGGGGAACTCTCCTAATTTCCCTATCAGACAAGCTCCCAGTTGCAGACGTTGGGAGTGTTGGCAGGTACTGTGGCTTAGCCTCATGTGGCCCATGTTTTTAACTTTTTAAACATCACATCAGTATTCACATTTGGGGCCTGGTATGGTAACCTGGTGGCTCAAGTATTTGCCTTGCGTGTGCTGGGGTCCCATCTGTGCCAGTTCATATCCCGGCTGCTGCACTTTTTACATCCAACTCCCTGCTTGTGGCCTGGGCAAGAAGTTGAGGACAGCACAACGTCTTGGGACCCTACACCTGCCTGGGAGACACAGAAAAAGCTCCTGGGTCCTGGCTTTGGGTTGGCTCAGCTGTGGCTGTTGTGGCCACTTGGGGAGTGAACCAGTGGATGGAAGCTCTTTCTTCCTGTCTCTTTCTCTCTGTAAATCTGACTTTCCAATAAAATAAATATTTAAAAAATGCAAACTACTCAGAATTCTAACACTGCTATTCTTATTTTTTTTAAGATTTATTTATTTTTATTGCAAAGTCAGATATATATATATAGAGGAGGAGAGACAGAGAGGAAGATCTTCTATATGATGATTCATTCCCCAAGTAACCACAATGGCCAGAGATGTACCAATCTGAAGCCAGGATCCAGGAGCTCTCTAGGTCTCCCAAGTGGGTGCAGGGTCCCAAGGCTTTGGGCTGTCCTCCACTGCTTTCCCAGGCCACAAGCAGGGAGCTGGATGGGAAGTGAGGCTGCTGGCATTAGAACCGGCGCCCATTGGGATCCTAGTGCGTTCAAGACGAGGACTTTGACCATTAGGCCACTGTGCCAGGCCCAATATTTTAACTTTTTAAACATCACATCATTATTTATGCTTGGGGCCTGGTGCAGTAGCCTAGTCGCTAAAGTCCTTGCCTTGTATGCGCTGGGATCTCATATGGGTGCCAGTTCATATCCAAACTGCGTATAACCATTTTCTTTTTTTAGAAGCTTGTGTTTTAAGATGAATTTTTTTATTTGAAAGGCAAAGTTAGAGAAAGAGACATATTCCATACACTGATTCACTCTTGAAGAATCTATAACTGCCAAGGATGGGCCTGGCTGAAGCCAGGAGCCACAAAATTTTGGGTCTCCCACCTGGATGACATGGGCACAGCTGTATGCACTGTCATTCCTTGACTCCTCGGGCGCATTTACAGGGAGCTTGACTGGAAGTGGAGCACGGGGCAGGAGCTGCCGCCCGTTTCGGACGCTCATGTTACAAATAGCACCTTAACTTGCCATGCCACAGTGCCAACCCCATAAACATTGTCTGTACTGGAAAAGATAAGATAGACAGATAGACATCCACGCTAAATTGATTTACAACACTCTTAGTAGTTTGTTCATGTGTTGTTATCAAGTGTTTACTGAGTAGTTGCTGTCAGCCAGGCAAGGGTAGCATACTAGTGATCGAGTAAAAACTAAGAGATTATCCCATGCGAGGGGCTGTGCAGGATAGCAAGCACAACTAGTTAGTGATTTCAGCATTGGCCAGATGGAAGAAGGAGTGGGGAACGGACACGCAAAGGGAGATGGCGTTCCTTTTTAAATGATTTCAAGTTTGTTTAAAAGGAGAGGAGGTCACACGGGAAGCACGTTTGGGAGTGGAGAAGTCGGGAGGGGATGGGGGAGAGTGGGAGTTGGTTCTGCCTCCGTCTGGGTCTGTGGGAAGAGAGGTCACTTCTCTGTGTCATCGGTCTTCATATGGTCACGGAAGGGGAGAGGGAGGAGCGCCCTGGGGGAGGGGACATTTGACTGGTAAATGGGATTTACAAAGAGCAAGGCGAGTATAGTGTCTGTGTCATGACTCTGACCAAGTTACCTGTCTATCCTATTTCATTTCTCATTTGGAGATTTCTGACTCTAAACCCAAGGGTTGCTGAAGGGCGCAGACTCATCAGTTCTGTGGTCCTGCTGATGAGGGGTACAGGGCTTGCCTGTCCTGGGTTGGGAACCCTTCAGGAGCTGGAGAATTTCCTTTCAGTGCCAATGGCTGCTTCTGCTGCATCTTCATCATCACTCTTGAGGTTGCCTTGTTTGCACAGGAGCTGGCAATGTAGGCAGTCTAATCATGCAGTGTGTGCACTGAGGCCAGACCACTTAACCTGTGTGTTCTGGTCCCTAAAATTGGAGCTCATGACTTGTCTAAGGTCAATACAAGATGAAAGGGTGGACTGCTTGTGGATGCCAAAAGCCATTGATGGGCCTATTCCTACAGTGGGTGCAGCAGCCTGGCCCCCAGGCCCTCTAAACCCCCTGGCTACCTGACTCCCAGCCCTGAATCACTTGCATGCCTGCGGGTGCCCTGTCTAGCCCTGGGGAGACCAGCAGCACAGGCTCACTTGACTCCCCTGCCTACTCTGCCCCGGGAGGTGGCATTTCTTATAAGACTTATTTTACTTTATCCAGAGAGTCACGATATTGTATTGATTTTGAAATTTTAAGTGGCGTAAGGACTGAGAGATGTTTTTGTTTAAATAGGGCCATGAACTGTTCATGAAGGAGTGCTTCTAAACATTGATTTCCACATTTGACCTATTGTGTCCTAGCATCAGTCACTTCTGAAGTTTTGCAGAGTCTATGGATAAGAAATTAATTTTCAAGAACAGTGAAATTTGCGTATAAATATCTTCTTACGCAAAAGTGACTGCCTGTATGACTTTTGATTATGCTGAATTTTTAATACTTTTTAAAAGTAAACTTGGAATATGAATGAATGTTGTAAACAAGTCATGTGATTCAAAGAAAATAGGAATGTGTTACTCTATTACATTTGTAACCCTGTGTACCAGTTCTCATGATGTAGTCATTTGTTAAATACTCTAGAAAGTAATGAACAGTGAACACATTACATCAGATTTGAATATAGATAGGAACAGTGCTTTTTCTCTCACTATTAGCGAAATCGTGTTTGTATTTTCCAGCACATATATTTAAAAACTCATTTATTTAAACTATGTTTTCCCTAAATAAAATTTTGTCCTCTGTAGAGCATTTCAGTGGTTGTATCAGGATCTTGAGATGATAAGCAAAAGGGACCCAGAGAATCACAAAAAACACTGTGATTGTACTCCTCCCTCTTGGAGATTTCTGTATCCATTAAGATGCTGAAAGTACTAAGAATTCACATAGTAATGATTTTCAGACTTGATCACAACTTTGTTCTTCATATGTTGGCAGTAGCTCTGAGATACATGCAAGTAGTTGTTTCTGTTTTAAAGCAGGAAAAAAGGATCAAGCTGTGGAGTGGTATAAGAAAGGTATTGAAGAACTAGAAAAAGGAATTGCTGTCATAGTTACAGGACAAGGTAAGTGATATTTATATTTGCTTGTAGCCATCCCAGATGACACGGTTATACCCCTTTTTCCAAGAGTACATACCTGAAACCACACGTAGAACTAACCTGAGTAGACTGGCTCCAAGGCAGTTAGCACATGACTGACTGACAGCTAGTGCATATGCTTTGTGTATCCTGGACAAAGAAGGGGACGATTGAGATCTCAGGTTTGACCAGCTAGGAGGGCCTGAGATGTTGTTGTACAATTTATACACAATTTGTAACTTGGAGTTTTTTTTCTGGAATTTTCCACTTGGCCTTCTTGAGCCAGGGTAAAGCCTGGAATCAAGAGCTCCTTCCACATCTTCCATAGGGTATTAGGTACACAAGCACTTGGGCCATCCTCTGCTGCTTTTCACGGGTCAGTAGCAGGGAGCTAGATTGGAAGTGGAGCAGCTGAGACACCAACTAGTGCCCTAATGGAGGGGGGGTGACATCGCAGGTGGTAGCTTTACCTGCTGTGCAAAAATGATGGCCCCCATTTCATTCACAGTCATTAAAAAAAAGATTTAATTTTTATTGGAAAGGCAGATTTACAAAGAGAAGGAGAGACAAAGAGAAAGATCTTTCATCTGCTGGTTCACTCCCAAATGGCTGCAGTGGCCAGAGCTGAGCTGATCCAAAGCTGGGTGTCATGAGTTTCTTCTGGGTCTCCCAGGATTAATATGTTGAGCCAGAGCAATAGCCATTTCAATATCTTTCAAATTTTGTTTATTTGAGAGAATGTGATGTGAGCATTGCCATTCATTGGTTCGCTTCCCGAATGTGTTCATCATTTGGGGCTTGGTCAGGCCTGGGCTGGATAGCAGGAGCGCAGCTTGAGCTGTCACAGCTGCCTTCTAGGATCGGTGTTTGCAGGAAGCTGGAGCTAGTGGGTGTCGAACATAGGCGTGCTGATACCAGATACAGGTGTCTCAGCCAGTGTCACAATGCCCACAGCCTTGGAACTGGGCTTTCCAAAGAGAACATTTATTTATCATCTGTACTTTCCTATCATATAAAATTAAAATTAAAATTAGAGTTTAATATTATTTTTAAATTTTGCCACTTAAAGATTTATTTAAAAGAAAAAAGATTATTTTTGTCATTTGTTTAAAAGGCAGAACAGAGACAGAAGGAAAGACATGTTCCATTAACTGATCCTTTTCCCAAATGGCCACAGTATCCAGGGCTGGGTCTGGCCAAAGCTGGAAGCCAGGGATTCCATCCTGGTGCCCAGGGCCAAAGTACTTGGGCCAAATGCTGTCCGAATTCCACCTCTGTGGCACATTAGGAGGAAGTTTAGAAGCAGAGCATCTGGGACTCAAACCAGCACTCAAATGTGGCATAATGGTGTTGTAAGGTTAGTACATCATTCTTTGGATGTAGTTTTGGCAACAGTATTAATAGCTGTTACCTATCAGATCTGGGATTACCTCAGACGAAGTTTCTTTGGAGTTCCCACCAGTTGAACTGCTGATCTCAGAACCGCAACCATGAAGAGACTATGTCAGCCAATAGATTCTGAAGAGATTTCATCGTGCTTGTAACAGCAAGATTGGCAGCAATTTAGAACCGGTGAACTATCAAAGCTGCTTGAGCAGGACCCTCTGAGCGTGCCTCACATCGGGGACCTGGGGTGGGTGGGAGACTGGGTAGGATTTCTCCCTTTGTTTCTCCTCTGACCCCAGATACAGGGGGTGGAAAACAATGGTATTACCCACTTTACTTTAGCCCTTGACCCTTTGTACCCTAATCAACTAAGTAAGATTAGTTAAACAAAAAAAATTTAAAAATAACACTCCAAAAAAATAGCTGTTACCAAATTTATGCATGCACAAAAGGTAAATCTTACTGTGACTGCAGCCTGACGGTTAGCCTTTAGCCTGGCAGTCATTATAAAATGTGTCCCAATTTCAAGTATTTTGAAAAATAGGGGAAAATATCTTAGGCTCTGTGAATTATGTGTGAAGTCAGTGCAGTACTATGTAAGTTTGAACCCATCAAGAGGAACCGTAACTGTTTTTAGGAGGTGCTATTTAATATCTTGAAACTTTGTTTATTAACAACTTGATTCTGCATGAGAGTAACTGGGGTGATACTTGCTCTTAAAAGAGTATTTCTACAGAAATATGGGTATTTTAATAAATTCTTTTTTTCTTTTAGGTGAACAGTGTGAAAGAGCTAGACGCCTCCAAGCTAAAATGATGACAAATTTGGTCATGGCCAAGGACCGTTTACAGCTTCTAGGTACCAATTAATGTAAATCTGAGTATGATATGTTTGTTTTGATACAGTATGTGTTTGAATTGTGTATCTAATGAATCATTTATTTTAAGATGTATTTATTTTTATTGGAAAGTCGGGTATACAGAGAGGAGAGACAGAGAGGAAGATCTTCTGTTCATTGATTCACTCTCCAAGTAGCCACAGTGGCTGGAGCTGAGCTGATCCAAAGCCAGGAGATAGGAACTTCTTCTGGGTCTCCCACGTTGGTGCAGGGTCCCAATGCTTTCAGCTGTCCTCCAGTGCTTTCCCAGGCCTCAGGCAGGGAGCTGGATGGGAAGTGGAGCAGGCTGGATGCCTGTGTGGGATCCCGGCGCATTCAAAATATTTTTATTGGAAAGACAGATTTAGAGAGAGGAGAGACAGAAAGATTTTCCATCTACTGGTTCATTCCTCATGGTTGCAACAGCTGGAGCAGAGCTGATCCAAAACTAGGCACTTCTTCCGGGTCTGTTATACAAGGCACAGAGTCCTAGGCTTTGAATTGTCCTCTATGGCTTTCCCAGGCCATAAGCAGGGAGCTGGATGGGAAGTGGAGTGGTCAGACCACAAACCAGTGCCTATTTGGGATGTGGCACTTGCTTGCAGAGGATTAGCCAGTGAACCATCACACCTGCCCCTGCCCCCCTTTTAATTAAAAAATTTCTAGTGTTTAAAACTCAGTTACAAGGGTGTACTGAGCACGTGATGTGTCACTCATCTCTGCCAGTTGTTCATGGTTGATCTTGGTTTAGTCTGTACCAGGACCAGACAAACTTTTACTTATACACCAAACCTAGCTCCCTCCATGTCAGAAAGTTTTATTTGTTTTTAAATATTTGTTTGGAAGATAGATTTACAAAGAGAAAAAGAGAGAGAGAGATCTTCTGTCTCTGGTTCAAAGGCCAAAAGGACCTGGGCTGTGTGAGGCCGGAATCAGTAACGGGAACTCCATCCAGATCTCCATACAAGTGAAGGGACCCAAGCACTTGAAACATCCTTCTCTGCGCTCCCAGGCACAGTAACAGGGAGGTAAATCATGAGTGGATTATGGCCCAGTGCAGTAGCCTAGTGGCTAGAGTCCTTGTCTTGCACACGCTGGGATCCCATATGGGCACCAGTTCTAATCCCAGCAGCCCAGCTTCTCATTCAGCTCCGTGCTTGTGACCTGCGATGGCAGTTGAGGGACCCCAAGACTTTGGGACCCTGCCACCCACATGGGAGACCTGTGGAGGCTCCCGGGCTCTTGGCTTTGGATTGGCTCAGCTCTGGCCATTGCAGCTGCTTGGGGAGTGAATCAATGATGGAAGATCTTCCTGCCTGTATATCTGATTTTCCAGTAAAAATAAAATAAATCATAAAAAAATGAAGAAAAAGTAGAGCAGCCAGGAATCAAACTTTTGCTTATATTGGATGCTGGTGTTTCAAGAGGTGACCTACCACACTGTGCCACATCAGTGCCCTGAGATAAGCAATCAATAAGAAATAAAATTGCCGGGCCTAATCCCTCAAATGGCTAATCCTTCCCTTACAAAGCACCATGATTCCATATTTGTGATGATGGTTTGTGTCCCAGCTGCTCCATTTCGCTTCCAGCTCCTTGCTTTTGGCCTGGGGAAACAGCAGACGAGGGCCAGAAGCATTGGGACTCTGCACCCATGTGGGAAACCTGGAAGAAGCTCCTGGCTCCTGGCTTCGCATCAACCCCGCTCTGGCTGTTGAGTCCATTTGGAGAGTGAACCAGTGGATGGAAGATCTGTCTCTCCTTCTCTCTGTACATCTGTGTTTCCAATAAAAATAAATAAAATCTTAGGGAGAAAAAAAATGAAATAGATAGTAGCGTAGTGAAGACTTCTGCTGGCAGTGAAACAGGATGCCAGCGTTGTAGGCAGCAGCTTAACCTACTGCACCTCAGTGTTGACCTCAGGTACAGGCATCTTAACAGGCATCTCAGCCACTGGGGTACATACTAACCATAGGATCTCATCACTGCTTCTTAACTATTAAAATTAAACATTTTTTTGTTTTTACTTTATAATGAAAGTTTCCGTGAATCTTTGGTTACCTTTTATTAGAGTGTTAATTGATAAGACATTTACAAATCAATGTTTTTTCTAATTTATATTTTTACCAACAAGTATGAGATGCCAGAGTCTGTGACTTAGCCTGCTGTGCATTCCTGCCTCTAATTCAAAACTTTAAAGATTCACGTCTGAGTATAGTTTATCTCGGCTACCCACTTTCCCTCCCCAGACACACCATGCTTTCTTTCTCAGCATTTGGAAGGATCAGGTGACCTGTTAGCTAACCAAAAAAGAGAAAGTCAAAGGTATAGTGTATCAACCTGTTTTAGAATACAAAATTTGTGCAGCACTTTGTGATTTGTGTAAAAGGGGTAGCTATGGCTTGACCTGTCCCCAAGATCTGTGTCATTGTATTATAAAGCACACATGGTGCTTGTCTGAACTTAAAAACAACAGTTGAAGACAGTTACAGTGTCCTGATGCTGCAACAGGAAAAATTATTATTATTACTTGGAGTATTTCAGCAAAGTCAGTGTGGCAAAATTAAGTCCCTATTATGGATGTGGCATACATTATACACTTCATTTATTTTTAAAGGGCTATTTATTTTTTACTTGAAACAGTTACAGAAAAAAAGAGAGGCAGAGAGAGATATCTTTCATCTGTTAGGTTACTCCCTAAAGGGTTGCTATGGCTAGAGGTTGATGCATCCAAAGTTGGAAGCCAGGAACGCCTTCTGGATCTCCTGTGCAGATGCAGGATCCCAAGGCTTTGCACCACCCTCGACTGCTTTCCTAAGCCACAAGCAGGGAGCTGGAAGGAAGTGGAGCAACCGGGACATGACCAGTGCTCATATGGGATCCTGGTGATTGCAAAGCGAGATCTTAGCTACTAGGCTACTTGCTGGGCCCCTGAGTTTTATTGATCTTGCATGTACTGATTCACTCTCCAGATGTTTTCACCTGCTAGAGCTGGGATAGATGGAGTCCAGGAGCCTGGAACTCTCCAGAACTCGTACAAGAGTGACAGATAGCTAAGTACTTGAGCCATTCCATGCTTCCCTCCCCTTCCTTCCCCACCCTGCATAGATGCTGTAGCAGGAATCTGGATTGGAAGAAGGCACTCCAGGATGGGATGCAGATGTCCCAACCAGTGGCTTAAACCTGTTGTACCATAGCACCTACCTTTAGACCAGATTACGGGAGGTTTTGCTTGTAATCTGAAGTGGAGGTAGAATTGAAAACTTAAAAAAATATTTCGGTGAAAATTTTCCAAAGTGGATTATGTAGGTATATGACACAGAGCTTTGTTTTAAATGAAGAGTGTGAGACAGACCTTCCATCTCCTAGTTCCCTCCTCAGTGCTGCAGTGGCCACAGTTGCAGGCAGGAGCCCGGGACTACTTCTGGGTCTTTCTCTCTCTCTTTTTTTTAATTTTTAAAAAAGATTTGCAATTAATTACTGGGTCAGTTCTGTTTCTAGCTCTGTCTTCCACACAAATTGATGGGTGTTGCAGAGAAGGAGAGACAAAGAGAAAAATCTTTCATCTGCTGATTCACTCCCTGAGTGGCTGCAATGGTCAGAGCTGAGCCAGTACAAAGCCAGGAGCTTCTTCTGGGTCTTCTGTGTGGGTGCAGGATCCCAAGGCTTTGGGCCATCCTAGACTGCTTTCCCAGGCCACAAGCAGGGAGCTGGATGGGACGTAGGGCCACTGAGACACTAGTTTACTCATTTAGGATCCCAGTGTGTGTAAGGCATGAAGTTTATGCACTAAGCTACTGTGCTGGGCCCACCAGTTGAGTTTTGGATGCTTCACTTTTGATCCAGCTCCCCGCTCATGCGTCTGGGAATGAGTGAAGGATGGCCTAAGTACTTGGGCCTCTGAAACCCATGTGTGATTCCCAGCTGGAGTGCCTGGCTTCCGCCTCAGCCCAGCTCCTGCTGCTGTGGCCGTTGAGGGAGTGAGCCAGCAGAGGGAAGGCTCATCTCTCTGTGTATTCCTCTCCCTCTCTTTGTAACACTGCCTTTCAAATAAGCAAAAAATATTTTAAAAATACATTTTTTTAAAATCACCAGTTCTCCTTAAAAAGTGAATGGTAGAGACAGCACTGAATTACCTGTGTTTATGCTACCTTCCAATCTGGTGATTTGGACCAGTAGATATTGAATAACTGTTCGCTAGTAATAGAAGTGATATGTAACTGTCTCATAGTGCAAGACCTGAATAAGGCATATTTTGAATATAGGTATTAACTTGTCCATTTGTGTTGTTATTTTTATATCTGAGTTTTACTGATTATATTGAATATTTTGTCATCATGTGACAACCTTGTAAATCTTGCGTAATTTTTTGGTTTTACAAGCACATTTTATTTCTTGATTATATATTTTTCTTTTTGTTTATTTTGTTTGTTTTTAACTCCCTCTTTTGCATAGAGAAGCTGCAACCAGGTGTGCAGTTTTCTAAATCACAAACAGATGTCTATAACGATAGTACTAACCTGACATGCCGCAATGGACATCTCCAGTCAGGTGAGTTTAGGTTAACTAACCTGTGAAGTGATGAAGCTTGCATGCAGAGTCAATTCCGGCTTACCTGGCTGTGCTAATTCTGCTTTGTAATGGTAGATTGAATTCTTTTTGTTTCTGCAAGTAGGAATGTGTTGAAATAGTCCTTTGATGTAAAACTTAAAACATTAGCCTTTATAGATTGCTTTATTTGTATGTTTTACAGTTATCAATTTTTGTTGCTATATAACACGAATATGAATGATCATAAATGATTAACATGTTCTTTCTCTTGCATTCTAAACTGTTGTGTTTTCTTCCTGGGTAATCACATCATTTTTTATGAAGAATTCCTATGAAAAATTCTAGTTTTCCTTTATATATCAGTTTTTCTTACATATTAGTTTTTTTTTAAAAAAATTCACGAGTAAGGCATAATGACAAAGAAGGAGAGAGAACACTCTTTCACATCCTGGTTCTCTTTTTCAAAGAGCCGCAAGATACACTCGTCCCTGGTGTGGCCAACACCTGGAGCCAGGTACTTCATCCTGGATTCGCCTGGGTGACAGGGGCCCAAGTACTTGGGCCATCCTCCTTTGCCTTTCCACGTGCCAAAGCAGGAAGCTGGATTGGAAGTAGAACAGCTGGTATTTAAACTGGCAGCCCACCGTGGAGATTCCACCTTCATTGGCAGCAGCTTCATGTGCAGCATGACAAGGCCAGCCCCATCAGCCAGTGTTGTTGTTTTTGAAGATTTTTTTTTTTGGCTTATTTGAAAGGCAGCCGTCACAGCCATTTGGAGAGTGAACCAGTGGGTGGAAGATCCTTGTTTCCTTCCTCTTGTAAATCTGCCTTTCCAATAAAAAGAAAGAGATCTTGCAAAATAAAGTAGTTCTTGATTTGATTTACTCGGCCAAGTACAGATGTACTGACTATGTTCCCCTTCCTCTTTTTCTGTTTGTTTTATTTAGTTGAGAGGCACAGGGACAGAGAGGGTTTCAATCTGTTGGTTCACTCCCCAAATGCCTCCAAGAGCAGGGTAGGGCAGAATGAACCCAGAAGCCGGGGGCTCTGTCCTGGTCATCCGTGTGGGCCACAGGACCCCATTCATTTCTGCTGTCGCCTTTGCCCCCAGGAGCTAGAGCCTGGGGGTGGATTCCGGGCACTTGAAGGTAGAACACAGTTCTCTTAAAAAATCGGCCAAATGCTTATCTTCCGTTCCCTGTTCTCCTTATGTATGGTTTAAAATGCCATTTTAAGCACAAATGTATCTATTCTGTTTCTCTTGGCATGGCTCTGAAGTGCTGACAGTTTTATAAAAGACTTTTTGAAAAAAAAAATCCACTAAATGAAACAGTTGTTTCCAAAATAAAACTTTGTGGTTCTCCTCGTGTTATAATATTCAGTGGAAGTTCTCTAGCACTTAAGAGCTTATATGTCTTTCCCTTGCTATCTCGAGTATCTTCTACTTAATTCCATGTGTTCGATCCCGTTTTGCTTTTTTGCTGTTGCATTCACCTCCAAAAGAAGATAGCTTTCTCTTGCTGGGGTCCACTTAAAGGAAGAGGAACTTTATCTGATTTTGAGTCCCAAGCACTTTAGGAACATTCTGCAATGTTTGTCTTGTGTGAGTTATTTCACCTTTTTTTTTAGGATGAAGTTGTAAGAAAGTCATCTTATTACTAGAATGTATCATCTGCAATGTCTAATTTTGAATTCTTGCTAATTGGACATACAAAGACAAGCAAAAGAGCTGTTACACAAGAGAAGAAGTGTGCTGGCGTTGTGGTGCAGTGGCTTAAGCTGCATGTGCAACAGTGGCGTCCTGTGCAATGCTGGTTCCATTGCTGGCTGCTCCACTTCCAATCCAGCTTCCTGTTAATTCTCCCGGGAAAGTAGTGGGACATCCGTGCTGGGCTTTTGTGTCCACGTGAGAGATTCAGCTGCAGCTCTTGGCTTCACCCTGACCCAGCTCTGACTGTTAGGAGTCACCAGTAAATGGAAAATCAGTCTTTCTTTCCTTCTTCCCTCTATGTTCTCTTTTTCCTCTCTGTCCCTCTGTTTGTAATTCTCTTTAAAATAAATGTAAAAAAAAAAAAAGGAAATAGAGATTCATAATGGATTTAGATGTTAGGTTTAAAATAGTAAGTTGAGAATCTTAGCAGGTATAAACTAAACAGTAAAAAATATTGACTATTCTATGTAGAATATTGAAAATTCTAAAATATTGCAAAAATTAAAAACTTAGCAGATGTATTCAAGAATAGATTAACAGTGTCAAATCAAGGGACCAATGAACATGATCCCCAGCTCAGTAGAGATTACTAAGTGACTCAAAGTGTCAGAAAGCAGGCTTGGTCAGAGAAATGGGAGCACATGAGGAAACAGTTGTATCATTTAATTGACAGTTGTGTAAATCCTTACAAACTCACATTGTATACTTTAATACAATAACTCAGATATCTGTAAATTATATATCAAAAAAGAGATTGGATTTGGCACCTCATGCAGTACGATTTTTACTTTTTTTTTTTTAACTATTTTTTATTTGAGAGGAAGAGTTAAAGAGAAAGGGAGAGACAGATTTTCCGTTTGCTGCTTCACTCCCCCAGAGGCTGCAATTTTCCAGCTGAAGCTGAGTTAGGATTTTTTCTGGGTCTTCCTGTGGACGCAGGTCACAAGCACGTAGGGAACTAAAAATCCCATTTGGTTTCCCATGAGGGTGGCGGAAGTCCACACACTTGGGCTGCTTTTTTCTTCTTCCTTCTTTCTCTTTATTTTATTCATTTGAAAGGCTGTGTTACAGAGTAGTTAGTCAGAGAGAGAGAGAGGAATCTTCCATCCACTGGCTCATTTTCCAAATGGCTGCCACAAGCAGGAGTGGGCCAGATTTCTTCGGAGTCTGCTGTGTGGGTGCTGGGGCCCAAGGACTTGGGCCATCTTTTGCTGCTTTCCAGAGAGCATCAGCAGGGAACTGGATTGGAAGTGGAAGAGCCACTGCTTGAATCAGTGCCCACTAATGCTGGCTGCACAGTGCAGCTTTCTTGCTATGCCACTGCACTGGCCCAGGACCATCTTTGGCTGCTTTTTCACGTGCATGATCCACATCTGAGCTGAATTGGAGACAGTAGCTCTTACAAGAACCTATGCTGTGATAGGGGACAGCATTGTTGCAAATGGTGGCTTAACTTGATACACCACCCAGTCAGTCCCAGGACAGATGGACAGATGTTTTTATACGTTTTTTTAAATCTTCCAATTAAAATTGAGTGATCTTAAAAATTGTTTTCTTGGGCAAAGGCTGGAGACTTTGCAAATATTTTATAGTCATAGTTTAACAGTGGAAGACTGCTTTATTTTTCCTTTCTATGACCTATCCCAATGCCTTAATGTATTTTGTTTGCAAGTCTGATTTACTTGATTATATTTTAAAATTATTTATTTGGAAGGTAGAGAGGGTGCTTCTCTCTACTGGTTCACTCCCCAGATAGCCTCAACAGCCAAGGCTGAGTCAAAGCCAGGAGCCAGAAACTCAGTCCAGGTCTTTGATTGGGGTGTGAGTGACCCAAGGCCACTACCTCCCGGGGTCTGCATTCACCAGCAAGCTAGAGTGAGGAGATGGAACATGGTGTTGAACTCAGGTACCAAGCATGGAACATGGACATCTTAATTGGCATCTTAACCCATAGCATAAATGCCTGTCCCAGCTTGTTTTCATACCCTCCTTCTGCCCTGTAAATAGTTTCTTCTACATTTCTTTATAAGAATATTAAAATGCACATCAAAAAAGGAAAACTGAAAAACCATGATTGTATCACTCAGAGCTGAGTTATCACAAACAACTTGGTTTGTGTTGTCAAGGAATCTTATGTTGTATCTAGATTTCAAAGATCAATAGCATCATTTTGCAAGTTTGAACTTGTCCTTTTTATTACTTGTGTAATATTTAACCTCAATTTTCTAGTCATGTTGGCTTTACTTTTTCTTTTGATAGAAAGTGGAGCTGTTCCAAAAAGAAAAGATCCCTTAACACACACTAGTAATTCATTGCCTCGTTCAAAAACCGTTATGAAGACTGGATCCACAGGTCTTTCAGGCCACCACAGAGCACCGAGTTGCAGTGGTTTATCCATGGTTTCTGGAGCAAGACAGGGGCCTGGGTCTGCAGCTGCTACCCACAAGGTATTGTAAGACAATCATTTTAACATTGGTGCTACTCAAAAATGAAATTTTGGATAATTTATGCTTATGATTATGATAACTACTTCAGAGTACTGGTACATTTTCTCTAAGTTAAATATAGATTTTTTTTTTTTTATCCAATGATACCTTGATGCTAAAAAAGCAAGTCTTACTTAATTTCTTTTGAACCTTAGTAAGGTGCTTAAAATGTTTGCTTATTCAGTTCGCTTTATTTGATGGTGTGTGTCTATGTATACATATATGTTTTAAAGTTTTTATTTATTTATTTTATATTTCCCTTGCCCCCTCCCGCACCGAATTCCCCTATGTTATTACTGTAGCATAGCTCTTCATGAACAGTGACATGTTCATCATTGCGGGCATGGACAGTGACAGAGTCCAGCCTCCCATTGTCAATATACACCTAATAGTTTTATTAATAGTCCATCTTTGATCTGGAAGTAGAGATGCACACTGCACTGCATCCCCACAACTGGACATGAGAGCCTCTTTTTTTTTTTAATTTATTTTTATTATTTTTTATTGGAAAGGCAGATATACAGAGAGGAGAGACAGAGAGGAAGATCTTCCGTCCGATGATTCACTCCCCAAGTGAGCACAACGGCCGATGCTATGCCGATCCAAAGCCAGGAGCCTCTTCTGGGTCTCCCATGCGGGTGCAGGGTCCCAAAACTTCCGGCCGTCCTCGACTGCTTTCCCGGGCCACAGGCAGGGAGCTGGAAGGGAAGCAGGGCTGCCGGTATTAGAACCGGCGCCCATATGGGATCCCGGGCGTGCAAGGTGAGGACCTTAACCACTTGCGCCACCGCGCCGGGCCTCATGATAGCCTCTTAAGTGAAAAGCCACAGTACAAAATCAGCCACAGGAAGAAAAATAGAAATTTACAACACCATGAATTTCTCTAAAGGTTTTGGTAGTTCACCAGTCCTGAATTGCTGGTGAACCTGCCACTCCAATCATGAAATCTCTCCTGAATCAACTGGCTGCTATAGTCCACCTTAGTGTCTCCGTCTGCCCAGATCTTCATTGGCAGCAATTGGCTGGGGAGGTGATTGATTTGTTCTGTCCTCCGTCCTCTGCCTTGGTACCAGGTATCCTCTGTAGACTTCAATGTACTGCCATATCCTCCATGTACATTTGGATATGTCATCCTCTGCTCCGTCTGAGCCACTGAGGAGGCCCCAGCTCTGACACATCCACTTCCACAGTCAGCCCGTGGAGCCTGCAACTCTCCATGGTTAGGGTTCTGAGTCTAGCAGTTCAGTTGGTAGGGAATCGCTCAAGAAACCTAATCTGAGGCCATCACAGACCTGATTCTTGTGTGTGTTTGCCAATACAGGGTCCGGCACAGTCTGTCACCCAAATCAGCCTTTGCACATGTTGATAGTTGCAATTGCTGGGTCAGTCTGTCTCCAGCCCCGTGTTTTACGAAACCCAATATGTGTTGGTGCCCAAGCTGACATATTCACCACATTTTCGGCCTTCAGGTAACCTAGTGGGAGCTGCAGTCTGGTCAGAGTGACTCCCAATAGCCCCACCAGGCCCACCCCTGCCCTGGTTCCTGTGCTTGCCAGTATGTACTACAGCAGAGTGGTCCTGTCTGACCCACATCCCATTCAGCTCATACATGTTGATGGATATCGATGCCCAGTTTGTACCAACCAGCCCCACTGTCCAGTTTACACTGGTTCCCTCAGGTGTCACCATCTGTCTAAGCCATGCCCGCACCTGACAGAATTTGGCCCCTGTGCCAGCATCTGCCAGCTGATGCTGCGGCAAAGCCCAATCAGTACACATCGACACTGGCATGTGCTTGTACCGGAAGGTGCAATCAGCCCAGTTTGGCTTTTCCCTGAACCAGCTCACATGTAGGCCATCAGATATAGTCCTGCCCAGCCTGGTCTGCCCACATCCCAGCTCTCATGCTCACCAGTGGGAGTAGTGGACCAGCAGGGAGGCCTTTGCAGCCCCCTCACTGGGGTCATCTTCTGCCTCCTCCCCCTGCCCCTGCCCCTGCCCCATGTTTCATATATGCTGGTTGGGTGCTGCAGCCTAGTCTGGCACAGCCCCTCACCTTGGCATTTGCCAGTGGGTGCTGTAGCCTGGCCAAGCCAGGCCCACCCCCATTTCCAACTCACACTGGTGGGGGCTACAGCCTAGCCCAGCCCTGCCAATCCCAGCCCTCATGTGGACTGACTGGTACTGGACCCTGAACCAGCCCGACCCACACTCCATTCTGGCACTCAGACTCGCCCATTGGTGATATGGACTGACCCAGTCTGGTCTGCTCCCAACCTGCACCAAATATGTGCTGCTGGGTACTGTATTTTGGCCTAGTCTGGGCTGCTCGCCATCTTGGTTCTTGCACTCATCTGCGGGGACTGCGTCCCGACAGAGGAGTTCCCCAGGCTCCTCCGTCTAGATCTTTCCCAGTGCCAGATTTTGTGCACACTGCTGGGTCCATGGGCCAACCCTACTTAGTCTACCTCCTGTCCTAGCAGGAACAGTGGTCTTTCCTTACCTGCCCTCACCCATTCCGGTTCTTGTTGTTGGGTGCTACAGCCCAGCCAAGCCCGCTCCATACCCAGACAGAGCTCACACGTGGCTCAGTGGGAGCAGAGACCTATCCTAGCCCGTCTTCTACCTACCCTGGTTCTCATGAGTACTAGTGGCTGCTGGATTCTAGCCCAGTCTGGCACATCTCATATCCACACACATGCTAAGGGATTCTGCAGCTATATCCAGACCAAATCGCAGCCCACACCCTGGCCCTCGTGCTTTCCAATGGGGATCACAACCCAGCCAAGGCATCCGCTTTGCTCTCCAGCAAGGCCTGCTCCCCTCCACAGATTTCACGTGTGCCAGTGGTTGCTCTGACCCGGCCTAGCCTAGCCCCCGTCCATCTTAGCCTTTGTCTTCGGATGCTGTAGCCTGGCCTGGCCTAGCCAGCACCCAGTCCCAACTCTGGCTGGCGTGTACTGGAACCTGGCCCTGCTCAGTCTGCTCCCATCCCTGGCTCATGTGAACCAGTAGATGGATACCCTAGCCCAGCATGACCTGCACTCCAACCTGGTTTCTGCACTCGCCAATGGGCTAAGATCTGTTTGGCCCTGCCAAGTCTGCCCCCTTCCAAAACCAACCCACATACTTGCCAATGGGTGGGGCTATATTGCCTAGCTTGCCTGACCCCTATGTCTAGAACACGTGTTGACGAGTGGAAGCTATGGCCCCATAGGGGAATCTCCAGGGTTCCCCACTCAGCCCACTCTCAGACCCAGATCTCATATGCTCCAGCAGGTGCTAGGCCCTTGCCCAGCATAGCCTGTCCCTCCATCTTGACCTTTGTATGAGCTGGTGGATGTTGCAGGCCGGCCCGCACTACACTCTGTCTTAGAATGCACATGTAGGTGCTGCAGCTTGGAACTGCCCAGCCTGTTTTATTCTCAGTTCCAGTACCCGTGAGTGTCGGCAAGTTCCATGTTCACTCCTAGTTCAACCAGTCACCACCCCAACTCTTGAGCTAACCAGAGGGACTTATATTTCCATAGGGTGTGCACACTTGTCCCCCACAGAATATACCTCCCTGTCCTGGTTCTCTTGTGTGCTGGTTAGTTTCATGTCTCTGCCTCATGTGACCTGTCCCCTGTTCCAACACTCAATCAGGTATTTGCATCTAGGTCTGCTAGAGAGGCCCGCAGCCCTAGCTGTCATGTGGTATGACGTGTGATAGTCAGTTTTGCTCTGCACTAACAATCCCATCTCAGGACTCCCATGTGGGCTGATGAATCAGTCTGACCCAGGCAGATCTTCCAGTCACTCCCCTCTATACCAACAGGTCTCAATCCCCTCACTTACCAGCTAGTATAGGGGCCCTGTTGATAGGTGTCCCATAGGATTCATTCCTCACTATCACATATGGTGTCCATGTCCATGGATGTCCCTAGGCAATATTTTGTCTCCCCCAAGTCCCTAGAGCTCCTCAGTGGGTGGCCCGCGGGCAAAGCCTGGCACCCAAAGGGTGCCTTAGCTGCCGTGAAATTAAGATGGTGCTGGCTACTTAAAAAGCAACTGGGGGCGGGGTGGGCTGCCTCCTCCACTCATACTCTAACCATGAGGTTGCGCCCTGGGCGGCTGGAGGGACTTCGCTGTGCACCTTAGGTGCCCAGGCCACCTGAATACAGGTCCCCCTCTGGGTCAATAAAGCTGGCTTCCAGAATGGGGTTGTCTCGGAAGCCTGCCAGGCCTTTCTCCCACAAGGGAGCCAGTGTACTCAGCTGCCCATACCTCTCACCACGGTGGAAAAGCCTCCAAGCAGGGCGTACTGAAGACCTGCTGCATGAGGCCCTCCTCCTTGGCAGCACATGCGGAATATATTTTATTTGGAAAAGTTATTTCAACCTATGTAAATGTTTATTACATTAAACATATGTAAGTTTTTTGTCACATTAAAATTTTGTTTGCTTTAAGGGTCCTTCAAAAACAAATAGAACAAATAAACCTTCTACCCCTACAACTGCTGCTCGAAAGAAGAAAGACTTGAAGAATTTTAGGAATGTAGATAGCAACCTTGCAAACCTTATAATGAATGAGATTGTGGACAAGTAAGTTTTACCATAGTAATTGCTTTTGATTTCATTGTTTTTACTTTTCAGTTTAATTTTTAAAAGTGTATTATTATTACAGATAAATACTTTTATTTATATTCTTTAATTTTGTGTTTTTAGTGATTATAAATTTGGTAAAACATTGCTTTCATTATTAAACAGTAACTTCACAATTAATATAAAAATGACTACACATCATAGCACTTAGACTTCATGTTATAATCACTCTATTTCTGTTGTGTAACTAATTAAAGTCCTGTTTTTTTAGTGGAACAGCTGTTAAATTTGATGATATAGCTGGTCAAGAATTGGCAAAACAAGCATTACAAGAAATTGTCATTCTTCCTTCCTTGAGGCCTGAGGTAATGACTGTATATAACATTTTCCTGTAATATTTTTGATTGCTGAATTTATAGTAGTAGTAGTAAATATTTGGGCTCTGATAGAATACTTTATATGTGGTAAGCTAAAGTGGAGGCTTAGCCTACTGCACTATGGCGCCAGCCCCGGTACTACCCTATTCACTTTTTAAAAGAAACAATATATCTTTTTTGTTTCTTTGTAAGATTTATTTATTTTTATTGCAAAGTCAGAAATACAGAGAGGAAGATCCTCCGTCCAATGATTCACTCCCCAAGTGACTGCAGCGTCTCATGCTATGGGTACAGAGGCCCAAGGCCTTGGGCCGTCCTCAGTTCCTTTCCCAGGCCACAAGCAGGGAGCTGGATGGGAAGTGGAGCTGCTGGGATTAGAACTGGCACCCATATGGGATCCTGGTGCGTTAAAGTCGGGGACTTTTGCTGTTAGGCCACCAGGCTGGGTGGGCCAAGAAACAATAAATTAAAAAAAAGAAAAAAAAAAGAAAGGAAAACTGGAACAAATAGAAACAATGGAGTGAACAAACCTTTTAAAAAAAACCTTAATTGGTAGGGGTGGCCAAATAAGCCTTAACATTTTTAAGCACAGAAGATGATACTCAGTCCCTGGAACTTGGAAGCTAGGGAAAGAATAAAATCAAAGGGTAAGACAGTGGTTCTGGAAGTTTTGAAATTTCACACAAACAGCTGCCAAATAAATCTTACCAAACCTAGCAAGTAAAACAAAATGCAACAAAATAGATTAAAAAGAAGTGATAATCGGGCCCAGCATGATACCATAGTGGCTAAGGTCCTCTCCTTGCACACCCGAGATCCCATATGGGCGCAGGTTCTAATCCCAGTGGCCCTACTTCCCATCCAGCTCCCTGCTTGTGGCCTGGGAAAGCAGTGAAGGACGGCCCAAAACCTTGGGACCTTGTACCCGTGTGGAAAACCTGGAAAAGCTGGCTCCTGGCTTTGGATTGGTTCAGCTCCAGCCGTTGCAGTCACTTGGGGAGTAGAATCATCGGACGGAAGATCTTCCTCCCTGTCTCTCCTCCTCTCTGTATATCTTTCCAATAAAAATAAATAAATCTTAAAGAAAGAACTGGAAATCAGAAAACAGATTTAAAAGGATTACAGAATCATCTAATTGAGTATCTGAGAGAGATAGAGAGACATGGATAGGGAACCTTTGTTGTTCACTGCCCAGATGGCTGTAATTGTGGGGCTAGGCCAGCCAAGCTCAGAGTCCCAAAACCCCATCTGGGTCTCCTACCTGGGTGCAGAAGGTAAAGGGCTTGGACCATCTTCTACTTTTAAACTTTGCGTTGGAATCTCCTCTCAAATGCATGATTCTTTTTGGCTAAATGGAACAGTCAGCCACTGTGTTCTGTGAGCACGCGGAGCATCTTGATACAGGGTTCTCATTGCAGGGGTTTCAGGTAGCAAGTCTGCTGTTTATTTGGGTTTCTCCAAGTGTCTGTAGCTGACAACCTCCATATTTCCCGGGGTTTTCAGGTTGTCTTAAAACACGTTTCTTGTCCTCGGTTTAGAAAGTATGAGTTTGTTAGTTGATGTTCTGGGAAACAGGTAGAAGGCTAAAACTTGCTAGGTTACCATATGAAATTGTTCTAAAATCAAGAATATTTTCTTTTTGCAGATAATGTGATTTGCAGATACTGCTACAGCAATTACATGATTATATCAAAGTTATGAGAGACAAACCTAAAATACTATCGTTTTCTTGTGTCAAAACAAGGAACAGTTGAAATTTGAAGTCAAAACACAGTAGTATGTACATTAATAATAATAAAAGAGACATTTAGGTGGATCAAACAATATGTGTGATATATGTGTAAAGAAAGTTACAAAACTGATTAAGGAAATCAGAGATACAAAGTGACAGAGGTCACTTTGAATGTCACAGTATCAAATCTTTCCTAGTTTATATGTCGATTTATCCCAACTTCAGTCCCATGTGGGTGAAGTGTTCTAAGGTTTTGGGCCATTCTCTACTGCTTCCCCAAGCTATAAGCAGGGAGCTGTAAGGGAAGTGGAGCAGCCGGGATACAAACTGGCACCCGTAGGGATCCCGGCAGTTATAAGGTGAGGATTTAGCCATTGAGCCATCTTTTCGGACCTTGCTAATTCTGAGTTTTATATGGAAACAAGAGATCTAGAATAGCTGACATAGGTTTGAGGGACATCAAGATCAAAGGACAAGACTTCAAGACCCACTGTAAAGGAGCACTAGTGAGTACATGACTGGTGAGAGCGTAGACAGATTGGTAGAGCACAGCAGTACAGACTTCTGCAAATCTTTGACTAAGGAGCAGAGGTGATTCAGTGGAAAAGGAATAGACATAAACAAACGATGCTAACAACTGGAAATGCACTTGCAAAATAACAGATGGAGACAGAAACCAGCCTAGCACTTTTTTTTTAAGATTTATTTTTATTATTTTTTTCATTGGAAAGGCAGATATACAGAGAGGAGAGACAGAGAGGAAGATCTTCCGTCCGATGATTCACTCCCCAAGTGAGCGCAACGGCCGATGCTATGCCAATCCGAAGCCAGGAGCCTCTTCTGGGTCTCCCACGCGGGTGCAGGGTCCCAAAGCTTTCGGCCGTCCTTGACTGCTTTCCCGGGCCACAGGCAGGGAGCTGGAAGGGAAGCGGGGCTTGCCGGGATAGAACCGGCACCCATATGGGATCCCGGGCGTGCAAGGTGAGGACCTTAATCACTTGCGCCACCACGCCGAGCCCAAGCCTAGCCCTTTTTGCAGAAGTTGGTTAAAATGGATCACAACACTAAGAATATTATGCAAAATGTGTGTGACCTAGGAGAAAGCCATAGGTGACTATTTTCATAATGACTTCTTAGTTACAGAACTGAAACATGATTCATGAAAGAAATAATTGATAATTGAACTTTGTTAAAATTAAATTTTTTTTTCTGAGAAGCTGGCATTGTGATCTCATTAGATTAAGTTGTTTTTATACTCTGAATATCAGATCTTCATCAGATGTTTTTTAAAGATTATCTTCTAGTCTGCAGTTTATGTTCTCATTTGCCTAATAATGTTTTTTCACAGAAGATTTTATTTTTCAAAGTGGGAGGGAGATACAGAAAGGTCTTCCATCTATGCACTGGTTCATTCCCCAAATGGCTGCAGTGAGTAGTACTGGTCCATTCTGCAACCAGGAGCTTCATTCTGGTCTCCCATGAGAGTAGCAGTGCCCCACACACTTGGGCCATTGTCTACCGCATTCCCAGGCCACTAGCAGGAAGCTGGGCTGAAAGAGTAGTCAAGACACAAGTAGGTGTCCATATGGGATTCTGGCAGAGCAGCTGAAGGCTTTATCCACTTAGCTACAGTACTGTCCCTGAAGTTTTTGGTAATTTTTTTTTCCCTGAGGGGGGTGGGTAATGATTTGATAGGAGAGAGTGAGAGAGCAAGCTTTGCTCAGTCCCCAAAGGGCTGCAACAGCTAGGGTTGGATGAAGATGAAGCTGGCAGCCAGATCTTCCATCTTTTGTCTCCCAAGAGCATTGACAGGGTGTTGGACTGGAAGCTGACTAGCCAGGATTTAAGTAGGCATGTGGGTGTTTCTCTCTCTCCCGAGAGGCAACCTATCTCCCAGCTTGCTTTCTGGAGGTGCTTTTCTCATCCCACTTCTTATTCCACTCACCTGATCCCTTCCCAAATAAAATTCTCTGCCTGCAAATAATAATAGTAATAGTAATAATAGAAATAATAATAATGTATAAACTGGCATTGTGATAGGGAATGCAGGTGTCCCAAGAGATGACCCAACCAGCTTCACACAGTGCCTGCCCCTCAGCATCATACATTGTTAGATAAGTTGAACTTTAAAAGTAACAATAAAATACCAGTACATTTTATTAACATGACTAAAATGCAAAAACAGTGACAACACAAAGTTCTGGCAGGGATATGGAGCAGCATCAACTCTTACTCATTGCTAGTAGGAATCCAAGAGGGTGCAACCACTTTGGAAGATTGGCAATTTCTTATAGAATTATAAAGATGCTCTTAACCTGTGATCCTTAGTTCAAACTTAGAAGAACATGAAAACCATTTTTGTTTCTAATAGCTTTGTTCAGAATTTCTGAAACTTGAAATCAAAGTGTCCATTACTAAGTAAATAATTTTCATCAGTAAAAATGACTATCAAGTCATGAGAAGAGATGAAGAACCTTAAATTAAATGGATGAATTTAAAAAGCTGATCTGAAATGGTTGCATACAGTGTGATTTCAACTACTTGAAAAAGATAATGTATGAGAACAGGATGTACTCACAGATCAGTGCTTGCCAGGAATTGATGGCTAAGGAGAGGAGGAGGAGGAATAAATAGGTAGGCTGCTGGGACCTTAAAACTAATTATTTAGGGGCTGATGCAGTGATGTGTCAAGCTAATCAGCCTGTTTGTGTCCCAACTGCTCCACTGCTAATCCAGCTCTCTGCTTACTGCACGAGAAAGCAGTGGAGGATGCCCCAAAGCTGTGGGACCCTGTAACCATGGGGGAGACCCAGAAAAAGCTCCTGGCGCCTGGCTTCAGATCAGCTCAGCTGTGGCCATTGCAGTCATTTGGGGAGTGAACCAGTGGGAGGAAGACTTCTCTCTGTAAGATACGTATTTCAAATAAAAATAAATAAATCTTTAAAAAAAACTATTTATTGGGCCCGGCACAGTGGTGCAAGTGGTTAAAGGTCCTCGCCTTGCACGCCCGGGATCCCATATGGGCGCCGGTTCTAATCCCGGCAGCCCCGCTTCCCTTCCAGCTCCCTGCCTGTGGCCTGGGAAAGCAGTCGAGGACGGCCCAAGGCTTTGGGAACCTGCACCCGCGTGGGAGACCCAGAAGAGGCTCCTGGCTTCGGATCGGCATAGTATCGGCCCGTTGCGCTCACTTGGGGAGTGAATCATCGGACGGAGGATCTTCCTCTCTGTCTCTCCTCTCTGTATATCTGCCTTTCCAATGAAAAAAATAATAAAAAAAAATCTTTAAAAAAAAATAAAAAATACTATTTATTTATCTGAAAGGTAGAGTTGCTGAGAGATTGAATGAAATGCACACAGATACAGAACTCTTGTATATACTGGCTCATTACGCAGGTGGCCAGGACACTTGGAACTCCATCTGGATCTTTGACTCCCAGGTCATCTGAATAATTTTGTCAGGCTAATAGCAGAAGCCTTGAGTTCTAACTGGTTGTCCCACACGGTGCAGGTGTCCAAGCACTTGGGCCATCTTAGGCTGCTTTTCCAGGTGCTTTAGCTGGATTAGAAGTGAAGCAGCTGGCCACTGCTTTCTTCATTTAAAATTGTTACACGACGTTACTAATTATGTGTTCCCTGTAAAGCATCAGACATCTCTGTTTGGGAGGATCCTATTAAAATGTTTGGGAAAATTGGTTCCTAGAGTTGTAGTTGTGAACTGACATGTGCATTTTAAAGCTGTTCACAGGGCTCAGAGCTCCTGCCAGAGGTTTGCTGCTCTTTGGTCCTCCTGGAAACGGGAAGACAATGCTGGTAAGTATTCTTTTCAAATGCAGGTATTCAGTTGAGACATGAGGAATAATATGAAAGAAATAATGCAAATTTTACATTGTCCCAGATTCTGCTTATAACTTGATTTTTTGTGATATACTTAAGTTTTTTAAAAGTATTTTTTAATATAGAAGTACTTGGAAAACTGTGTTAGCTTCTAAATTTTTTTGCTTGTTTAATTTTAATTGTTCATTATCTTCTAAGTAAAATAATAAATTGTTACCTTAGAATAGCTAACCTTACTGTACTGGGGAAACTAATCCTCGGTTGTTTATTACCTTGATGCTGTGTATAAGTGTTGGACAGATTTTGTGTTTCAGTGTCCTTTTATAGAAAGTTTTTGCCAGGATCAGATACCTATTTCCTTTGCATAGTTTTTCTACATGGGAAAAAAACAAGTAATGGAAGAATGAAATTTCCTTGAGTTGCTTCTCTTCCCCTAGCCGTTTTATCTTTCCAACCCTGAGAAGAGAGCACTCATTTCCCGTCCTGTCCCTCTCCCTCTGTCCCCTCTTTGTGGAAGAGGGCGGCAAGAAGCACAGCTCTCTGGGAACCTTTGCTCCTCACTGAGAAAAGCATGGGGATGGCCGTGTGCTGGGAACCGTGTGATCACTTCCATTTCTAGAGAATCTCTTCTGGCACTTGATCCAATGAGATCTGGCTGTCTTTTCAAAAGTACTGAAATAATGTACTTACTGTTATGTTTATTTAAAGGCTAAAGCAGTAGCTGCAGAATCAAATGCAACCTTCTTTAATATAAGTGCTGCAAGTTTAACTTCAAAATATGTGAGTATTTGTTTAGTATTGCCATGTTTTAAAATACTATCCTGTGTGATTAAGAATAAATAGTATTATTTTACAAGAATATTTTTCTGTTACTTTATCTGTTATTTTCACATAATGCATATCAGTCTTCAAACTAGGAAATCATAAATATATTTTTATTAGGCTCTTTTAAAGCTAGAATTGTTCAGGTGGACATTTGATCCCGTTTTGTCTCAGATTCCTGTGACTATGGATTGCAGGAGATGGTGATGGTTCAGTCAGTTGGGTTTCTGTATTTGGTGCTGCGGACCTGGTTTGCATCCCAGCTTTGACCTAGTCCAGCCCGTACCCACTGTTGGCAGTTAAGGACTGAGCCCGTGGGTATGAGTTCTCTCATTCCGTCTGTGTGTCTATCTCAGTGCCTCTTACATAAATTTAAAAATAAAGTTAGAATTCTGTTTTCAGCAATTAAGATGTAGTACACCTGAGACCAGTTTTTTGGCCTGCCTTTGCCCCTTCCCAACAGCTTGCAGAATGGATCAGGTGCACCTTAGGTTGAAGTAACCACTTCGTTGCTCTCCTGATCCTTGACAGTGTTTTTGCTGCTGATTTAGCCATATGAAACTTGACTTGTTACGCTTTCTTGGGTCTGAACTTACTGTTTCTGAAAGTGCTATCTTAATGTGGTTTGTATCAGCCAGTGTTGCAAAAATCTTCAAAAACTTACATGCAAAAATTTAAAAATTTTATAATGTTTTGTTTTAAAGATTTATTAATTTTAATTGGGAAGGCAGATGTACAGAGAGGAGATACAGGTCTTCCATCCACTGGTTCACTCAAAGTGGCTGCAAATGGCCACAGCTAAGCCAGTCTGGAGCCAGGAGCTGCTTCTGGTCTTCCATGCAGATGTAGGGAAGTGAGGTTTTAGACTATTCACTACGGCTTTCCCAGGCCACAAGCAGGAGGCTGAAAGGGAAGCAGGGCAGCTGGGACATGAACTGGCACCCATATAGGTCCTGGTGTTTTGCAAGGGGAGAATTTGGCCACTGAGCTATCATGCCAGGCCCTAAAATTTTGTATTAGTATTATTGTTATTTTTAAAGACTAATTTATTTTTATTGGAAAGAGGAGAGACAGAGAGGAAGACGTTCCATCTGCTGATTCACTCCCCAAGTGGCTGCAATGTTTGGAGCTGAGCCTATCCAAAGCCAGGAGCCAAGAGCTTCTTCTGGGTCTCCCACACGGGTGCAGGGCTCAAGGCTCTAGGCTGTCCTTGACCATTTGTCTTCATTTCTGATATAACTGAAGTTGTTGAAGTTATTGATATAGTTATTTTGGTTAAATCTCATATCATTGTCACTTCCATTGGAGTTACTCATGAGGACAGTAACTTTCTGCATGCTTTCATTACCGCTCACATCTGTAGTACCTTTATTTAGTAGATAATAAATACTGTGAAATAAATAATCATATAAAGTGAATATAGTTTTCTTGTATATTTTTTCTTTTTTTTTTTAGAGATTTATTTTTTATTTGAAAGGCAGAATTACAGAGAGGAAAAGAAACAGAGCAATCTTCCATATCTTCTTTTCTTTTTTTTTTTAAGATTTATTTTTATTATTTTTTTTATTGGAAAGGCAGATATACAGAGAGGAGAGACAGAGAGGAAGATCTTCCGTCTGATGATTCATTCCTCAAGTGAGCACAACGGCTGATACTATGCCGATCCGAAGCCAGGAGCCTCTCCCGGGTCTCCCACACGGGTGCAGGTCCCAAAGCTTTGGGCTGTCCTTGACTGCTTTCCCAGGCCACAGACAGGGAGCTGGAAGGGAAGCGGGGCTGCCGGGATAGAACCGGCGCCCATATGGCATCCCGGGCGTGCAAGGCGAGGACCTTAACCACTGCGCCACCGTGCCGGGCCCCATATCTGCTTTTCTTTCCAAATGACTGTGTCAGCCAAAGCAGGGTGGGTCCAAATCCAGGAGCCAAGAGTTTCATCTGGGTCTCTCACATGGATACAGTGGCCCAAGGGCTTAAGCCCCAATTTGCTGCTTTCCCAGGACTTATTAGGGAGCCTGCGTGGAGCAGCCAGCAGTTGTACTGAATGTCGGCATTGCAGGAAGAGAGTCAACCTGTTACGCTGCACGTGCCAGCCCTTTACTGTTTTCTTGACTTGAATATACTTTGTTGAATACACTCAGGACCTCAGAATCAATCAGTAGAATTTGAACTCCAGTGAATCTGAAGAGCATGACTCTTTACATAATAGCACCCATTCTTTTAAAAAGAAGAAAATTAAGTTTGTTTATCTGAAAAGCATAGAGACAGTTACTTTGCATCTGCTGGTTCACTCCCCGAGAGCCTGCAGGAACTGAAGTGGAGCTGAGTCTATGTGTGTGGAAGAACACAGCCACCAGAAGCATACCCTGCCACCCCCCGGCTGCATGTTAGCGGCAAGCTGGAATTGGAGGGAGCCAGGACTCAATCACAAGCACTGTTATGTGGGTTGTGGGGTTGGCAAACCACTCACTGCACAGCTGTTTGTTTATTTTTTAAAGGCTTATTTATTTTTTATTGGAAAGTCATATATACAGAGAGGAGGAGAGACAGGGAGGAAGATCTTCCATGCACTGAATTACTCTCTAAGCGGCCGCAACAGCTGGAACTGCGCTGATCTGAAGCCAGGAGACAGGCGCCTCCCACTGGTTCTAATCCTGGAGTTCCCAGTGGAGTTGCCAGAAAGTGGGGAAGTGGAGTTGCCAGGATTAGAACCAGTTTCCATATTGGGACCCGATGCATGCAAGGCAAGGACTTAGCCGCTACACTACTGTATTTTTTTTTTGTTTTAGGATTTATTTATTTCAGTTAGAGAGGCACATTTTAAAGAGAGAGGATAAAGAGAGAGAAGATCGTCCATCCGCAGGTCACTCTGAAAGACCAGCCTCTGTCTCGCTGTAACTCTGTCTTACAAATAAATAAATCTTTTTTTAAAAAATGAAACTAGGGTAACTATGAAATAGTACCTTTCCTGAGAACATCTTGCTTTCCATGTGAACTTTTACAAGTTGTTAATAAAACAACTTTACTCACATTAGAAATTTCAACTGAACTTTTATATAGTAAGTTGATCTTCAAGTATCACATTAGTTCTGACTTATCTATAAATAGTTTTGTAAGAAACAATCTCTGGTGGTTAAGGTCCTCACCTTGCACGCCCAGGATCCCATATGGGCGCCGGTTCTAATCCCGGCAGCTCCACTTCCCATCCAGCTCCCTGCCTGTGGCCTGGGAAAGCAGTCGAGGACGGCCCAAAGCTTTGGGACCCTGCACCCGCGTGGGAGACCCGGAAGAGGCTCCTGGCTTCGGATCGGCATAGCATCAGCTGTTGCGCTCACTTGAGGAATGAATCATCGGATGGAAGATCTTCCTCTCTGTCTCTCCTCTCTATATATCTGCCTTTTTCAAAATAAATCTCTAAAAAAAAAAAGAAAAGAAACAGTCTCTCTTTTTTTAAAAGATTTATTTATTTTTATTGTAAAATCAGATATACAGAGAGGAGGAGAGACAGAGAGGAAGATCCTCCATCTGATAATTCACTCCCCAAGTGACCACAATGGCAGGTGCTGTGCCGATCCAAAGCCAGGAGCCAGGAGGCTCCTCCTGGTGTCCCACATGGGGGCTGTGTCCCAAGGCTTTGGGGCCCATCCTCGACTGCTTTCCCAGGCCACAAGCAGGGAGCTGGATGGGAAGTGGAGCTACCGGGATTAGAACTGGCACCCATATGGGATCCAAGCGCATTCAAAGTGAGGACTTTAACTGCTAGGCCACAGTGCCGGGCCCGAGACAATTGCTTTTTAAAAGAAGATGTTTTTACTTGAAAGGCAGAGTTAGAGATATTTCTGTCCACTGGTTTACTCCCTAAATGGCTTTGTCAGCCAGGACTTGGGCTGGCATAAATCAGAAATTAGGAGTTTCGTCTTAATCTCCCACACGGTTGCAGGGGGCCAAGCACGTGGTCCTTTCTCTGCTGCTTTTCCAGGCGCATTAGCAGGCAACTAGGTCGGAAGTAGAGCAGCCAGGACTCGAACCTGCACCCATATGAGACGTGCTGTAAATATTGGGCTAACACACTGTGACACAGAATTGTCCTCAGAGTTAGTGTACTGAGATTCTGTCCAGCTGGGAGAATACTTGTCTTGGTTGTTTTTCAGTGAAATTTTCAGTAAAAATTAACAGAATCCAAGAACAGAGAGTTTGTACCATAGTTTGCCATGGACCTCTTCACCCTTTAATTAGATGCTGTTACATGGAGTTGGCCCCAGTGTGGCGATTTTAGTATCTGGGAATATTTTAAGGAGTTTTTACAGACCGCCTGGGTTACCTTGAAATATGTTGTCATAGCAGTACTGTGAGAGTGCGTTTCCGGGATGTTCCTGGTAGAACATGCTTATTAGCTTTGGAGCAACCAGTCCAATTTATCTGCTTTTCTAAACAAGCTGTAGTGCAGGGTTTAAGGGATGTGTGCAGCTTTCCTTCTGCGCTCCAGTTCACCAGTTTACCCTTAAGTAATCCCTCACTTAAAGGTTAGGAGATCCTTTTATTTTATAAACTACTTACCATTGTATTAAGAATAATTAACAAAATATTAAATTTGAAAAACCAGCTTATTTACCAAGTTTTATGGAGACTTAAGGGAAAATCCTGTTTCTAAAATGCTATGGGACATTTGCTAACGACTCACTCCTCAATTCTCCAAACCTGCAATGATAATAAATTCCTGGGTTCTCAATTTTCAATTATAACCTTTACAAGATGAATTTGGTACATTTTGTGTATATAACAATGTCCGCTGCCTTCTTGTAGGTGGGAGAAGGAGAGAAATTGGTGAGAGCTCTTTTTGCTGTGGCTCGAGAACTTCAGCCTTCTATAATTTTCATAGGTGAGAACTTGATTGCCAATTTTTGAAATATTTGTAAATTAGTCCCTAGAAATGACAGGAAATATTACTTGGATATATGTTTTCATATACATAGATACATATTTAATATGATTAAATATTAAGCATTGAATAAGACACACTATCTTAATGTAATAAGCTGCATTAATCTTAGGTGCTCACATGGCTTGACTTTTAATTAAAGCCTTTTCTTTGTCTTTCTTGTAGATGAAGTTGATAGCCTTTTGTGTGAAAGAAGAGAAGGGGAGCATGATGCTAGTAGACGTCTAAAAACAGAATTTCTAATAGAATTTGATGGTGTAAGTGCTGATTATGTTATTTTTTTTCTTATTTTAATTTTTTAATTATATTTTTGACAATCTTTACATAGTTAATTAGGGTAAAGGTTCAAGGGCTATAGGGAAGTGGTAAAGACTATTATTTCCATATTGTTTCCTTCATGTGTCTGAGGTATAGTGGGATATTGAGGGAGAAGCCCCACCCAGTTTCCCACCCACCCCAAGTCCCGGATGTGGGGCATGCTCTGAGATACTTTCTCAAGTGGTTTTGCTAGTTCACCGTTTATGAATCATTGCCAATCTCGCCACTCCAAGCACGATGAAGTCGTTGAAGAATTCACTGATTGACCCAGTCCATCATAGAGTATCTATTTGTCCAGTATTTTGCTGCCAACAAATAGCTGATGTGGTTAATTGACTTGTTCTGTCTTCTATCTTTTCTTGGTTAGGGTTCTGAGTCCAGCATTTCAATTGGGGAGATCTCCAAAGAAACTGTCTGAGGTGTTCTCAGACCAGATTCTTGTGTGTTCTAGCAGCACAGGGCCCAGCATAGTCCATTGCCCCATCAGCTGGTGATTGCAATTGCTGGGTTGGTTATGTTTTCAGCCCCGACTTCCACTGGAACCAATAGGTGTTGCAGTCCAGCCTGGTTCTGCCCAACACATACTCGGCCCTCACATAAACCAGTGGGAGCTGCAGCCTAGTTGGAGCGACCAGCAATAACCTCCACCAGGCCCGCCCCCTACCCTGGTTTGCCAGTATGTGTAGCAGTAGTCCAGTCTGTTCCACATCCCATTGGGCTCTCGTACATGTCAATGAGTATTGCTTAGTTCCATCCAGCGAGGCTCAACTATCCAGCCTTCACGGATATTGTTGAGTGCCTTTCTAGCCACCCCAGCCCCTGTCCTAGTTTGACTTGACAGAATTAGACCGCAGTGCCAGCTTCTGCCAGCTGATGCTGTGGCTAAGCCCAAACAACCCTGACCCACTCTGCACCAGTAGGAATAATCAGCTCAGCCTGGCTTTTTCCTGATCTAGTCCACATGAGGCTCACAGGTGTTGTAGCCCTGCTTAGTCTGGTCTGCCCCCATCCCAGCTCACGAGCTCCAGTGGGAATAGCTGTCCTGCAATGGGTCCCTCCCATATTCCCCCTGCCAGCTCTGCCCTCTTCCTTCCTGGTTCTCACACATGCTGGTTGGGTGCTGTGGTCACATCCCGTACAGGCAACCTCACCTTGGTATTCCGTATTGTGCACTGGTTTTTGTCGCGACTGAACCTAACTCAACCCACACTCTTCTGGTGCTCGGATTTGCCAGTGGATGACGTGAACTGATTCAGCCTGGTCTTCCCCCGACCCATGCCAAATGTATGCTAGTGGGAAACTTTCCATAGCCTGTTCTGGGCTGTTTCCTATCATGCTTCTTGCGCTTATCTGCATGGACTGTCCTGCCAGAGGAGTTGCCCAGGCTCCTCCATCAGAATCCCTCCCAATGCTAGATTTTGCGCATACCAGGGGTTCTATGAGCCAGCCCTACTCAGTTCACCTCCTGTCCTAGCAGGAACTGTGATTTTTCCTGACTGGCCTTCAACCCAAACTGGTCCTTGCTGTTGGATGTTTCAGCCCAGCTATGGCTTGTCCATACCCACATACGGCTCACATATGGCTCAGTTGGGGTTGAGATCTAGCCTAGTCCATCCACATCTCCCCTGGTCCTCCAGGACACCAGACGGTGTTGGGGTCTGACCCAGCCTGGTGCATCCAGTCCCCATCCACACTTGTGCCAAGGGAGACGACAACTGTGTTCTGATCAGAATGCAGCCCCCATTTCAGGTCACATGCGCCCTTTGGTGGGAACCTTCACCCAGCTAGGGTGTCCCCTTAGCTCCCCAACCGCACCTGTTCCCAGCCATAGATCACGCGCATGCCAGTGGTTGCTCTGACTCCCTTAGTTCAGCCCCTCACCTGTCCCAGCCTCTGCCTTAGACACTGTGGCTTAGCGTCCCTGACTCACGCAGACCAGTAGGTGCAAGGGCCTAGCTCAGCATGACCTGTGCCCCATGCTGGTTTCTAGTTTTGCCTATAGCCCAAGGATTGCTCGGACCTGCCCAGTACATCGCGCTCCATTACCACTTCACACAATGGCCTGCCGTTGGAGCTACTTTGCCCAGCTTGTCCGACCCCCAGGTCTGGACCACTTGTTCACCAGCGGGAGCTGTGACTCACTAGGGGAGTTTCCCAAGTTGCTCCACTTGATCCACTCCCCGACCCAGTTCTCATACATGCCAGTGGGTTTTAGGCCAGTTTCCGGCGCAGGTGGCCTTCCATTTGGCCATGTATGAGCTGATGAATGTTTCAGTCCGGCCCACCGCACACCCTATTCAGGACACATTCGGGTACTGCTGCTTTGACCAGTCCAGACTATTGCGGGTGGGTTCCTTTACCTGTGATTGATGGCAAACCCCTTGGTCACACCTAGCTTAGTCCATCACCACCCAAACTGTTGAGCTAACCAGTGGGGCTAGAATTTCCACAGGGTGTGGCCCACACATCCTCACAGAATCTATCCCCGGATATGGTTCTCGAGTGCTAGTTAATGTCATGGCCCTGCCTAGTGTGACCCGCCAGCTGATCCATCATCATGTGTGGTAATAGCATATCCTGCTGGACAAGCCCGGAGCCTTAGCTTTTGCATGAACTGATGTTTGGTGCTCAACACTGTTAAGTGATTACAGGTTCTTCAAAGGAAGAGTTACTATCATTGGGAATCTTTAGAATTGACTCACATTCCAGAATCACAGTGTGTTCAACCTGAAGCTACCAAAGCAGCGATTCAAAGAACCCAAACCCCAGAGCTCTCTGGCCTGGCGGCCAGTGCACCATTTGATGCCAGGCTCCGCCTGCTGGCCACCCGGGGACAGCTCACCATGTGCACATGGTGGCTGGCTTGTGGGATCCAGGCATGAGACACCCCATCCTGAGACTCACCCACAGCTGGAAAGCTGCATGAAGTTTAAACTCCCAGGCCCAAGGTCGCACCCCTCCCCAATCCCATTCACCGCCCAGTGAGGCGGTGGGCGGGCCCTGGACCTACCTAGTCACAGAGACTTCCCCCCTCGATGTACTCACCCTGAAGGGAGCAGCCCCTGAAACCCAGGCAGGCCCAGGGACAGCTCACCACATGCACATGGTGGCTGGTGTGTGGGATCCAGGCATGACACGCTCTGTCCTGAGACCCACCTGATTATTGTATTTTTAAAATGGGACTGTAAGTATTTTATCATATTTTCTTTCTGAAAGTGCTGAAAGAATAGTTTTGTCTTGTAGGTACAGTCTGCTGGAGATGACAGGGTGCTTGTGATGGGTGCAACTAACAGGCCACAGGAGCTTGATGAAGCAGTTCTCAGGTACACACATCATTTACAGAGATATTACTCATGTGTTTGTGGCACAAATTTATCTTCTTTCAATTCTTATTTCTGGCATTTTTTTTTACCAACCACATAGGGATTGTGATACCAGGTGGATCGTGACAGCAGGAAAACTTACCTTCACAGTATAGTTTTAAAAAATTGCTTTCAGTGATTGCTTGTAATTATCTTTAAATTCTCAAATTGCTTATTAATGGCTTCACAAAAAGGTGTTCAAAGCAGAGTTTATGAGAATTTATTCAGTTCGTACTGGAAGACAGTTTGACGTAGCATAAAATTTTCACTTCTTCACTTTTCCAAAAGAACAAAATCTTACTCCATTGTTCCTGAGGGGGAGAGTAAATGTATAGAAGTCGGAATCCAGAGTTGTTTTGCTTCATTTTGTTTATAAATCTGATTTTTTTCTCTTTACTATATATTAGTTTCAACTGTAGAAATCTAGTTACTTGAAAATATGTTGATTACTTAGGATTTGTTTTCCTTGGAATTTAATGTGTCTTAAGTTGATACTTTGGAATTTGTTTTGGGAAAATTTATTTTGAATACCGTTGTTTTTTCTTTCTGTTTTTTTTCTTAGTGGTTCTCATTGCTTTGCTGACCTCTTCTGTCTTATTTATCATCGTCTTTTGTCTGAATTCTCTGAGCCCTGTATGTTGTCATTTCCTTAACCTTGTATCTCACTGACATGCTGTTTTGTAGAATGACAGCTGTTTTCTTACTTAATTTTCTAGAAAGCTGCTTGGTCACAATTTTATTTTACTGTATGCAAAGTCTTTGTATGCATATTATTTATTTTCATATCTTTATTTCATTAACTGTTTTCTTCCTCATTTTTGCTTTTTATTTTTAATGGATCTTATTTTTTTTTCTTTATTCTTTTCAGGAGAGAGTTTTCTTGACAAAAACCTAGTTTTGGAAAAATATTCTAGGCAAATGGCTAGAAAAATAAGATACTAAAAAATTAAGAAGAGAAAAATAAGATACTGAGCGAATACCTTCAGTTATCTTTTTGCATGCCCTGGACTATCAGATACTCTCTGAATCACAGTGATGCTCCAGCTGATAATGAAGTAAATGGGTGTAGAAGGAAGAGATAGGGTTGCTTTTATGTTTCTTTAGCTAAAAGTTAGTGATCATCACCACCCAACAGCTTGTCGTCATTCGTAATATGATGTGTGTTTGCGTTGCTCAGCCAGTTTTGCCTTCCTTGTCATTCCCATGAGACCAAATAGGGTTTATGTAATCTGGCTTTGCTTTTTAAACCTGAGAAGTTGGATTTGTTTTGCGTCATGATTTGTTGTTTCTCTCTCTTCCCCTTGGAGAACTCCATCCTGAGGGCACTGTCCGCCTCTGCAGGGGCACATCCTGCGTGTCGGTGCTTCTCTTGGTGTGGCTTTCACTAGTCTGGGCAGTCCTTCCTGCGCGCTGTCTGGATTGCTGCTCACAGTTTACCCTTCTGTTACCTTTTCTGGAACTCAGTTCCTTGATTTGAGAATACAGTAGAGATCTCTTTATTCCACTTTTTTTATTCTACTTTCTTTACTGTATTAAAAGCATACACTTAACGTAAATTATTAGTTTAATTTTGATAGTATTGAATTAAGGATTTTTAAACATTAGCTGGAGAATTTTTTAAGTACAACTAAAAGTATCTTTTCAATTGATGTTTAGTAAAATGCATCCAGTTATCTTACATTACATTTAAATAAACCTTTTTCCTGTTGTTTCTTGAAGTAAGTTACCTTTAAAAACAAACTTGATCTTCTAAAATTGTTTGTATTCTTTTTTTAGGCGTTTCATCAAACGTGTATATGTGTCTTTACCAAATGAGGAGGTAAGTGTCTTTATAAAAACACTTTTTTTTTTTTTTTTTTTTTTAAAGATTTTATTTTTATTATTTTTTCATTGGAAAGGCGGATATACAGAGAGGAGAGACAGAGAGGAAGATCTTCCGTCCGATGATTCACTCCCCAAGTGAGCGCAACGGGCCGATGCTATGCCGATCCGAAGCCAGGAGCCTCTTCCGGGTCTCCCACACGGGTGCAGGGTCCCAAAGCTTTGGGCCGTCCTCGACTGCTTTCCCAGGCCACAGGCAGGGAGCTGGAAGGGAAGCGGGGCTGCCGGGATTAGAACCGGCGCCCATATGGGATCCCGGGCGGCAAGGCGAGGACCTTTAACCACTTGCGCCACCGCGCCGGGCCCATATAAAAACACTTTTTTAAAAGGATTTTAAAATGTATTGGAAAGGCAGAATTAGAGAAGGGGAGATAGGGAGAAAGGATCCTCCATTTGCCAATTCATGCCCAGATGACCACAGCAGTCAGGGCTGGGCAGGATCTAGGAGCTTCCGCTAGGTCACATCATGAATTCAGGGCTCCAGTCACTTGGCCCATTCTCCACCACTTTTTAGAGGCATTAGCAGGGAACTGGATTGGAAATGGATCAGCCAGGACACTAACCAATGCATATACAGGATGCCAGTGGCAGTTTAACCTCCTGTACTACCTTGCTGGTATCTGTATTTAATGTTTTTTAAGCAAAAATGTGAAGTATTGTCTTTTCAGTGTTGAATCTTTAAATCTGTGGTACAGGTTCCTATAAACAGAACCTTAATACCTAAGAGAAATGAAGACAAGTGTCTGTATGCAGACATGTGCTGGTATTTTTAGGAGCAGCAGTACTAATAGCTAAGCATTGCAGAGAAGCTAAAATGTTCATTGGTTGGTGAATAGATAAACAAATATGATTGAACATCCTTAGTTTGAAATCCAAATGATAATAAAATTTTGAACTGTAAGTGGGAAATTGGAATAAGCTATGTATATAAGGACTAGTTGAAGCATAAATAGATTTTGTGTTTAGATTTGTGCAACATCAAAAAACATTTCAGTTTTATACATATATTCCAAAATTCTGGTCGCAGAATTTTGGATAAGGGATATTCAACATGTGTATCCATTTAGTATATATTATTTAGCAGTGAAAGGAATGACGTATGCATGGTATATACTTTGTTTGAAACTGAAAAGGATACTAAGTGAAAGAAGCCAGGCATAAACAATTACATATAATAAACTTCCATTTATGTGAAATATTCAGAAAAAAAAACAAATAAATTTGTAGGAATTTAGATTGATAGAGTAGAGGATGAGAATGGGAATCAGTTGTAGAGAATCCTGGATGAGCGTTCAGGGTGACAGGAAAGTTATAAAACTGCGTTATGAGGACAGACATTGGGTACAGCACGTAGGATGTCTGTGTAGGACCCCCACATGCCGGGTCAGAGGGCGTGTCTGAGGCTTTCTAAATCTTGGCTTTGTCCCTGGTTTCAGTATCCTGCTCAAGCACATTCTGGGAGGCAACAGGTGGTTCTCCTGTGTAGATCCTTAGCATCTCTAGTGATGAAAGCAGCTACTACCTTAGTGGTTTGTCTGTGTGCCTTTCTTAATCCCCTCAGTCACGATCCTAAAATAGAAGGCTCAACTCTAATGGACATGAATGAGGCGCCCAGGTGACAAACAGGATTTAAATCTGATGTCTGCATATTTTCTTAAGCTTATTTTTCGCTTATCAAGATTAATTGTCATAATTATATAAGATTTTCAATTCTTTTTTTTTTTTCTAGACAAGACTGCTTTTGCTTAAAAATCTGTTATGTAAGCAAGGAAGCCCATTGAGCCAAAAAGAATTAGCACAACTTGCAAGGTGAGTGGTATGATTTGGATTATCTTCCAGCTTTTATTTGCTCACTTTTTGTGATTCTTTTTGTATGTTATAGTAAGCTTACATGAAATAAACAATTTTATCAGAAAACTTTGTCTTGTGGCAGGCAGTTAGATTAAGATCCTAGGATGACCACATCCTGTAATGGAGTCCCAGTTCTGTGTCCAATTCCATCTTTTCAGCCCGAGAACCCAGCCACCCATGTGGGATGCTGAATTGAGTTACAGGCCTCTGCCTTTGGTGTGGTTCATCTACAGCTGTTGCATTTGAATTCAGGGAGTAAGCCAGTGTGGGTATGTTTGGATGTGTCTTTGCCTTTCAAATAAAGGAAAATAAGAAATAAAATTTGTTTACAAAGATTTACTTACTTATTTGAAAGTCAGAGTTGGAGAGAACGAGATCTTCTATCTGCTGATTCAGGGCTCTAGGGCTGAGCCAGGCCAAAAACCAGGAGCCAGAGCATCATCCAGGTCTTCTCTGTGGATACAGCGGCCCAAGCACTTGGCCCAGTTTATGCTCCCGTCCCCAGCCAAGTAATGGAGCTGGACCAAAAGTGGAGCAGCCAGGACACAAACCGGTGCTCACAAAGGATTTTAGTGTCCACACAATAGCTTTACTCACTATGCCACGTTGCTGACCTCAGTAAATAATTCCTTTTAAAAAGAGAAAACTTCTTGTTTTGATCTGTCTGCTTATTATACACCTGTGGTATCTAAATTTTGGTTCTATGTATTTTGTGGAAGATACAATCTAAGTATCTTATGATGACATTCTGTTTTTAAAGTTAAATCTATTTGTGCTGTTACAGTAATTTTTCAACTAAAGCATCTCATCTACTATATCAACATGTTTTCATATAAAGTTTATTATTTTTAATTATTCAGAAAATTTAATTTTTTAAATCTTAAAACTGTTTTATGAGCAGAGTGCTTAAGTGGAAACTGAAAATATTAGATGCAGTCATGAATTTTAGTCCCCCCAAACAACAGGGCAATTTAAAATACTTAATAAATATGTAAATATTAAGTAATTTTGCTAAGAAACTTGATGGCCCGGGTTCCTGTGAGGAATAATAAATTAAACATTTGAGCAATTAGAAGTGATTCTCTGTCTTCCTTGTGAAAGAATTTAGCTGGTAATGCTCAATTTTTATTGTTGTTTAACATAGTACATGATAGGGTCCGGCGCTGTGGCCTAGCGGCTAAAGTCCTCGCCTTGAATGCCCCGAGATCCCATGTGGGGACCGGTTCTGATCCGGGCAGCCCCACTTCCCATCCATCTCCCTGCCTGTGGCCTGGGAAAGCAGTCGAGGACGGCCCAAAGCCTTGGAACCCTGCACCTGCATGGAGACCCAGAGGAGCTTCCTATCTCCTGGCTTTGGGTCGGCACAGCACTGGCTGTTGCGCTCACTTAGGGAGTGAACCATCGGATGGAGGATCTTCCTCTCTGTATATCTGACTTTCTAATAAAAAATAAATAAATCTTAAAAAAAAACATAGTACATGATAAGTAAATGATTTGCTCCTTCTTTTAGTTTCCTCTTCTGCTTTGTCTTCCATCCTTTCTCTAGTTGTTTCTGAAAGCGAGAGAGACAGGTGAGAAAGACCTGCCGCCTACCAACTGGCTTCACAAAAGCCAGCAGTCACTCAGGACAGGGCAGGACGAAGCCAGAGCTGGGAAGCTACTCTGGATCTTTGTGTGGATGTCAGGGACCCAAGTGCTAGAGCTATTACCTGCTGCCTGCCCAAGTGCACATTAGCACATGAGCAAGAAGCTGCAATTGGGAGCAGTGCTGGATTAGAATCTGGGCATTTCAGTATGAGATGTGGAAAGCATCTTAAAAAAAAAAGAAGGGATGAGTTACAACAGAAAGAGGACAAAGGTTTTCCATCTACTGGAACTTCTTCCCGGTCTCCCACATGGCTGTGGGAGCCCTAGCACCTGGGCCACCATTCAGTGTTGTCCCAGGTGCATTAGCAGGGAACTGTAGAGGAAGTGGAGCAGCCAGATCTAAAACCAGCACCCATGTGGGAACCCGATGCCGCAGTTGCCTGCTGTGCTCTACCACAGCACCAGCTCCCTATAGAGAGTGTCCTAATAGCAGTGCCGCATGCCTGATTGATTGCCTTCCCTAATCTCAGTTCCAATCAACAGTATCTTGGCAGAATCCTATTCAGTTGTGCGTCTTTAAGCTAATGTCTTCTACCTACATCTTTTTCATTATGTATGTATTCCACTTAAAGCAATATGTAGATTGCTCCTCCTTCTGTCAAGGGAGTGCTCTTTGCCAGGGTAAAGACTAAGTGCAGAGAAGTAATTGTTACATAGCATGTACTACATAGTATATGTAATTATGTGTCAGTCATCTAAGGCAAGAATTCGAACGATGACATTGGAAGGGTTATACTATACGAATCTTTCAGTGGACTGCTTTGTTTTTCCCAAGGGGTCCATTCTTTGTCTTCACAAACATGCACCCACTTAGCTTGCTAATGACAAAGGCAAAAGCAAAGACAAGTAGGATATATGTTTCTGCATCTTAGTGTATGAAATACTAGATTTTCAAAAAGAAAATAATGTATTGTGCTGAAGGTTTGGCCTGGTGATTAGTATACAACTTGTGACACCTGCATGCCATGTCAGAGTAACTGAATTTGAGTCCCTGCTCTGGTTCCAGTTCCAGCTACAACTTCCTGGTCGTGTGCATCCTGAGAGACAGCCAGTCATGCAAAAGTAGTTGGGTCCTGCCTCGCACTTGAGAAACCTGAATTGTATTCCTGGCTCCTAGCTTCAGCCTGGACAATTCTGGTATTTAGGGGGAATTTGGGGAATGAGTCAGGGAATATGAACTCTCTTTCTGTCTGTCTCTGACCTTGTTAAGATTTCTTTTTAAAGATTTCTTTATTTTTAGTGGAAAGGCAGATATACAGGGAGATAAAGATCATCCCATCCACTGCTTCACTTCCCAAGTGGCTACAATGGCCATAGCTGAGCTGATTCAAAGCCAGGAACTTCTTCCAGAGTCTTATCACGTGGGTGCAGGGTCTCAAAGCTTTGGGTCGTCTTCAGCTGCTTTCCCAGGCCACAAGCAGTGAGCTGGAAGGAAGCGCAGCACCTGGAATGTGCACTGGGCCCAGATATATTTGTTTCTACTGGAAAGGCAGATCTACAGAAAGGAGGAGAAATACAAAAATTGCTTCATCCATTTGTTCACTCCCTAAAGAGTCGAAATTGCCAGAGCGGAGTGGAGTGGAAGCCAGAAGGCAGGAACCTCCTCCAGGTCCCCCATGCAGATACAGGCCCAAGATTTTGGATCATCCTCTATTTTCCCAGTGCCCAAGCTCGGAGCTGGATGGGAAGTGGAGCAGCCTGGACATAAACTGGCACCCATATGAAATCCTGGTGCTTGGAGGAAGATTAGCCAATTTAGCCATTGTACTGGCCCTAAATTAACAAAAATTTTAAAATGACATGCTATTTCTTCTTTCTTTCCAGAATGACTGATGGATACTCAGGAAGTGATCTGACAGCTTTGGCAAAGGATGCAGCACTGGGTCCTATCCGAGGTAGGTATAAAAGAGGTTGAAATATTTAGATCTGTTTATTATACCACATTAGAATTTTGCAAAATCCCTAGAAAAAGATTTTGGCTTTTTTGGTAAATTATGAGCATGAAAGCAGTAGCCTAGCAGCTAAAATACTCCCCTTGCACACGCCACAATGAGTGGCTGTTCACATGGGTACTGGTTCATGTCCCAGATGCTCCACTTTCCATTCAGCTCCGTGCTTGTGGCCTGAGAAATCATTGGAGGATGGCCCAGAGGCTTGGAACCCTGCACCCACATGGGAGACATAGAGGAGGCTCCTGACTCCTGGCTTCAGATGGGCTCAGCTCCGGTCATTGTGGACTTTGGGGAGTGAATCAGCAGACAGAAGATATTTCTGTCTCTCCTCTCTGTAAATTTGATTTTCCAATAAAAAGTAAAAATAAATCTTTTTTAAAAGCCTTTATCATACTAAAACTTTTTGCTTTATTTGTTAAAAATTACTGATTACATATCCTGCACAGTGAAACTGGGCAATGATTAAGAGCTGCTGCTTTGGGCTAGTAGCTAAATCCTTGCCTTGTATCCTCTGAGATCCATATGGACACCGGTTCATGTCTGGGCTGCCCCACTTTCCATCCAGCTCCTTGTTTGTGACCTGGGAAAGCAGTGGAGGATGGCCCAGTGCCTGTGATCCTGCACATGCGTGGGAGACCCAGAGGAAGCTCCTGGCTCCTAGCTTTGGATCAGCTCAGCTCCGGCCATTGTGGCCACTTGGGGATTGAACCAATGGATGAAGAGTCTGTCTTTCTGTCTCTCCTTTCTGTATGCCTGCCATTCCAAATAAATAAATAAATATTAAAAAAAAAAAAAAGAGCTGCTGCTTTGAAAAATAGCCAGGATAGTTCTTAGAATGTATTTTGAAACTTGGGTTAAACAAACTTTATTGCTGCTAAGGGCCTGAAATTTTGTTCAGAGTGGACTCAGTGGCTTAGTTTTGGGATAAAATTGTAAAGCTAATGCATTTTTTTAAAAAATGATTTATTTTATTTAAAAGGCAGAGTTGGAGACAGTGAGAGGGGTCTTCCATTCACTGAGTTGCTCCCTAAATGGCCGCAACATCCAGGACTGGGTCAGGCTGAAGTCAGGTCTCTCACATAGGTGCAGGGGACTAAGCATTTGCGCCATCATCCACTACTTTCCCAGTCACGTGAGCAGAAAACTGGATTGAGATTGGAACAGCCAGAACTTGAACCAGTGAATAAATGGCATTCCTAGCACTGCTAGTACCAACTGTATCCACCATACACACCACAGCATTAGCCCCAACTAATTCTTTTGTGAAGGATAAGTTACTTCCTTTTAAAGTCAATTTCAAGTTAGTGAAGTCCACTTTCTTGGGGCAAAAGTATGAGAAATTGAATCCCTTTCAGTTACTTCTCAGAAGGAATATTGCTCTTTTGTGAGAATTGATACGTTTAGTGTGCCCTTGATGTTAATGTGTCTGTTTAGCATAATTCCTGCATTGAGTGGATTTTTTTAAATCATTGTACTTGGTTTTTACCTTTAGCAATTTAAACTTCAAAATCTTTCCTTTTTTAAGTGCCTGCCTTTTATATTTTGCAGAATTAAAGCCAGAACAGGTGAAGAATATGTCTGCAAGTGAGGTATGCCATTCTACAATCATTTTTCTATAATTTTGGTGTTCTATATTGTTATACCTATATTTTTTATCTTTTTTTTTTCTGGTACATTGCATTAGACTCTAGAAAACATGAACAGTATCATTTCAAAATAGAATTGTCTATGAATTATTCCCATCTTGTTCTTCAGTAGGGTAAAAAATATTTATTAAGTTACTTTCTATTCAATACCATTGTAACTGTGTTAGGTATTTGTGCATTGTGGTTGGTCAGCTATTTTATTCTAAAACCTATACACTTCTGGAGTGTTTCTTCCATTTTAGCACTCTGATTGGCTCAGTGTAGACTTTATATAAATGAAGCTTAGGAAGAGAGAATTCCCAGATAACCACTTTAATGACTGGTTACTATTACTAAAAAATTTACTTTAAAATATAAGGCTCAGGAATGGAGTGGTGGTGGAGCACATTAATCTGCTTCCTGCAGTGCCCGCATCCCAGACAGGTGACTGTGTTCTCTAATGGGAAAGCAGTGGAGACTGGCTCAAGGCTTTGGGGCCCTACACTCACATGAGAAACATAGAAGAAGCACTTGACTCCCAGCTTTGGGAACTCTGACCCTGCAGTGTATTTTTTTTCTTCTTCTTGTTATTTATTTTTTGGTTTTTAAAAACATTTATTTAGGTTTTATTGGGAAGGTAGATATATGGAAAGGAGATGCAGAGAGAAAGATCCTTTGTCTGCTGGTTTACTCCCCAAGTGGCCACAATGGCCAGAGCTAAGCCGATCTGAAGCCAGGAGCTGCTTCTGGGTCTCCCATGGCAGTGCAGGGTCCCAAGGCTTGGGGCATTCCTCTACTGCTTTCATAGGTCACAGGCAGGGAGCTGAATGGGAAGTGGGGCAGCCAGGATACGAACTGGCACCCATATGAGATCCCAGCCTGTGCAAGGTGAGGACTTAGCTGATAGGAAACCACACCTGGCCTGGCCATTGCAGCCTTTTGGTAGTGAACCAGCAGATGGAAGATCTTTGTCTTTCCCAAAAGAATCTATGTATATATGTTTTAAGGCTTTTATCTGGTTGTAATTTTTGTAAAGATTTTTAAATTTGAAAATGTTATGAAGTGATCTTCCATCTGGTGGCTCACTCCCCAGATGGCTGCAACAGACAGGACCTGGCTGAAGCTGTGAACCAGGAAATTTGTCTAGGTCTCCCTTTTGGGTTGCAGGGGCCCAAAGCCTTGGGTAATCCCCCACAGCTTTTTCTAGGCCTTTAGCAAGGAGCTTAGTTGAAAGTGCAGCAACTGGGACACAAATCAGTACACACATGGAATGCGGATGTCACAGGTGGTAGTGACTTTACTATGATACAGTGTAGTGTAGATCCCAACACAGTTCCCGGTCCCTTGCTCCCAGTTCATAATTTGAATTCTTCAGCAGGTGTTATAGCTTTGCTCAACCTGGCCCAGTCCCAGCTTTTTCCTGTGGGTGCAGCAGCCTAGCCCAGCCTTGCCTATCCTCACCCCTTACGTGAACTGGCAGGTATTGTGGTCCAATCCAGATGGACTGTGCCCTATTCTGGCTCTCAGTTGTGCCAGTGTGCGCTGTGGACTGTCCTAGCCCAGCCTGCCCCAGACCCACCTCATATATGCCAATGGGTGCTAGCATGGCCTGGTCTGCTCCTAACCCCCAGCCCTCACTCTCATTACTTACCAGTTGGAACTGTAGCCTAGCAATGGATCCATAGTTCATTTACAAGACTTGCTGCCAATCTCAGATCTCTTGTGTGCCAATGTGTGCTGTGGTCCAGCCTGACATGGCTTGCCCCCAGTTTTGGCACTCACCAGTGGGTATTGCAACCTAGACTGACTGTACTGCATGCTTTCTGGCTCTTATTGGTAGGTGCCATGGCTTAGTTCAACCTGACCCACATCCATTCTGGCTCTCATGAGTACCAGAGGGTCCTGCAGCCTTGCCCAGCCCAGTCCTCCCCTAGCCCCAGCTCTCCTTAGTAAGAGCTGCAGCCCAGAAGGGGGGTGCCCAATGCTGTCCTACCAAAATCATTTCCAACCCCAGATCATGGTGTGCTTTCAGGTGTTTTAACCCTTCCTGGCATGGCCCACCCACAGCCTCAGCTCTCACTGGTTGCTGTTGCAGCATAGCCTAGCCAGGCGTAGCTCATATCCTGTCCTGGCTCTCTTTCATGCCAGTGGGTGTTGTGGACTGACCCAGCCTGGCCTGGCTTACCCCCAACCCAGCTTTTGTGCTCTCCAGTGGGATCTGTGACCTAGCAGGGGGTTTCCCAACTTACTTTACTATGCTCAGAATCTCATGTGTGCTGGTGGCTTTTGTGGTCTTGCTTGGCCAGGTCTGCTGTCAAGACAGTTGGTGCTGTAGCCTGGCCCTGCTTGGCCGCCTTCACACTCTGGCTCCTGTAAGTGTCAATTGGGTTACTGACAGGTGAGTTAGGTAGTCTAGCTGGCGTGGCCTGTTACCATTACCAGCTCTCCATGTAAACCAGTGGGTGCTGGAATTGTAAGGAGACAAGCCCACAGTGCCCAATAGAGTCTGCCCTCAGATCCAGTTTTCTTTGCATTCTGTTGAGTGCTGTGGCCCAGGCTCATGTGGTCCGTCTCCTGCTCCAACACTCACAGGTGGGAACTGTGACCTGGTACAGCCAGGCATGTTCCCTAGCCTCAGCTTTTGCAGATAGCAGCAAACAGCAGGCAATGCTATTCAGCCCTGCTTGGTCCCATCTCCCATGTGGGTGAGTGCCTTGATCTGACACAGAGGTGCCTTCCAGTTTCCCACCTCTGAGCCACTCTCTCTCAGCTCCCTTGCCTACTTGCAAGTGCAGTGACCCAGGCCTTTGGAATCCCCCAGAAGTCATTTCTCCTTGTCCAACATGCGCTCAATGCTCCTAATCTAGTAGATCCCCAGATCCCCTTTCCTAGGCAATCTGCAGCTCCCCCTGCGCGGGGACAGGGGTGGCTTGTTGCAGCCTGGTGTTCCCTGCTTTTCTCCATATCTTAGAATAGAATAGAATACAATAGAATAGAATATCAATTATGCTGGCACACTGGTATAATTAACATAAATTTGACATTACCCAGGCCCAGAAGAAGACCCAGTTATTTTTTTCTGTTGGATACCTAAATCTCTTGCTATATTTAATATATGTATATGTGTATATACATATATGCATATATATATACACATACACAAATATACACATACAGAAAACAATCTATATACTTAGAATTCCTTCCAGACGTTTTTAAAAATCTTGCATTGGTATAATTTTTTCAGGAATAACATAATAACCACATTGTATTTATTATTTTATCCTTTGAATTTAAGATGAATTACTGTATTTTGACATCGAACATAAATATGACTGGCTCATAAGTTTTCTGTATCATAGCGGTCTATACCTTTTTGTTATCTTTTTATTTATTTTCATTTGAAAGGCAGATATATGGAAAAGGAGAGTTTGAGAACGGTCTTCCACCTGCTGGTTTACTCCCCAAATGGCTGCAGTGGCTGGAGCTGAGCTGATGAAGCGAGAAGCTTCTTTGGATCTGCCACATGGGTTCAGGGTCCCAAGGTCCTGGCCCGTCCTCTGCTGCTTTACCAGGCTGCAAGCAGGGCTGAGAGTGGAGCAGCTGAGACTAGAGTCTCACATGGGATACCAGTACTACAGGTGGATGATTAGCCTCACGTGCCATCATGCAGGCCCTAGCCTTTTTCCTTTTGGATAATATTTTTGTATTACGTTACAGCTGAGGTGATTTTCTTCATCTATGTATATGATGACATCAAAGATAATATGTATTACCATATACAGTAGACTGTTTTATTTATTTTTTTAAGATTTATTTTTTTATTGTAAAGTCAGATATACAGAGAGAAGGAGAGAGAGAGGAAGATCTTCTGTCTGATGATTCACTCCCCAAGTGACTGCAATGGCCGGTGCTGTGCCGATCAGAAGCCAAGAGCCAAGAACTTCCTCCAGGTCTCTCATGCAGGTGCAGGGTCCCAAGGCTTTGGGTCATCCTTGACTGCTTTCCTAGGCCACAAGCAGAGAGAGCTGGATCGAAGCAGGGCTGCCATGATTAGAACCAGTGTCCATATAGGATCCTGGCATGTTCAAGGCGAGGACTTCAACCACTAGGCCACCGCGCGGGGCCCCAGACTGTGCTTTATAGGAGAGTTTTTAGAGATTTTTTAAAAAAGATTAGATTAGTGGGCCCGGCATGGTGGCGCAGTGGTTAAGGTCCTTGCCTTGCACACCTGGGATCTCATATGGGCTCCGGTTCTATCCTGGCAGCCCTGCTTCCCTTCCAGCTCCCTGCCTGTGGCCCGGAAAAGCAGTCGAGGACGGCCCAAAGCTTTGGGACCCTGCACCCGCGTGGGAGACCCGGAAGAGGCTCCTGGCTTCAGATCGGCATAGCATCGACCGTTGCGCTCACTTGGGGAGTGAATCATCAGACGGAAGATCTTCCTCTCTGTATATCCGCCTTTCCAATAAAAAAATAATAAAAATAAATTAAAAAAAAGAATAGATTAGTACAGTATTCAAAATTTATATAAGTTCTCCTTAAGCTTCTGATTTTGCAGGCAAATATACAAGCATATTATAGGGATGAATTGTAACAAGTCATTTTCTACCATATTTCATTTTGTTTTGTTAAAAATACTGAGGTGAATATGAATTTTTATTAACTTGTTTTAGGCTACATTCTGAAATGTCCAAAAAATGGGACCAGCATTTTGGTTTAACAGATTAAATCACCACCTGCGTGGGTGCTTTTTCAAGTCCTACCTGTTCCACTTCCAGTTCAGCTCCCTGCTATTGCACCTGGGGAAATAGCGGAAGTGCAATGGGTCTCTCCATCCACAAACGGTGACCAGGACGAAGCTCCTGGCTCCTGGATTCAGCCTTCGCCATTGCAGCCATTTGGAAAGTGAACCTGTAGATGAGCTCTCTCCCTGTCTCTCTCTCATTCAGATAAATAAACGAAATCTTCAGAAAAGTCAGAGAAAGACCAAATTACTATAAAATGAATTATAAGCAATATTAATATTAAAAAACATCAGATAAAAGCATCCTTCATTTTGCAGTTACAAGTCCCTTCCATTGCTTGTAAATCTCCCTTTCCTTTCTATTAGCATGAATTTAGCTAGATTATGCTTGTGGTAAGTCTTAAGAATGCAGCTATAAAACTACATAGAGAAAAAGGGAAAGGAAGAAAAGAAATAGTGGTTGTATATTTCAGTGATGACTGAATGTTTTTGTTGCTACTAGCTTATTTTGTCACATTTTCTATAGTATTTTATTTTTATAGTGAGAAAAAGTCTTTTCAAGATTTATTTTATTTGAAAGAAGAAGAGGAACAGATCTATACCTGTGAGGTGAAGTACAAGTGGGGGAAGCTTGTCACATAGGATTGTTGTAAGGCATATCAGATAGCAAACTTAATACATTTCCTCTGTCACATACCAAATGAATTAAGGTAACTGGCATGATTTTCAAGGATGTATCAGTGCATATTTATTGTAACGTTAGTAATAAATAGCACCGTTACTTTAATCCAATCTTAACTACCTTATGTTCATCATTTGTGTGGTGTTTTTAAAACTAGATGAGAAATATTCGATTGTCTGACTTCACTGAATCCTTGAAAAAGATCAAACGAAGTGTGAGCCCTCAGACCTTGGAAGCATACATCCGTTGGAACAAGGACTTTGGGGATACCACCGTGTAAGGAAACACCTTTGTAAGCTGCAGAATAAACATCAAGAAAGAAATACAGGATCTGTTATACGATGTCAACTCTTGAAACTTGGCCTAAGTTTACAGGACTTGAGTGTTAAAATATTTGTGCACCAAACTTGAAGATGAACCAGAAACAATTTAACTAAAACATGCAATGCAAGTTGAGTGGTTTGTTTTTTTAAGGCCTTCTTGCCTTGATGGTCATGGCTATTCCAGTGGACACCAATTTCGAGCACAACAAAAATGGATTCTGGTCTTCTCTTCCAGTATAATCATAATGTAAATAATAATTGTATATTGTGTTGCAGATGAAAGTATTCCAGAAACAGTGAATGGTAGAAGACACAAGAGCCTTTGCTTGTTTGTCTTCTTTTTTGTCTTAAAAAATGGTAATTTTTCCTGCTTTCTTTTCTTTTTTTCTGCTGTTGTCTTAAGTATGGGTGATTGGAATGCCAACCACTCTTAAGTTTGTTTTCTTTCACAAATACAGTGTGCCAAAAGGAACTTTTCCCTACATACTAAGCCAGGGAAAGGTTATTTCGAGGGTTTTCTTCAGTTATCGACAGACCTTAAACAGCTGTTGTGATCTTTTCATTTTTTGTTTTGTTACCTTACTACCGGGCGGTTTAGAAAGCAGTATAATCAAGCCAGTCTGGTGAGATGCAGATGGTTGAGAGGTTTGAGTTCCTCTGTCATGTAACATGCACATCAGTCCACATGTGACCTTCAGTATTAGTTTGCACTACGTACTTGTCAGAAATCAGTTGTACACTGTTTCCTTCTTCACAGCGGAATTTATTTTTTGCTGGAATTACTCTGAATCTTCAGAACGTCAATTCTAACTGCTGTAAAAGTGGTTCTAGTACAAGCAAAGGGAAATTCTGGGAGTTAAGACACTTCTGATCAATTGATTATTACCTTTTTACTGTTTACAGAATAATTATAAGCCAGTGGAACTACCATCTTTCATTCCTAAAAATAGGAGTCGCTTCAATGGAACTTTTACAAGTACTGAATTTTTATACATTGCATACATTTTATAGGTTTCTTGTGCTCACTTTGTTAACTAAAAAGTTCTAGTCAGTTGATCTGCCTTTTGTTCCCCAGAAATGTACATTACTGTTTCTTGCTTGTATAAATGTCTGGATTTTTATTATAAAAATGTCATTGTAGGGAGTAGAGACTTATTTCATGGCCTTTTAAATATTATAATAAAGGCAAATGGATATTTGCCCTTAGTTTACTGGTTAAAAAGCTTGTTTACAGAATTTTTCTTTGGTGCTCAAATGATGATATGTAAAATGTCATGGATAGAAAGAATAATTTTGTAATATTAACAAAACTTTCAGAAAAAAATGTCATTGGTTTTGAGAAAATATATTAAAAAATAAAAACTGGATCCTATCGTAAAAGTTTTCTAAAATGACATTATGGATTCTTTTTAATTTATTCTTGGTCTTATTAAAAATTCATTGAATATTAAATGTAGGATTCCTTATACTGTTTGTAGTCATAACTTAAAATGTATCTTTTAATAATGGAATGTCCTCAATAATAAAAATGAGAGCCGAGATAAATAGAACAAAGTTTTGAGCCAAAGCTATGCATATTTTAGGCTTTGGTTCTATATTTAAAGTCACAAACATTAATACTTGTTAAAATAGTGATGCAGGAGTAGTGATGAAGTACACATGATCAAAGTAATTTGGGAACCATGAAATTAATACTTTGTGGTAAAATAGGTAATGTTTTGTAACAGTTTTCTTTAGAAGGAAATTAGCATTCTTAGTGTTCTGATACCAGGCCAACAAATGCAAAGACTGTATATTTCCAACTCAACTTTTGTTTCCAACTCAACTTTTAAAAATATAATATGCTTTGAAATTGTTTTTTCTCTTTGAAATTTTTTAGGTAACAAAAATTCTGGTGTTGAATGATAAGCAGGAAGTCAATACTGTCATAAACATTTAGTAAAAATTATTGTCTGAATATCCATTTATGTATAGCAGTTTCTTTGCTAAGTAAGGGAAGGGCTAAGCCTGCAGAACTCTGTTTTCTGATTTATTATCACGAAATTTTGCTTTAACCTGTGTTTTTGGTTTTGTTTTTCATAAAAAGGCCATGAATATAGATAGAATAGTGATATGAGTAAGGGATAGGTTTAGTGTTTTTTAGTAGAAGTGGAAGTTACTGGGTTTTTCTAAATTACTATTAGATTGTAACCTTTTAGATTTTGTGTTGCACTCTGTGTTGTATTATCTCCTAAACAAAGCTCCTTAAAATTAATGTGTTCTTCATGTTAATATGGCAGAGTTTGTAAATTAAATTAAAACTTAACTGGTATGCCAGACATTGAGCCAAAGGAAAGAATAAGTTCTGTCTTTCCAGGTATATTAAGGTTAACACTTTCTCTATGATGTCTGTGTGTGACAGTCATTAGACCATGGCTTGCAAATATATTTTGTGCCGGAGGTAAATTGGAGGTCATGCAGATACTAGGATTCTAATTTAAGTGTGTATACAGCAATCTTTGTTTATAGTGTAAAATTCTTTATATTTTGTACAAAAATTAATTCTTTTGGTAAAATAACCATTTTCAGTTTGGTTTTGAACTTAGTCAAAAGATTTTCCTTTAAATGCCTGTTGCAATTCTAGTCTAGTCTTTTGTACTTTCCTTCAGAAGAAATGAATTAAAGGGTACAGCCACATAAAGTGGACTTTTTCCTAATGGATTGGGAATAAATGCTAAATTTTACTTGCCTTTAATTTTTTAGTTTGCACATTATTTCAGAAGTTGTAGTCTCATCATTATGAAGGAGGGGCTATATTATTGACCATAACAATTACAAGCTCTGGACAGAATATAAACAGCAGTAATGTGAAGTCTGGAGAGTAGCATAACCAGGAGAAACTGCTCACGATCCTAGGTGGGTTTGAGAGAGTCATGGTAGCTGGGATCAGCCTCTAGCTACTTTGCATAGCTCACTTGGACGAGGAGTCATTGGTTTCTACAACAGTTTGGACTTAGCAGGGAAATTTTTGGAAGGCCTTAGAAAGAAAACAGACCCAAAATTTGCCTACAATCCTCCAAGGCCCTTGATGGTTTCCAGAATCACACGTGTACAGTGTGATATTTAAAGGAACCAAGCAGAAAGCAGGTCTACAGAACTTAACAACAATAGCAGCTGCTTGAGATAAAAATGCATGTTCCAATGAGGAGTAAATAATTGTATGTTTTCCTTTGATAACCAAGAAGAACTGTATCTTAGCATTGACAACATTCTAGAACTAAGAAATAAGCTCACTGTAAAAGAGCTTGAAATCAGAACTTGACAGCATCGAGGTTATCCAGTTTGGATATAAAGACAAAACAACATTTTTTAGAGGAAAATAATCCATTGTCTTTATAACGGGATCCTAAGTCCAGTACACGATAACCATTACTAAGCCTGCAAACACAGAGAAGATGGGAAACAGGTGTATGGGTTATCTCTGTTGGAATGGCTTTTCAAAGTATGTGAAAATAAAGATTTTACAGAAAAAGAAACTGCAGACATATTTTCAGCAGATTATCAACAGTGTGGTAGTGAAAACATTTGAAATGAAATAGCAGTACTTGATTAAGCAGACTGATAACTAGATGCAATTAATTCCTTCTGCCGCAATACATTATTGGGAGAGCTGACAAAAACTTGATAGGGGTCTGAGAATGACAACAGTGCATCACTATTGCTTCTCTGCCTTTGCTGGTTGTGAAGAATATACACATGTTCGTAGGGAACGCACGTTAGGGATGGCAGTAGGTCAGCAACACAACCATAATGTTGCAAGGAAAACTAAACATTTGCGTTACACTCCCGGCTTTTCTGCCACTTTCTCATTATTTCAAAATAATTTTGGAAATTTTCCTTAAGTCTTTTTTTGTTGTTTTTCCTATTTAGTTGACCATTTCTTAGGCTTGAGGCAATATTCCCTTAACAGATTGTGAAATTGCCTGAGAGTATTTTCTATTTTCATTACACATTTTTTTTACACAGTTTTTAAAATGTTCCTTTTTCTGCCCTGTTGGTGTAAAACATTTTCACACTCTTTAGAGCCAGCAATTACACTGAAATCCTTGGTACGTATCTATGGCTCTGAGGGAACAGTCATAAAAATCTGATTTCTGCCTTAGTTTTTAAAAAAAGATTTATCTTGGGGCCCGGCGCGGTGGCGCAAGTGGTTAAAGGTCCTCGCCTTGCACGCCCGGGATCCCATATGGGCGCCGGTTCTAATCCCGGCAGCCCCGCTTCCCTTCCAGCTCCCTGCCTGTGGCCTGGGAAAGCAGTCGAGGACAGCCCAAAGCTTTGGGAACCTGCACCCGCGTGGGAGACCCAGAAGAGGCTCCTGGCTTCGGATCGGCATAGTATCGGCTCATTGCGCTCACTTGGGGAGTGAATCATCGGACGGAAGATCTTCCTCTCTGTCTCTCCTCTCTGTATATCCGCCTTTCCAATAAAAAAATAATAAAAATAAATCTTTAAAAAAAGATTTATCTTATTGGAAAGTTATATTTCCAGAGAGATTTTCATCTGCTGTTTCACTCAAATAGCTGCAATAGCCGGAGCTCCTTCCAGGTCTTGCATGCGGGCAGGGACCAAGCACCTGCTTCCGTCTTCCACATTTCCAGCAGAGCTGGATCAGAAGTGGGGCAGCCAACACTCAAACTGGCATCCAAACGGGATCCTGGCACCCAGAAGACAGCTTGCTATGCCTAATTGCCCGCCTGTTTTTCTATCTTCACGCATGCCAAAGAACACAATATACAAATTGTTTTTTTCAGATGATGTGTGCCTGTCCAGATTTGGCCCCAAAGTCCTGCTGATTAAAATGCAGTAGTGTGAAGTCTTCAGCATGGAGGTTTAGCTTCCCTGTTGTTTTCTTAAAGATTTTTGTTGGAAAGTTACAGACAATGAGGCAAATGTCCCACGTGCTAGCTAGTTCATTCCCCAATGACCTCAAAGGCTAGGGCTGAGTTTGGTCCAAACCAGGAGTCGCAGCACTTGGGCCATCTGCTGCTACTTTTCCAGATGCGTTAGCAGAGAGTTGGGTTGCAAGTGGAGCAGCCAGGTCTTGGACTGGGCTATAACCGCTGGCTAGACATTATTTCTACAACAAAATTAATTTTAGGAGCAACTTAGTATTTTCCAAAGTAACTGTTCTGCCTTCAAACTGCACTATTATTAACGTCTAGGCAAATTTCTTAATCTTCTCGCTTTTTAACTTGCAAGATTGCAGTCCTCTATTTCCTAAGGTTAAACTTCGCACTTGGTAGCAAGCCTGCGGGAGGCTGCACCGCCATCTCCGCCAGGGCGGGACGCAGGGGTGGCCGGGAAGGGGGCGGAGCCCGGAACCTGAACACGCACTTCCGCGTGAGGGTCTCCCGCCAGCCAATCACTCCTGACGCCCCGCCCCTTCCGCGCTGGGAAAAACGGACCTGCCAGTGTCTTCCGGCGGAGCTGTGCGGCTCCTTACCATGGTGAGTGCTGGGCGCCGACGGCGTCTATGGCGCGTGGTCGCTCTTCGCGGGGGTCGTTCCCAGGGCGCCTGGGGCCCCTGAGCAGCCCCGCGCTCCCCACGGAGAGCGTCTGTGCCCCGGGAGGCTGCCCTCGGCCCCGCTCCCCGCCCCGGAGCGCAGCCTCCCTCCGGGCCCGGCGCCTGCAGGGCGTCCCCTGACCGGGGCTAGGCGGGAGCTTTCAGGCCACGCCTCACGCCGCGGCCGGGCTGTGCGGAGCGGCAGGTGCCCCGGGGCCAGAGTCCACCCGTGTCAGCTGCCCAGGTGCCAACAGCTGCTGTACCTAGGAGCAGGTGGACGCTCCCGTATGGCCCGAGATGCACTCTTTTCTAAAATTCGCTGGAGCGATGAACCCAGCTTACTGTTCTCAGGAATCAAGTATGCTGCTCTGTGGGTTTCCACTAGAGATAAGCAGCTGGTGTGTTATTTCAGCTGTCCTCTTGGTATCGGGAACATTCGAGCTGCAATTAAGGAAAGCCTGCGAAGAGGAAGGGACTAGGGTCTCTGCTCCTGAACTGTTGGTCAACTCGATTTTTTCGTTGAAGTGGTTAAAATCGAAAAAGTTTCATCACACATATTTTTGTGTGTGTGTTGTAGTTTGCTGTAGTTCTTTTGCACACAGAATATCAGCGAAAGTGTATTGCTTTATTCCCCCCCACTGCCTCCTTGGCTATGACCTTATAGCCCTCAACCATATGCTTTTTTGTACAGATTTAAAGCACAGTTACAGAGAAAGAGAGAGAGCTATTCTAATAGCTAATTCACTCTCCAAATAGCCGCATCAGCCAGAACTTGAGCCAATCCGAAGCCAGGAGACAGCAGCTTTTTCTGCGTTTCCCACGCAGGTGCAGGGTCTCAAGGCTTTGTTGGACCATCCTCTACCCCTTTCCCAGGCCACAGGCAGGGAGCTGGATGGGAAGTGGAGCTGCCGGGATTGGAACTGGCACCCATATGGGATCCCAGCACATTCAAGACAAGGACTTTAGCCACTAGGTACCACACCAGGCCCATAGGCGTTTCTTTAGCACCTTCACCATTGTTTGCCTAGAATTAATTTGTACGTATATATATTTACAGATTTATTTTTGTTTGAAAGGCATAACTAAGGAGAGGCAGAGATCCTTTGCTGTTTTACTCCCCAGATAGCCACAGTTTTGGATCTGAGTTGACCTGAAGCCAGGATCCAGGAGCTTCTTCCAGGTCTCCCCTTTAGGTACAAAGTCCCATGTCACTGGGCCATCCTCCATTGCTTTCCTATGCCGTAGGTAGAAAGTTGGATCAAAAATGGAGCAGGTTTAAACTGGGTGGAATCCTGGCACTGCAGGCAGAAGCTTAGCCTACTGTACCATGGTACCAGCCCCTAATTTCTAAAATTTGACCATGTCATTAGCTTGCTTAAAATTTCTTTTCTCTCTCTCTTGATAAGTGCTGTTGGGCATAGTGTAAGAGATGTACGGCCTTTACTACCTCTTTTTAACGAGTGTGTACCCTTTACACCTGTGCTGTGTGGGATTGGAGCTCTGAACCACCCTGGAGGACTGCTCTTTTATCCTCTGCCCCCTCGTCGTTATCGGCATAACCCTGGCAGACCCTTCATTTTCTTGTGAGCCGTTTTTTCCTCCAGGCCCAAATGACTTGTTAGATGTTTCTCTTGTACTCTAATGATTTTTTTTTTTAAATTCATTTGCAAGGCAGAGTGACAAAGGGTCAGAGAGAGTGAAAGCTCTTGCATCTGGTGGTTCAGTTTCCAAATGGCCAGTTCAGTCAGACCAAGTCCAGAAGTCAGGAATCCCATCTGGGTTTCCCACGTGAGTGGCAAAACCCCAAGCGCATGGGCCGTCGTCTGCTACTTTCGCAGGCGCATTAGCAGGGAGCTAGATTGGAGGCAGAGCAGCTGCAAGAACTCACACATCTGTTGGGGACGCTGGTGTCACAAGCCGATTCCTAGCCTTCCGTGTCACCACACTGTTCCCACCTTTGAAACAGGCAAGCAACACTTCTGTAGCATCAACAGTCACGAAGTGCTTGGGTATCCTGAAAACCTGCCTTGGCGCGAAACACTGGTGAGGGAATCGTAAAGGTGCAGGAATCAGAAAGGATTCAAATGCAAAGGTTTTTAAAGTTATAGCGCTTCATTAGTTCACATGCTTGATAATTACATGTGGATCCTGCCTGGGCCTGAATGACAGCCCTGTGCGATGATTTTGAAATTACGTATTTGTGTTTTCATTTTCACTTACACTGTGCGCTCTTCGCCAGCAGGTTCTGTGTATACAACCATGACGTATAGCAACTGATCAAGAAGGATCGTTCAATAACTATCAATTTTATAATACGCTGAATTGTAGAACACTACATTTCTGTGTTAAAAAATCATTAATAGTACAGGGAAAATAGCATTTAAATTTTTTTTTGAAAGTTCTGTTGGAAAATGGTTTCTTAAGTCATTATGTGTTTAATATTAAAGACATGCTGTGTTTGTAACCATGCTTTCTTACAAAATGGAAAGAAAATTTGAGCCTCATCAATAGCAAAGTTAACTAAAAATATCTTTACAAGTCATGGTAGCAAGGTGAGGGCTGTTATACTCAGCTACATTGTAAATAGTGTGGTAGAAAAGCCCTGTCACAGAAGGGTTAATATAGGAGGTACAGCAATATCTGAGTCCCAGAGCCCTCTGATCTTCTTAATCTAATGTTTATTTCTCTTTGATAAGGAAACAGGCCAACTGTTAGAGGGCTGGAAGAGCTGGGGTCAGCCAGATCTGGCCTTTGCACTCCAGGGAGATGAGTTCGGTCGGCTTCTGAAGAGAGAGCTGAGACTGGAAGCATAGGTTGTCATTTTAAGATAGGAATTTCAGGTGTAAGATTCAGAGTTAGCATTGAGAGTGAAAACGAGTAGCAGTTTTGGAAAGAGTGTTAAGACTACCAGGAGTTTTGTTTTAGGGATTTGTTTATTTTACTTGAAAGAATTGCTGAGAGAGACCAAAAGACAAGATCTTCCAGTTACTGATTCACTCCCCAGATGGCCTCTATGGCCAAAGCTGGGCTTGTCTGAGGCTGGTGGCAGGAGCTTCCTCCTGGTCTCCCATGGGGGTGCAGGCGCCTGTGGACTTGAGCCAGTGCTCCCCTGCTTGCTCAGGTCATAAGCAGGGAGCTGGGTCAGAAGTGGAGCAGCTGGGACTGGAACCAGCACCTGTGTAGGATGCTGGCGCTGAAGGTGGAAGCTTAGCTTCATATACACGATGGTGCAAGCCCTACTGTTTTCATTTTGTTAACCTGAGACTAATAACAAAGTGGTCTGGTGGTTAAGGATAATAGTATGAACCACACTTTAGCTTTGGGACAAAACTAAAAATCCTTGCACAATTCTTTTTAAGATAATATATTTATTAACATGAATGCTAACATCTCAAAGAAAATATTGTTCCTTTTAAAACAATCAGCAGGGGGCCCGGCAGTGTGGCCTAGCGGCTAAAGTCCTCACCTTGAACGTGCCGGGATCCCATATGGGCGCTGGTTCTAATCCCAGCAGCTCCACTTCCCATCCAGCTCCTTGCTGGTGGCCTGGGAAAGCAGTAGAGGATGGCCCAAAGCTTTGGGACTCTGCACCTGTGTGGGAGACCCAGAGGAGGCTCCTATCTCTGGATTGGCTCAGTTCCGGTCATTGCGGCTACATGGGGAGTAACTCAGCAGATGAAAGATCTTTGTCTCTCCTCTCTGAAGTTTACTTTCCAAGAAAATTAAATAAATCTTCAAAAAATATTAAGAGTGAAATTAGCAATATACATGTGTTAGCAATATGTGTTTAATGGCAGAGTTACAGAGTGGGCATGATGGGTCTTCCATCTGCTGGTTCATCCCCCAAGTTACCACAGTCAAAAGCTTCACCTAGGTCTCCCATATGTCTGCAGTGGCCCATGCAGTGTGCTAGCTTATGCTATTTTCCAGCTGCATTAGCAGGGAACTGGATTAAAAGTGGAGCAGCCAGGACTCCAGCCAGCAATCATTTGTTATGCCAGATTTTTTTAAAAATATTTATTTATTTATTTATTTATTGGAAAGTCAGATATACAGAGAGGAGGAGAGAGAGACAGAGAGGAAGAGCTTCCGTCCGATGATTCACTCCCCAAGTGAGCCCAACAGCCGATGCTGTGCCAATCCAAAGCCAGGAGCTAGGAACTTCTTCCGGGTATCCCGCATGGGTGCAGGGTCCCAGAGCTTTGGGCCTTCCTCGACTGCTTTCCTGGGCCACCAGCAGGGAGCTGGATGGGAAGTGGAGCTGCCGGGATTAGAACTGGCGCCCATATGGGATCCCGGCACGTTCAAGGTGAGGACTTTAGCTGCTAGGCCACACCTCCGGGCCCTGTTATGCCAGATTTTTTTTTTTTTTCATGATATAAAGGACAGTTTTCTTTTTTTAAAGATTTATTTTTATTATTTTTCATTGGAAAGGCGGATATACAGAGAGGAGAGACAGAGAGGAAGATCTTCCATCCGATGATTCACTCCCCAAGTGAGCGCAACGGGCCGATACTATGCCGATCCGAAGCCAGGAGCCTCTTCCGGGTCTCCCATGCGGGTGCAGGTTCCCAAAGCTTTGGCCGTCCTCGACTGCTTTCCCAGGCCACAGGCAGGGAGCTGGAAGGGAAGCGGGGCTGCTGGGATTAGAACCGGCGCCCATATGGGATCCCGGGCGTGCAAGGCGAGGACCTTTAACCACTTGCGCCACCGCGCCGGGCCCTGTTATGCCAGATTTTAGGTGGTGTTTAACCCTGTATGCCACAATACCAGTCCTGATGTAAAACTTTTAAAATTAGATTTATTTATTTTTATTTGAGATAAACATGAAAGGAGAGACTGAATTGAGAAAGGTCTTCCAGCTACTGTTCACTCCCCAAATGGCTCCAGCAGCTGGAGCTGAGCCGATGAGCCCTGACCAATGCACACCAGGAGCCAGGAGTTTCTTCTGGGTCTCCCATGTGGGTGCAGGGACCCCAGAACTTGAGACATCTGCTGCTGTTTTCCCAGGCTGTTAGCAGGGAGCTGGATGAGAAGCGGAGTAGCTGGGACAAGAACTGCTAGCTGTATTGATTGCTGGTGCTACAGGTCAAGGGTTAGGATGCTGTGCCACTGCACCTGCTCTGGTATACAGGTCTTAATTGGGTGATTTGTATTTTAACTTGGTAGAAGTTCTGTCAGTATTGGAAATTAGAAATTGGTATGTTGTCTCTCATGAATTACAAGTTTTTCCACAGCTTTGCTTCTCTAACTTTTAAAAATTTTTTTTCAGGGTATTGTGATTCCATATAGAAGTATATTGCAACACTGGTGATTTTTCCCTTTATACCTTCTTGGTTTTATATCTATTGAGAAAGTCTTCAACTTCAATGTTTTAAAATTTTGTATATATACTTTTTTAATGGTCTTTATACTTTTATTTCTGAATATTTATTTTTATTGGGATTGCAAATTTACAGAGAGAAGGAAAGGCAGGAAGAACCATTTGGTTCCCTCCCCAAGTGGCCACAACAGCCGGAGCTAGCCAATCAGGAACCAGGAGTCCATGTGGGATCCTGGTGCCACAAGGTAGAGGATGAATGTGCTAAATCATTGCACCAGCCCCTAGCTCACAGTTTTTCCCACTGATCATGTATATTGCTCTTATTGTAAGTTGGAGTTTGAGGTTTTTTTGTTGCTCAGGCTTCCCTACAAGGTTTTCCATATATATAGGTTGGGAATGCCCCTTGTTGCCATTTGGTATCTTCTCATTGTGAACTTACATTGAAGCCCTTTCTGTGCCAACCCTGTATGTACTGTGTGTGCTCTAGGGGGACCAAAGGCACCAGTGACAATCCAACAGAGTCTGAGCGAAAGGCCAAGAGAACCACTCGAGTTTTATTGTAACAACAGTTGCCAGACCTTTTGTACATATGCTGCTTTTTTTTTAAAGACTTATTTATTCATTGGAAAGTCAGACACACAGAGAGGAGGAGAGACAGAGAGGAAGATCCTCCGTCCGATGGTTCACTCCCCAAGTGAGCACAATGGCCGATGCTGTGCCGATCCAAAGCCAGGAGCCAGGAGCCTCTTCTGGGTCTCCCACTCGGGTACAGAGTCCCAAAGCTTTGGGCCTTCCTCGACTGCTTTCCCAGGCCACAAGCAGGGAGCTGGATGGGAAGTGGAGCTGCTGGGATTAGAACCGGCACCCATATGGGATCCCCGGCATGTTCAAGATGAGGACTTTAGCCGCTAGGCCACCCTGCCGGGCCCTTGTACATATCCTTTTAACCATAGTCATATATCTTTCTTAGTAGAGCTCTTTGGCAAGCTGTTCTGTTTCACTTTGCCTTATTCATTTTTAACAGCGAGAGCTGGAGCACAAATGCCTTGATTCGAATTCCTTCTTATCGGTGTACTGTCAGTGTTCGTTTGAACAACTTACAAAAATAGTTTCTATCTCATAGAGTTGTGTGACATCAGTAAGTACATGTGGCACGTAGACAGCTGCTTGGCCTATCTTTGCAACTCATTGCTGGTTCTTGCTACTACAATATTGCGTTTCAGGAACTGTGCAGAATTTTAGATGTTTGAATGCTGATGTGTGTATATTTTGTTTTTAAAGGGGACAATTCATCTCTTTCGAAAGCCACAAAGATCATTTTTTGGAAAATTATTACATGAATTTAGACTTGTAGCAGCTGACCGACGGGTGAGTATTCTTTAACTCCAAGTTTAAGTATTGTACAAAAAATATTGCAACAGTTTAAAAAAAGGTGATTTTTAAAGCAAATTAAACTCATGTTGTAGTCTATCACAGTTTGCATTTTTGTTGTGTCCAGTAAGTATTTTTTAGTGTGAAATTACAATTGCTTATTGTGCTTTGGTGGGAAAAAACAAGGCTTCATTTAAACATTTCTAGTTCTAAAGTGTTTTAAAGAAATACTGTTTTGTGATTTTTAAAGATAATTTTCGTGGGACTGGCATAGTGGCACACCGGCTAAGCCGCTGCCTGCCATGTTGTTATTTTTACGTGAGATCCAGCTTGAATCTTGGCCGCTCTATTTCTGATCCACTCACTGATTGTGGGCCTCAGGAACACAGATCACCCAAGTGCTTGGCCTCCTGCAGCCACATGTGAAACCTGGAAGAAGCTCCTGGCTCCTGACTTTCACATGGTTTAGCCCAGCTGAATCTGCAGGTGGAAGATTCTTTCTCTCTCTTTCTTGTCCCTATAATTTTGTCTTTAAAATAAATTATTTTTTTTAAAGATTCATTTATTTTTATTACAAAGTCAGATATACATAGAGGAGGAGAGAGAGAGAGGAAGATCTTCCGTCTGATGGATCACTCCCCAAGTGAGTGCAACAGCCACTGCAGTGCTGCCGATCCGAAGCCGGAAACCAGGAACCTCTTCCAGGTCTCCTACGCAGGTACAGGATACCACGGCTTTGGGCTATCCTCGACTGCTTTCCCAGGCCACAAGCAGAGAGCTGGATGGGAAGTGGAGCAGATGGGACAAAAACTGGCGTCCATATGAGATCCTAGCGCATGTAAGACAAGGATTTATTGGAAAGGCATATATACAGAGAGTAAACATAGAAAGATCTTCTGTCCGCTGGTTCACTTCTCAAGTGCCTACAGTGACCTGAGCTGATCTGATGCGAAGCCGGGAGACATGAGCTGCTTTCTGGTTCCCTATGAGTGTGCAGGGTCCCAAGGCTTTGGGCCGTCCTCAGCTGCTTTCCTAGGCCACAGTCAGGGAGGGAGTTGGATGGGAAGTGGAGCAGACAGAATATCAACTGGCACCCATATAGTATCCTGGCACATGCAAGGTGAGGATTTTATCCACTAGGTGCTGCACCAAATCCTTTTTTATGTTTTATGTTAAGATTTATTTATTTTTAGTCATAAAACAGATTTACAGAGGGCAGAGACAGCTCTTCCATCTGCTGGTGCACTGCCCAAATGACCACCAAAGCCAGAGCTGAGTCAATTTAAAGCCAGGAGCTAGGAGCTTCTTCCCGTGTCTCCCACTTGAGTACAGAGTCCCCGGGCTTTGGACCTCCTCTGCTGCTCTCCCAGGCCACAAGCAGGAAGCTGGATGGGAAGTGGAGGTGCCGGGACATGAAGCAGCTTGCATTATGGGATCCTGGTGCTTGGAGGTGAAAGATTAGCTAGTTGAGCCAGTGCACCCGGTCCAAGTTCTGTATCAGGCCAACCTCTATACTTGTGGTCTAGTGTTCCTTCTGTGTCTTGTGACACTGTTTCTTTTTTAAAAATGGTTTTATTTGTGTTTTTTTTTTTTTAGTAACAATGTCTTTTTAATTGAAAGAAAATTACAGTAAAAACATCTAACATGAATTCTACAATGTTAAGTATTTTTCATCATACAGCTAAATGGAACTAGATATGAAGGAACCTCAGAAATTTCACAAGAAATTGGAATTGAAGGACAGTAATGCAAACATTGAGTAAACTTGCTGAGTCCTGTGATACATTCCAGTTACTCTCAGCTGTCCCCTTTCCCTCTCCTCAATTCTGGAGTCTTTCAAACTTGCGAAGCTGAAATCTTGTGCAACCCCTTTGCGTGTCTCTAGTCCTCAGTGTCTGCCAGTCATCATTGCTTTTCTTTTTAATTTTATTTAAACTAAGCAGTTTATTTGTTTACTTTTACTTAAAGACAAAGAGATGTTGGAGAGGAAAGAGAGAAACAGTCAAAATCTGTTAATTCACTCCTCCTATGCCCACACAGCTGGGGCTGGACCAGACCTCAGCCAGGAGCCAGGCTTCAGTCCAGGACCTAGCCTGGACCCTGCTGCTGGGCCCAGCCTTGGCCGCCTCCCACAGTGCGTATTAACAAGAAGCTGAAGTTGGAAGCTGAGGCAGATTTGTACCCAAGTACTCTAGTAAGGGCTGCATTGGTGTGATGTGACCTCACATCATCATCTCCTGCATAAGAATTACATTCCTTCCCGGCGCGGTGGCGCAAGTGGTTAAAGGTCCTCGCCTTGCACACCCGGGATCCCATATGGGCGCCGGTTCTAATCCCGGCAGCCCCACTTCCCTTCCAGCTCCCTGCCTGTGGCCTGGGAAAGCAGTCAAGGATGGCCCAAAGCTTTGGGAACCTGCACCCGCGTGGGAGACCCGGAAGAGGCTCCTGGCTTCGGATCGGCATAGTATCGGCCCGTTGCGCTCACTTGGGGAGTGAATCATCGGACGGAAGATCTTCCTCTCTGTCTCTCCTCTCTGTATATCCGCCTTTCCAATGAAAAAATAATAAAAATAAATCTTTAAAAAAAAAAAAAAAAGAATTACATTCCTTTTTTACTCACTGTTTTTTTGTTTTTTTTTTAAGACTTGCGCATTGGAAAGGATAGCAGATAACGGATACATAGAGAAAGAAATCTTCACTCTCTCGTTCACTTGTAAATGCCTACAAGAGCTGTGATGGGGAGGCCAAAATCAGGAACCCAGAGTGCTATCCTGCCACGTGGGAGACAGCGACCCAAAGACTTAGACCCTCATCCGCTGTCTTCCCAGATGCAGTAGCAGAAACTGAATTGGTAGCAGAGTAGCTCTGACTCAGGCACTCAGAAATGGGACACAGTTATCCCAGGCAGCGGCTTAGCTTCATAATGCCACAATACTGAACAGCTCTGTGAAGATCAACTTAGGTATGAGGCAGGACGATCTTAGAACACAGATGGCAGGTGTAGGTTTAAAAAGGAAGAACAAGGGAGGAAGGAGAAGGCGATTGACATGACATGGAAATTGCTGGAACAAAATAAGGAGTGGTACTTTGGTCCTGGAACCATGGCCCAGTGGCTGAAATCCTCACCTGAAGAAATGTTGGAATCCCATATGGGTGCCAATTTGAGTCTTGGCTGCTCCACTTCCCTTCCAGCTCTCTGTGTGTGGCCTGGGAAAGTGGCAGAGGATAGTCCAAGCCTTGGGACCCTGCGCTCACTTGGGACACCTGGAAGAAGCTCCTGGCTTCGGGCTTTTGATCAGCTCAGCTCTAGCTGTTGTGGCCATTTAGGGAGTGAACCAGTGGACAAAGGATCTTTCTCCTTTCTGTGAATCTGATCTGCTGTTCCAATAAAAAGAGAGAGAAAGAAAGGAAAGATGGCCTAGAATTTAAATTAAAAAGGAAACTAACTGGGGCCCGGCGGCATGGCCTGGTGGCTGAAGTCCTTTCCTTCAATGCACCAGGATCTCATATGGGCGCTGGTTCTAATCCCGGTAGCTCCATTTCCCATCCAGCTCCCTGCCTGTGGCCTGGGAAAGCAGTCGAGGACAGCCCAAAGCCTTGGGACTCTGCACCCGTGTGGGAGACCCGGAAGAAATTCTTGGCTCCTGGCTTTGGATCGACATAGCACCGGCCATTGGGGTCACTTGGGGAGTGAATCATCGGACAGATCTTCCTCTCTGTCTCTCCTCCTCTCTATATATATCTGACTTTGCAGTAAAAATCAAATAAATCTTTTTTTTTTTTAAACAAAGGAAACTGACGCTTAGCTAGTAGTCTGCAGCTCTACAGAAAAGAAGTGAGTCCATTTTCAAAACCTAAATGTGATGAGGTAGGATCGAAAGCAAAGGCTACGCTGCAGGAGGGCTCCCGGGGAGCTTTCGTACCTGTTTGTCACTTTGTCTTTTCAGATAAATGAGTGAGAAAAAAGCCCACTTCCAGATAGATGTCTTTTTACTAATTTTTTTCCCCTACTGTGTATTTCCTTTCCTTTAGGAAGTAGGGCAGAGCAAATTGAAAAGCAGTTCCTGATATGTTCTTGCTTTGTTTTTGGAATCTGTCCCTGCTTTCTCTGGCTATGACCAAGTTGTTTGCAAGACTCTTCTCAGGTCCTCCCGGGTCTGTGAACTTCTGCCCTGTAACGACTTTCCCTCCTGCGCAGTTCCCTCCTGTCTGACGTGTAAAACACGGAAAGTAGCATCAATGGTGTAAGGGACAGCATCCTGCCCTTCATCAGATTCAACAATTGCCTATTTTTTACTGTTTTTGCCTTGCTCTTATCTCTTGTGTTTTTATAGAAGGAAAATTATGTATTTGTAGATGCATTTTTTAAAAAAACTTTGTGAGACATTCTATGTCATAATTTCCTCTTGAGCTCTTCTGGCACTGCTCTTAAATGTATTAATAACTTCCTTGACAGAGACATGGAAAATGTGAGAGACTTTTAGGAGGCAGTTGTGTTCAGTCCTTTGAGCATCAGTGTGAACTGCACCAGCTTGACCAGCCCCAGTGAAATGTGTCAGCTCCGTGCAGTAAAAGTGGTTTTCTTTTTTCAGTCCTGGAAGATCCTGCTCTTTGGTGCAATAAACTTGATATGTACTGCCTTCCTGCTTATGTGGTGCAGCTCTACTAACAGTATAGGTATGTCACCAGTTTGTACTTTCCTTGACTTAATTGTTCCACATAGCTGCTTTTAAGGATACATCTTCTTCATATAGGCTATATTACTCCGAAGTGTACATAGCTCTAATGACTTTAATAAGAATATTTTAAACTTCCCTGTGAAATTTAGTTGATTCATTGTTGCATTATCATTTTAACTAAGCTGTTATTAAAGAAAGCAAACTGAGATATATTTATTATGTGATAGATTAAAGTTTGAATTTAGCTGTAGAAGGAAGGCAACGTTATAGTGCCTGTGTTCCAGTTTGCTGGTTCAGGTCCTCACTGAGCTGCTTCCAGTCCAGCTCCAGCTCCCTGCTGATACACTTGAGAAAACAGCAGGCGGCTTGGCCCCGGCCATCCTCTTGGAAGACCAGCACAGGGTTACAGGTTCCTGGTTTAGACCTGGCCCTGCCCGGGTAATTGTGTCTTTCAGGGAGTGAACCAGCAGCTGACATTCTCTCTTTCTCTGTCACTCTGCCTTTTAAATAAACAAGTAGGTAAATAAATAAATATTATATATATAGTTTAAGATTTTGAAATTTGTTTGCTTTTCTTTAAAAAGGGAATCCTCATTTTTGTGTGTGCTGTTGACCTATGATTATATGTCTTACTGGTTTTTTCTTGCTGTTGAAGAAATACATTTAAAATAATATTGAAAGCAGGCAGAAGAGTAATAACAGGCCTTTTTTGTATTTATTACTTCTTTCTGATGCTGGCAAGATCCACTTCTAAAGTGAGTTTTGTGCTAACAACCTTGGCTGTGTGTACTCATATTAGCAGTATATTAGAGGAGTTGCCAATATATGAGGTTGGCTGTGACACTCAATGTTGGTTTTTTGGGTTGTTGTTTTTTGTTTTTTTTTGTGTGTTTTTTTTTTTTTTTTTTGGTAATAGGTGTCCCTGTTATAAATACTTTTGCAGATTTCCTACATTAAGAGTAATTTCTATAACTTTTTTGTTTTCTTTAGAGGGAGAGAGAAAAGAGAAAGAAACAGATACAAAGCTAGACAAAGACAGTTCCCATGTGCTGGTTCACTCTGCAGATGCCTGCAATGAGTGGGCTGCAGCAGGCTGAGAACCAGGCCTCCCGCGGGTTGGCAAGGACTGGGTTCTCTGGTGCTGCTGCCTCACGGGGTCTTTCTTAGAAGTGAAGCTGACACTTAAAGCCAGGTTGTCTGCCACAGACTGTGGGTGTCCTGGCCGGTGCCATAGCTGCCATGCCAAACACTTGCCCCTCCACCACACGTTAACCTGTCTTGTTGTTTTCCAGCTTTGACTGCCTATACCTACCTGACCATTTTTGATCTTTTTAGGTAAGTTTTAAGAATTCTTTTTAATGCTTTAGAGTCAATAAGAAATAGCATTGAATGTATGAAGAGGTTTTCTTTGTTTAAAGAACAGTAGTATGGGAAATACATAAAATTACTAACATAGAATATGCAATCAGAAGCACACTGGAAGAAAATGTCATTAAATAGCAATAAAAAAGATAAACAACAAAGGGTAAACAAGGTATGTACACATTCTGGATAAAGAAATTTCAAAGTAGTCTGAAGGACTGAAAACAATCTGACAAAATAGTAAGATAAACCACTCACTTAGAAGTACTTGAAATCTCAGCAAATGCCAATTCTCCCTAGGCCAGTCAGCCCAGACGAGCTTGTTGGAAGGTCACAGTAGTCTCCCTTCTCTGTGCCCTTACTTCCTGTGATTTAGTTACCTGCAGTTTTGGTTATCTGCAGTGAATCATGATCTGAAAATATTCAATGGAAAATTCCAGAAATAATAATGAATTTTTTTAAGCTGTGCACTGAGTAGCGTGATGAAATCTTGTACTGCTGTATTCCATCCGTCCTGCCCATCAGTCGTTCATCTCTCTGCCTGCTGCGTCCACATTACATGAGCTACCTACTCATTAGTCACTTAATATGCATCTTATTTATCAGAGTAACTCTCAGTACAGAGCTTGCGTGGTCGCCTGCTGAAGCTTCCTGTGACTTTGACCTCACTTTGTCCCATGCGGACCTGTCACCCCTTCATCATCCCAAGAAAAGAGTCAGTGGAGTCCAATAAGATACTTTGAGAGAGGCCACATTCATATAATTTTCAGTATGATATATTGTTATATCTTATTACTTAGCATAACTAATCTCTTATAGACTATCAGATATGTAAAAATAAGAACTATTTTAGTATATTCAACAAAATCTGTTGCTTTGGGCATCCGCTATGACTCTTGGAACCAGTCCCTCACAGATAAGAGGAGAGTGATATAAAAGAAAAACAAAAGGCCCAGCACAGTAGCCTAGTGGCTAAAGTCCTCGTCCTGCACATGCTAGGATTCCATATGGGTGCCAGTTTGTGTCTCTCTGGCCCCGCTTCCCATCCAGCTCCTTGCTTGTGGCCTGGGAAAGCAGTGGAGGACAGACCAAAGCCTTGGGACCCTGCACTCATGTGGGAGACCTGGAAAAGGCTCCTGGCTTTGGATCGCCTCAGGTCTGGCTGTTGAGCCCACTTGGGGAGTGAATCAGTGGATGGAAGGTTCTCTCTGTCTCTCCTGCTCTCTGTATATCTGCCTTTCCAATAAAAATAAATAAATCTTTAAAGAAAAAAAAATAAGAAGTTGAATAATGACCTAAACTTGTATGAGAGTTTAGCATGTTGAAAGATACTTAAAGATAACACAAAACTCAGAAATCGGAAAAGAACATATAAGTAAATCCAGTTGTATTAAAATTTGAAACTGTATAACAAATATCAGGAGGTATTGCATGATCCATGAGAACCATGTGACAGATGTATGTTGTAAGAATGCTTTTTGATTAATCAGGTAATTAAGTCTACTGACTGGGGTCTCAAGCAGGCAGTTTTTAACCTGAATTTCAAATTATAGTAAGTTGTTGGGGGATGAATCCTGGTGTACTTGAATGGTTAGTATGATTTTACCCTGGCCAGAATGTAAAGATCATAGCTGAACTTTTAACAAAGAAGGGCTAGCTTATTCATTTAGTCTGTACAAACACCAATAACTTTCAGCAACTTGGGAATTCTGAAAACTTATTTTCTCCCTATGTGTTCTCTTTTAACCTTAGTAATGCTATATTTATTTTTCTTTCATTTAGTTTAATAACATGTTTAATAAGTTACTGGGTAATGATGAGGAAACCCAGCCCTGTCTATTCATTTGGGTAAGTTCAAGTTATCTCATTTTCTGCTAATGTATTGCTATTAAAACAATAATTACAGTAGGCAGGGAAGAACTAGTGAGAGTATTTTTGAAAAACAGACATTTCTTTCTTAGTTAAATGGTGCTCAAACAGTGAGGGTAGGGATGTGTGCTGGCCATAGTATGCTGTGTGGGACACTGCGTCCTGTATCATAGTGCCTGGGCTTGAGTCTCACCTCGGTTCTGATACTGGATCTTTGCAGATGTAGACCCTTGGAGACAGCATGTGTTGGTTCAGCTGGATGGAACCGTGCCCACCATGTGGGAGATTTATTAAGAAATGAACAAACCTGGGTCTGCCACAATAGCCTAGTGGCTAAATCCTCACCTTAAATCCACCAGGATCTTTTATGGGTACTGGTTCGTATTCCGGCTGCTCAACTTCCCATCCAACTCCCTGCTTGTGGCCTGGGAAACCAGTAGAGGACAGCCCCAAACCTTGGTATCCTGTGCCTACATGGCCGACCTGGAACAACCTCCTGGCTTCTGGCTCCTGGCTTCGGATCAGCTCAGTTCCATTTGTTGCGGCCATTTATGGAGTGAACCAGCAGATGGAAGATCTTTCCCTCTGTCTCTCCTTTTTGTGAATCTGGCTTTCCAATGAAAAAAGAAAAGAAAAGAAATAATAATAATAAAAAGAAACAAAGCATTTAAAACATTTTTAAAGAAGAAGGAAATCTGACTAACTACTGTGTAGATCATTGTATAAAACGTATAAAGGTTCCACCCTAACTGTCTTATCAGGTCTGCTCTGATGCAGACCTTGCCAACAGTAACCAGTGTTCTGATCCTCTTGGCCGATTGGTTTCCCCTGCTTTTGAATCTCAAGTAGATGAGATTATGGTATTTGATGTAACAATAGTTCATCCTTCTTTATAGAATATTCTATTATATGAACATATCACAAATTGTTATTTAACTCTTCAAGGGCATTAGGGTGAATTTGAGCTTTTATTTTTATAACTTGAAAGGTCAATTTAGGTGCCTTTAAAAAAAATCGTTCAAATTTTTATTTATGTATTTGAAAGGCAAAGAGTAAAGTTCCCATCCGTTGGTTCATTTATACGTATTGTTGTGTGTGTCTTGTGGTGGACGTATGTAGTCAGTTATCTTTTTGAACGGAATTAATTGAGTAGAGCAGTGCTGGTCCTCTATTCTAACCTGTTTTTTTGTTTGTTTGTTTTTGTTTTTATTTATTGGAAACCTAGATCTACAGAAAGGAGGAGAGACAGAAAGATCTTTCAGCTGTTGGGATTCACTCCCTAAGTGGCCATGATAGCCAGAGCTGAGCTGATCTGAAGCCAGAAGCTAGGAGCTTCTTTCAGGTCTTCCAAGTGGGTGCAGGGTCCCAAAGCTTTGGGCCATTCTCTGCTTTTCCAAGTACATAAGTGGGGAGCCCGAAGGAAAGTGGAGCAACTGGGATATAAACTGGCACCCATATAGGATCCCAGCTCTTGAAGGGGTGGATTAGCTGGTTGAGCTGTTTTTACATGTCCATTTTTCTATGTGAAGGATGACATTTCAGGGCAGGTGTGTGACACATAAGATTAAACCACTGCTTAGGACCTGTGGCTGGGGATCACCACATTCTGTGTCAGAATGCTGACTCAACTCCTGGCTGCTCCATGCTTCTGATCCAACTTGCTGCTACTACAGCAGGCAGTGGATGATGGTCCAAGTATTTGGGTTTCTACCACATCTGTTAGTGATCCAGGTGGAGTTCTGATTCCTAACTTTGACTTGGCCCAGTCCTGCCTGTTGCGGGGAGTGAACAGTTGGGGAATAAACGAAGGATAAAAGATCTTTTTCCTCTCCTTTCTTCTCCGCTTTCCCCTCTCCTCTTGTCTGCTCTTACTCTCTCCCAACCTATCATAGAAATCTTGTAAAAAGTGGCATTTCTGCTTTTGAAAATCTATAGTGTATTGTTGGTGCTATCATTTCCCCCCTATATTCAATCATGTAATGAAAATCCTAAATTATTTTACTTTCTTTACTGAAATTTCCTTGATAAATTTAAGCATTTGTATTACTGTAAATGTTGAGTATAATGAGGCTGTGTGTTGTGGGGGAAAGTAGGGTGAGTAATCCAATGGCCTTCATCTCCAGCTTGTAGTCAGAAAATTATAGAAAAGTACACTTGAAGCTAACTGAAATGATACGCAGAAGTGATAGTGCAGGTGGTTAAAATGATGAACTTTGGAATCAGTTGAAAACTTCCTAGCTACACACTCCAAATGGTTTTTCTTCTTGATGTCTGTTACTCTCATGAAACATGTAGAGGCTGAGGCAAAATAATCTGGTAAGCACTTTTAGTGCTGTCTAACACAAGATGTGTTAAATATTAACTTATTGCAGTTATTTCTAGAAAAATAAGGAACATAGGTGGCAATATGTGTTATACCTATAGCAATTTTTTTTAACCAAGTAATTTTTTTGTAAACACAGTCCGGAGAGAGGGAAATAAGGGGGGAGGGAATAAAGAAAGAGAGAGAGAGAGAGAGAGAGAGAGAGAGAACAAAGTGTGGGGGTAGCAGGGCAGAGGTCTTCCGTCCACTGATTCCATTCCTCCAAATGCCTTAGTAGCCAGAGCTGGGCCAGGCCAAAGCCAGGAGCCAGAACTTCAGCCAATTCTCCCTGTTGAGTTGCAGCGACCCAAGTGCGTGAGCCATCATGGATTAGCAAGAAGGTAAATGAGAAGCAGAGTAGTTAGAATGTGAGCAGGTACTCCGATACAGTGCATAGATGAAGCAGTGGCTGGGCTTACTGTACACTCTACCCACTCTAGGCATTTTATTTATTTAATTAAAAAGAGATGGAGAGTCAGAAATCTTCCATCAAATGGGATTCTGTCACAGCTGGAGCTTACTGCACTGACAAACCCAGTCCCTCTTTTTGTTTGTTTGAAGATAAATTTTATTAACTTATCTGAAAGGCAGAATGGTGGAGACAGTATGAGACATAAAAGTTCATTCTAATGACCTCAGCAGCCAGTACTGGGACAGCTGAAGCCAGGAGCTAGAAACTTTATCTGCGTCTCCCACATGGTTCCCAAGCTCTCAAGTTCTTTGACCATTTTTTGCTTCTTTCTAAGGCACATTATTAGCGGGAAGATGGATGAGAAACGAAGTAATCATGGCTTAAATTGGCACTTCCACATGGAATGTGGCATGCATTCTTTTTTTCTTTTTTAATAGGCAGAGTTATAGTGAGGAAAGGGAGGTCTTTGATCTGTGACTCACTCCCCAAGTGGTGCAGATGGCCAGAGCTGGGCCAGGCTGAAGCAAGGAGCGAGGAGTGTGTTGAGTGTCACACTTATGTGTGGGGGCCCGAGCACATCAGCCATCTTCCACTGCTTTCCCATGTTAACATGCTCCCTGCTAACATGCCTGGGACTTGAGTCAGCACCTGGGACTTGAATCGGCGCTCATGAGGGATGCCAGCACTACAGTCAGTGGCTTAACTTGCTATATCATATCAACTCTGAGGCAATCTTTTTGCTCTGTTAATTTTATTGTCTTTTATTCTTCTGGAAACTCTAATCTTTTCTAACAGTAATTGGCTTGTGTGTCGTGCGTGTATGTATGCATGTTGAATAAGTGAATAAATGAAAATATGTATTCTAAAGAGAATGATGTATGAATTGAAAGAATTAATGATCTGGTTAATTCTCTGATTTCAGGTTTGAGAGGTTAGAAGTGCTGGCTGTCTTTGCCTCCACAGTCTTGGCACAGTTGGGAGCTCTCTTTATACTGAAAGAAAGGTACATGTGTGTATGATACTAATTAAATTTTACCTGTAATATCTTCGAACATTGAAGAATCCAGTGAAGGGTATCTGCTTTAAGGAGTGTGCAAACTGAGAGCAGTAGTGGTGGAGTTTTGATAGTACAGTTTCTTTAGACTTTTATTCCTTATCACATATTTTATTTCTTTGTTTGAATGAGAGATTCTGTCTGACTGGTTCATTTTTAGTCTACATGCCTTGAAACAGATTTGGTAGGGAAAAGCTAGTGGTGCATTTTGAGGCTAATTTGTGAACCTCCTTACCTTGTCCTGCTTATAATCATTGGTTGATTATAATATTCAAAGATTTAACTGTAAAGTGGAATAATTACATAATTAGGAAACATTCCAACTTGATAACATTAGAATGTATTTAGAATGTATTTTCTTTCTTGCAGTGCAGAACGCTTTTTGGAGCAGCCTGAGATTCACACGTAAGATTTTATTTTTGAAATAGCATGTGATTACTGTTATGTTTGATACCCAGTTACTAAGTGATGTATTGTTAAATAAGTTACCTTGTCCAGGATCAGAATGCAAGGTGTGCACTTAGGGTCACTGGTATTTCTAAAGTTCCCAAATCCCATGACTCTGCTTCAGAGTCCCAAGTCGGAGAGGTTCTTATGCTGTGCATGGAATAAAATAGACAGCTGTTCTGTTTGGCTTCATGTTTCTCATTACTTCCAGATGCAGCTCCTGTGCTTCTGTAATGTTGTATTTGACCTCCCAGATCTTCCTGTAGCACCTACGGAAAATAAAATTATCTGTCAACCACATAGTTGCCAAAGGTGTGCCTCTTATCTTTTCTGATCAGTTTAATTCAGAAAATTCTGACATGTCCTGTTGATTATCAGCCAAACATTATTACCATTATACGAATTTACTGATAAGTAATTATACACAGAAAGGTACTATTAAAATGAACAGTTCTTTTTTGTCCTGGGAAGAACTGCAGTAGAGCCAGGACATGGATGATGTGGAGCTTTGGAAACACTAACTCCTGGAGCACTCGCCTCTGCCGACCCTCGGCTGTCTCCGTGTGCATAGTGGTGTTTCCCAGGAAACAATCAAGGTCAATGTTTATCGTTGCTTTCAGGGGAAGATTATTGGTTGGCACTTTTGTGGCTCTCTCTTTCAACCTGTTCACGATGCTTTCTGTTCGGAATAAACCTTTCGCCTATGTCTCTGAAGGTATGATTTTGTTTACTGTTAATTTAAAAATGCAGTTAAATGTATTGCAGTTTTGTTTCATTGTCTTATACATCATTAAGAATGTATATTCTGAAGAGAATGAATCCAGATCAAGTCTTTAACCAGAGAAGCATAAAACAGAATCTTATTAATTCAATCTTTAAAATAATTGACTAATAATAAACAGGACTGACATTAAACTAAGTGTGTTGAGAAATTGCATTTCCAAGTAATATGCATGAGAGTTTAGATGTGTATTGTACCTCAGGAAATCTGTCATAAAGATTTTATTTTATTATTAAGGTTTTATTTATGTATTTGAAAGGCAGAATTACAGAGAGAGATGATCTTCTATCCTCTGGCTCACTCCCAAATGGCTGCAGTGACGCGGCTTGACCAGGTCAAGGCCAGGAGTCAGGAGCTTCTTGCAGGTCTCCCTGTGTGAGGCAGGGCCCAAGCACTTGGGGCATCTTTCATTGCTTTCCAAGACATTAGCAGGGAGCTGAATCAAAAGTGGAGCACTTGGGACCTGAATCTGTCATCATATGGGGTGTTGATCTCAAAAGTGATGGCTAAACGTGCTTCACTACAACTCTCACTGTAACTATTTTAGAAGCATAAATATTCCTAGAATAATTGATATGCTATTGAAAACAATCATACTTTAGGTATATATCTCAATGTAGCAAAAACTGTTTTCTTTTGAAATACTTTACAAGGTTTTGCAAGCTCAGTTTGGTGCATTTCAGAGGTCTATGTTTATTGACCTGTTTCAGTAATCTCAGTGTTTTGGAATAATTTTAATTCATTAAATGATTTTTCCACTAATTTGGATAAGTGGGGTGTGTTCACAGATTGTGGTTTGAAATGCCAGGAAGCTCAGGTGGAAGAGGGTTGTTCACAGATGACCACAGTTGTAAACTCTGGGATAAAGATGAAAACATTCTGAAATCCTCTACAAGTTTAGACAGTTTCGTGTATGCTGTGGCATTAGTTTCATCATGAGTTAAACAAGTACTGCATGTACTAGAAAACTGAGTAATGGTAACTTGAGAAAAAACTTCATGTAAGTTGCAAAAATAATGTAATATTCTAGAATTTTTTAAAAATTGCCAAGACCTAGAAATCCTGTCTTTTGCTTAAGATCAGAAAGGCTTAAGAAAGAAGTGAGAGTACTGGTAATCTTAGAAATAACATGTGTTAACATGATTTTTTTTTTTTACAGATTTATTTATTTGAAAGGCAGAGAGACAGAGAGGGAGTTAGAGAGAGAGCCTCCTTTTGCTGATTCTTTTCCCGAAGGGCAGCAAGGCTGGGGCTAGGCCAGGCTAAAACCGGGAGCCTAGAGCTTTGTGCAGGTCTCCGCATGGATGGCTGGGTCCCGGGTACTGGTCTTCTGTGCTCCTGGGTGCACTGAGCTGGAAGCTGAGCCCCGGGAAACTGAATTGGTGCTGTAATATGGGATGCCAACGTCACAGGCAGCGCCCTGGCTAGCTGTTTCATAATTCTTGCCATACATGTTAACATTTGTACTTTATTATTATTTTTAATACACATGCATGTGTATCACTTAATGTATTTTTACTTTTCATTTTCTATATAATACTGTCTTCACTGTCTTTTTTATCAAATTACATGTCTGCTTTTCTGAATATTTAGGATTAATTCCCAAAGAATTGGGAACTGAACTGGATTAAAAAAAATATTTTTTGGAAAGGCTTTTTTTTTTTTTAAGATTTACTTTTTTTTTTCCAATTGAAAAGTCAGATATACAGAGAAGAGAGACAGAGAGGAAGATCTTCCATCTGTTGATTCACTACCCAAGTGGCCACAATGGCCAGAGCTAAGTCAGTCCGAAGCTAGGAGCCAGGAGCTTCTTCTGGGTCTCCCACGCGGGTGCAGGGTCCCAGGACTTTGGGCCATCCTTAACTGCTTTCCCAGGCCACAGGCAGGGAGCTGGATGGGAAGTGGAGAAGCTGGGATTAGAATTGGCACTGATATGGGCTCCCAGCGGGTCGAGGTGAGGACTTTAGCCACTAGACTACTGCACCAGGCCCATGGAAAGGCTTTAGATTTTCTTTTAAATATTTAAATTTTGTAACAATTATTTTCTTTTTAATGATGTTTATATAGTTGAGAAGGATGCGTGTCTGTGTGGACCACCAATTACGGTGGGGAAGGTCAAGGAATGGAGGAAAGTGGATGAAGCTATCTCCAGCCTCCTTTTTTCTTCCTGTATCTGGAGTAAGCAGGAAGAGAAAAACAGAGAGCTTCTCCCAGCAGCTCAGTCCTATCCATACCTGGGAACGAGGGGCTGCCACCCCATGTCATCCCAGAGTCCCTGATGTGGAGCATGTTCCGAGTGTACTACCTAAGTGGTTTGGATAGTTCTGAGACACTGTTGGTTGTGTTGTTCCGAGGTTGAGGAAATCCTTCCAAGGTCCATTGGCTGACATAGTCCACCTCAGAGTCTTGATTCGTCCTGACACTCACTGTCAGATCTTGACCAGGAGAGTTGTCCAGTTTTCTGCCCTCCATGGTACTAGACATACTCTGCAGGCTTCAGTGAACTGGCTATCATGTCCCCCATATGCATGTGGGCATGTGGACATGTGGGCATGTGGGCATGTGGAAGGGTTTTTGATGAATGTTGCCAGATTTAGTTTTCAGAAATGTTTGTTTGGATTTGTATTAGCTGGGAATGAAGGTTCCCAGAAATATCAAAATCCATGTTACTGTGTAAAATGTTCGAGGAAAATGATGTTGAGCAATTTGTGCATGCCAGCACTTGATTGATGCTTTCCATAGAGTAGCCTGTTTAATTCTACCTGTACCCAGATATGGCCTTATTTGCATTTTACTGTGACATACACAGAGAGATTAGATCACTTGCCCGAGGCCACATACACGGTAACAAGAAGAACTTAGATTTCAAACCAGGAATTACGACATTAGGTCTTCTCTGAAGTGCTCTGCTGTACTTTTCGATAGATTTCGTAGTCTTTTTTTTATAGTGTAGTAGTCATTAAGACGTGACCAAGTACACCAGCCTTCCTCTCCAAGTGTCTTGGATTATTTCCTGGCTTCACAGTGACTCCGGCTTCCGGTGGCATTGCTGCTACTTCAGGTAGCTGCGTGCCTGCAGCCCGTGTGGGTGGCAGCGCCTGCACACGGTTCTGGGCTTCTGGCTTCAGTCCAGTGCAGATACAGCTTTTGTGGGTGTTTGGGAGAGCACTGTGAATGGCAGCGCACTCTCTGTCTCTACATTTGTCTCTCTGCCTCTCAAATAAATGACAAAAATAAACTGATGTTTCTGCCACACTTTGGGATAAATGGCAGAGGATCCTTGAGCCACGAGGCTTCTTCCAGGGACAGACATGAGTAGAGAGGTGATGGAAGGAATAGCTGATACCCTGTGATTCCCTGTCAGCACACAGTGAGGACCCTGCTTCCCGGTGCACAGGACTCTGACAGTTCACATGCATAGTACCAGTGACACAGAAGCTTGCCACTTCCTTCAGCTCAACTGTGTAGTTGCTTGACTTAATGTCTGAAACACATAGAGGAGAGAAAGTCCCAGATTTTGTCCTCTTGTAAAGCTATAGAGTCACTGACAAACTTTTTAATGAAAGAACTCAAGTGATTCTGGTGGCGATTTTATTCTTTGTAGATAACCTAAGTGTTTTCTTCTTAAAGCTGCCAGTACGAGCTGGCTTCAGGAGCACGTTGCAGATCTGAGTCGAAGGTAAGGTCTTACAGAGCGCCTTGGGATCACACTTGAAGGAATGCACAGGGGTGTGTCTGCCTTAGGCTGCTGTGCGAATCCTCCTGGTCCATCCTACCCTTTTGTTTAATTGGTGATGTAGAAGTGCCCTTTCCAACTTGAGGAGCAGTGTGGCTAGGCCCTCCTTGCTGTTCCGGGGTAGTAAAGCAGCAGTGGGCGTCGGCAGTTTTGGTCAGTGTGATGACGGCTGTTGTTTTTCCTAGCTTGTGTGGAATTATTCCAGGACTCAGCAGCATCTTCCTTCCCCGAATGAATCCCTTCGTTCTGATTGACCTTGCTGGAGCATTTGCTCTTTGTATTACGTATATGCTGATTGAAATTAAGTAAGTATTTTTAATTGCTGTCAGGTGTTTTTCAGTTTGGGGTGCACTGACTTTTAAGGGTATCATGAAGATGAGTAAGGATCAAGCATCTAGTATTTTTGCTTTTGACCTGTGTGGCTTTGGTTAAGTCTTGTCCTCAAGTGTCTTCCTCTAAAAATTAGAAAGATTGGGTTCAACAAGTTCTCACCCCAATCTAGTGCAGACTGGAAAATAAAATTCGCTGATGCTGACCTGATGAACGAAGCAGAAGGCAGTGAAATAGCTGCTGTTGCTGAGAAGGGAGGATAAAAGGAAATTGATGTGCAGCAATTTTTAAAAATAAACCTTTTTAGGGTCCAGCGCAGTGGCCTAGTGGTTAAAATCCTCACGTTAAACATGCTGGGATCCCATATGGATGCCAGTTCTAATCCCAGTGGCCCCACTTCCCATCCAACTCCCTGCCTGTGGCCTGGAAAAGCAATCGGGGATGGCCCAAAGCCTTAGGACCCTGCACCTGTGTGGAAGACCCAGAAGAGCTCCTGGCTCCTGGCTTTGGATTGGCTCAGCTCCAGCCTTTGCGGTCGCTTGGGGAGTGAACCATCAGAGAGAAGCTCTTCCTCTCTGTCTCTCCTCTGTATATCCGCCTTTCCAATAAAATAATAAATAAATAAAGCTTTAGAAAAATAATAAACCTTTTCAGGAAATGCATGTTACACTCACTTTAAGCTTAAAAGTTTGTGACACACATTTCTTTTGCCCTTTAAATATTAGGATTTATTACAATCTCCTCAGTTTTTCTTTGTTTTACATAGTGCCCTTAAGGAAATCACCCAGCCGTTTGGTGTTAGTGGACAGTGCTGTGAGATTCCCACGTCTCTGGCCCCACCGCGTGTCTTCCCGTAGGTGTGTCTTCTAACTTGTATCCGTTCCAAGCTGAGCCCGCGTAGGCCTGCCCCCAGAGCATTTTTTTCTTTTGCTTCCCATCTCTGTGAATGCTACTCTCATCGATTCTAGTGCATACGTTTATAAATTGTTTGAAAGCATAATAGCAGAAAGTCTATCCTTGTTAAACATGTTTTTTGGTGACGTGAAGCACATTTCTGTTTTGTGCTGCCGTCATTGTCTATCCCCAGAGCCTTTGTGCTTCCTGATGAAACTGTCTGTCCACTAGATCCTAATTCCCGTTGTCCCCGGTTACCACCATGCTTCTTTCTGTTTATTTGGTTGAGTTTGCACTAGACAATTATAATATATATAATTATATATATGCAGATATATAATTGTCTGGTGGTTCTTTTATATTTGACATAATTCATTTAGGGTAATGTTTTGAAGGTTCATATATGTCGTCAGAAATCTTCCTTTTTTAAGTTTGAATAACATTTGATTAAATGTACATAGCACATTTTTTAATTCATCCACTCATAGGTGTTTGGCTGCTATAGTTGGAGCTGAGGCAATTCAAAACTGGAAGCCAGGAGCTTCCTCAACGTCTCCCCATGAGTGCAGGGTCCCAAGGACTTGAGCCATCTTTCCCTACCCTCCTAGTCCACAGTCAGGGAGCTGGGTTGGAAATGGAGCAGCCAGGACATAAACCAATGCTCACATTAGATGCCGGCACTAGTAAACAGAGGATTAGCCTGTTGAGCCACCACACCAATCCCTGTTTCTGATTCTTGGTGATAATAAATAATGCTGCTGTATGCATGAGTGTGCACATCCAGTTTTAGTCCTTGCTTTCAATTCTTGGGGTAAATACCTAGAATTGGAATTAATGGATCATGTGTCAGTTCTGTGTTTCATTTTTAAGAGAACATTAGCACATTCTTGTTTAAACTTTTATTCATTTGCAAGGCAGAGAGATACAGAACCAGATGGAGGGTTATCTGCCACCTGCTGGTTCACTCCTCAAATGCCCACAACAGCCCAGGCTGGACCAGGCTGAAGCCAGCAGCTCCAGCAGCCTTCTCAGAGGGGCGCTAGCAACTCAAGTAGTTGAGCCATCTCTGCTGCCTCCCAGTGGTTTTGAGAGGAGCTCTCTCAGAAGGTAGAGGCAAGACGAGATGCCAGGCTGTGTGCTGTGGTGTGTAGGCATCCCAAACAGTGTAACCACTGCACAACAGTGTCCGTCCACCCCATAGGGCTTTTGGTGTTGTTTTGTTTTAGATTTAGTTGCTTTTATTTAAAAGGCAGATTTACAGAGGGAAGGAGAGACAGAGATCTTCCATCTGCTGGTTCATTCCTCAAATGGCTGCAGCGGTCAGAGCTGCTTTCCCCAGACCACAAGCAGGAAACTGAATGGGAAGTAGGGCAGCTAGGACACAAACTGGCACCCATATGGGATCCTGACACTTGAAGGAAAATGTCCAGCCAATGGATCCCTTGTGCCAGGCCCAAGTAAATATATTTGAAATCCTTGTAGCTGATAAATAGGTTAACTAAAAAATACACGATGGAGCCTGGCATGATAGCTTAGTGGCTAAATCATCACTTTGCGTGCGCCAGAATCCTATATGGGCATTGGTTCATGTCCCGGCTATTTTACTTCCCATCAGCTCCCTGCCTGTGCCCTGGGAAAGCAGTAGAAGATGGCCCAAAGCCTTGGGACCCTGCATCTGCAGGAGAGACCAGAAAGAAGCTTCTGGCTCCTGCTTCAGATCAGCTTAGTTTCAGCCCTTGTGGCCCCATGGGGAGTGAACCAGCAGGTGGATTTTTCTGTTTGTCCTCTCTGTAAATCTGCCTTTCCAATAAAAATAAAGAAATCATTAAAAATAAAACAAATTAAAAAAAGGAAAATGCAAGATGGGGAAATCTGTGTCTCTTACCACACAATTTAGCAGTTACTTTTCCATTGAACTTGGACAAGAAAGGATTGTATAGGTGATATGGTTTTTCCTGAGATGTGTAGTGGCCATTTGTGATGCAGAGTCCCATCTCCTGAGACTGTTAGTGTTCAGTTAGGGTGCCTGTGCGACGTGTCTCCTAGGATTAAGCATTATTGTTTCCTTCCAGTAATTACTTTGCCGTGGACACCGCCTCTGCGATAGCCATTGCCCTGATGACCTTTGGCACCATGTACCCCATGAGTGTGTACAGTGGGAAAGTGCTGCTCCAGGTAAGGCTCCTCCTTCACAGCGCATGCCTCCTCTCAGCCATGTTCCCCCGCAGAGGAAGAAATAAGGTGTGTGTTTGAGGCTGGGCCGTCTCTTGCTCTGCTTCTCAAATAAGCAAAAAGGAAGGAGACACAAGGAAAAAGAAATTAATTCAGATCACCACCTCTGAATTGCCATCATTAGAACAAGGGGAAATCCCACTAGCTAGCAAAATGAACATTAATCTTGATGTTTCAAGTAAAAAAATAGGTGGTCACAGCAGGGCTGGGCCAGGCTGAAGCCAGAAGCCAGAGGTCAGGAACTGCTTCTGGGTTTCTCACGTAAGTGGCAGGGCTGAAGTGCTTAGGCCACATTCTACTGCATTTCCCAAGGCATTAGGAACTGTACTGGAACTGAAGCAACAATGACACCAACTGGCACTCACAGGTTTCTGGCATTAGAAGCTTGGGGGCTAACCTTATTGTGCTACAGTGTTGGGCAAGAGATTTGCATTTCACACTTAAAATGAAAAACGGCTTATCGGGAATGCGGCTATGGCATAGCGATTCAAATGCCTGCAGTCCACAGCAGAGTGTCTCGTTTTGAATCCTGGTTCCAGCTTCCTGCCAGTTCAGACCCGAGGAGGCAGCGAGTCAGCTGGGGACAATGGGCTTCTGCCTTGCACCTGGGAGACTGGGATGCTTTCTGGCTCACACTAAACTACAGTCCAGCCGCGACTGTCATGAAATTTACAGAGCAATTCAGCAAACAGGAGCTTTCTCAGTTGCCATCTCTATTTCTGCAACTAAAAAAAGAAGAAAAGTCCTTACTTGCTGAAACAATAGGAATATCTGCAGATAAGTTCCTGAATGGGAAGCTGGTTTCCCAGCATGCATGTGTAAACTGTGCTGTTCTTCTTACTGCCCTTGTGCCTTTTTTAAAACTTGGGAGTCATGGTTTCATCTTCAGAAATAATAATAGAAATAAGATAACATTTGTAAAGTGATACTATCTGGGGTCAGCGTTGTGGTAGAGTAGGCTAAGCTTTCGTCTACCACTCATCTACAACCTGTAGGCTAAGGATGCTAAGGTTCTAGCATCCTGTATGGGTGCTGTTTCGGTCCTAGAGCTGCTCTACTTCTGATTCAGCTCCCTCCTTATGATTTGGGAAGGCAGTGGCGGATGGCTCAAGCTCTTGGGCCCCCACACCCTTGTGGGAGACCCAGAAAGAAGATCCTGGCTCCTGGCTTCGGATCAGCTCAGCTCTGGCAATTACAGCCACTTGCGGAGTAAACCAGCGGGTGGAAGATTTTTCTGTCTCATTCTCCATCTTCTCTCTGTCTTTAAAATGGAAATGAAATACACATTTTTTAAAAAAACTATAATGTTCTATATAGATTTTTATTTTTTAGGTCATTGAAGATTTTTGTTGTTTGGTTCTAGCACACGTAACTCATCCTTGAAATTAAAAAAATGAGAATGGATGAATTATTTTTTTTCATCCCAGGCAGGAGCCAGGAACTTTTTCTGGTTCTTCCACATGTGTACAGAGACCCAAGGACTTAGGCCACTGCTTTCCCAGACCATTAACAGGGAACTGAGTCAGAGGAGGGTTGGCCAGGACTTGAGCTGACACTAATGTACGATGCCAGTTCTGCAGGCAGTGGCCCTGCATGCTGCACTGCAGTGCTGGCCTCTAGATGTATTGTTAATGGTGCCCGAGTGCAGTAGGTTGAAACCCTTCTTTCCACGCCACCAGCATTGTGCCTGTAGTGGCAGCATCCTGTGGGTACCGGTTCATGTCCCAGCTGCTCCGTTTCTAATCCTGCTCCCTGCTAGTGCGCCTGGAAAAGCAGTGGGAGATGGACCAAGCATCTGGGACCCTATGTTCCAGAGGAGAAACCCACATGGAGTCAGGCTCTAGCTGCGGCCTGGCCCAGCTGTTGTAGCAATTTGAGGAGGGCATAAGCTAATAACGATCTCTGTCTCTTTGTCCCTCCTCCCCACAGCCGACTCTGCCTTTCACATAAAGAAAATAGATCTTTAAGGGAGAAATTGTTCTTCCTTGAAGTCTTGCTAGGGCACAAGTCAAAGCAGTGCCTGCTTCAAAGTCTCCTTGTGGGGGTTTCGGAATCATTGTTGGAGACTGTTTCTTTCTAGTTTGTGTTTGATATTTTACTTTATTTTTTTCTCCAGACAACACCTCCCCATGTGATCGGCCAGTTGGACAAACTTATCAGAGAGGTAAGATGGAATAGTAAATGTCATCATTTTAATTTGTATAAGAATTGGAAAGATGAGTGTATATAGTACTTTATTAGACCCTGTATAGAATTTTATTCTGAGGTGGTTCTTCATAACGCGGTAGAAGCTGTAACACAGTGGCCAAATAATTTGAATAATTTGAATAATTACTCATTTTGATAATCTCATTCATTGGAAAAAGATGTGACAGCTAGTGATGCAAAAACCAGCCTGTGGCTCTGCAATTGAAGGCCACTTTCACGTACTGTGGCTTTGCCACCTAACGTCTTAGTCAGTTTGATTTGACTTTGTGCTGTTAAAGAAACTCCATGTGCTAATGAATAAGATAATTGAATTATTGGGATTTTGAACCTGTGTTAAACTCGTGCTGGTCATGATCACAAGGGCCACTTTTACCAGCCTCTCTCAGCTGGTGAAGCTGGGCCTGCCACCGGACAGGAGCAGCACATTGCGTATCTGGCCTCGGAGTTTCCTGTTGGTCCGCATCTATCCTATGTTATAAGGAAATTCAGAGAAAGAAGTGTTCTAGAAGACAAAAAATCTGGCTGTGTTAGCCTGCGTGCCCTCAGACCCATTTGATGTTGGAAGCTCAGTGGGTCTCGTTAGCACTTAGGCGGAAGAGAGCGCACGTACACAGCAAGCGGATACCACAAATGCTGGCATAAATGTGTGGGACATTGCTAACATTATATGAACCATACGGGGCACAAGTTGTGCTGCAGCGGGTTAATCCATGAACCAGTGATGGGCAGTCTCCCTCTGTCTCTCCCTTCTCCCAACTCTGATTGTGATAAAGAAATCTTGAGGGGAGAAAACCATGCATGTTGAAGTAGTGCAAGGGGAGATTGAGAGTGGATAGTCAGGGCCTCATTTACAGAGATTGCTGCAAATCAGTTGGGATGACTTGGTCATGGTCAGAACTGGGCCAGCAGGAGTGCGGTCTTGAGTGGTCTGGGATTTGTTTTGGCTAATGAGTATCCTTTGCAAATGTGGATGTGTCATTTCTACCCTCTGTCAGGCCTGTAATATGACTGAACTATGTTGGATGTGTGACCACTGTGATAACCTATTTGTGTGGTTTTGATTAGGTGTCTACTTTGGATGGAGTTTTAGAAGTCCGAAATGAACATTTTTGGACCCTTGGTTTTGGCTCATTGGTATGTCTTCTATGTATTAACTTTAGCTGTAACTTAAAACACACTTTCAGTTTTTGAATCTGCAAAGATATTTCTTTAAAAAAAAAATGAGAAGATCCACCCAGCCTCCCACCCATCCCAGGGTCCCTGACACTGGGCATGCTCTGAGAGTACTGTTCAAGAGGTTTGATAGTTCAAGAGTTCTGAATTGCTGCCAGTCATACCACTCCAAGCACGATGAAATCTCCAGAATCCACTGGCTGACATAGTCCACCTTAGTATGTCCACTTGTTCAGATTTTCACTGCCAGCACGTGGCTGGGGTAGATGATAGATTTGTTCTGTTCTGTCCACCATCCTCTGTTGTGGTACCAGGTGTCCTCCGCAGTTCTGATGAACTGCCATCTCCTCCATGTGCACCTGGATATGCTGTCCACTGCTGCATCTGAACCTCTGAGGTGGCTCAGCTCTGACACATGCACTCCACAGTCAGACCATGGAGCCTGAACTTCTCTTCATAGTTGGGTTTTGAGATCAGCAGTTCAATTGGAGAGATCCCCAAAGAAACTTCGTTTGAGGTGATCCCAGACCTGATCCTTGTGTATGTATGTCAGTACAGTGTCTGGCAGAGTCCATTGCCCCAGTCTACTTATACACATGCTGGTTGCAATTGCTGGGTCAGTTCTGTTTCCACCCCTGTCTTCCACACAAACCAATGGATATTGTAGTTCAGCCTGATTCTGCCCACCACACACTCAGCTCTCCCACAAACCAGTGGGAGCTGCAGCCTAGTCTGAGCGACCCACAATAACCCCCACCAGGCCCGCCCCCTGCACTGTTTCTCGTGCTTGCCAGTGTGTACAGCGGGCTGGTCCAGTCTGTCCCACATCTCATTCATCTCCAGGACATGTCAGTGAGCACTAAAGTCTAGTTCGGCCCAAACAGCCTCACTATTCAGCCCGCACACCTGCCAGTGAGTGCCACTCTGTCGAGCGATACCTCACCCCAGTCCTGGTTTTCATGCTTTCCATTGGGAGTATAACCCAAGAGGGAGCTACCCATTAAATTTCCATACTGGGCCCACTCCCACTCCCAGATAGTGCACTTTCTGGATGGTTCTGCAGTGTAAGTTGACAGAATTAGGCCCCAGTTTAACTTGACAGCTTTGCCCCCATTCCCCCCTGGTTCTCACATGTGCTGGTTGGGGGCTGCGGCCCAGTCTGGCATGGCTCCCTTGCCTCAGCATTTGCCACTGGGTGCTGTAGCATGACTTGGCCCGGCCTTCCCCCAATTCCAGCTCAGGCTGGTGTGGGTTACAGCCTAGCCCAGCCCAAGCAGCACCCAGTCCCAGCCATAATGTGTGCTGGTGTGTGTTGCTACCGAGCCTGGCTTGACCCATACTCTATCCTGGTGCTTGGATTCACCAGTGGGTGATGTGAACTGGTTCATCCTGGTCTGTCCCCGACCTGTGCCAAATGTATGCCGGTGGGTACCTTTCCCTGGCCTGGACTGGGCTGCTCCCTGTTGTGGTTCTTGTGCTCACCTGCAGGGACTGTGTCCCGACAGTGGAGTTCCCCAAGCTCCTCCATCAGACCCCCCCAATGCCAGATATCATGCACACCAGTGGGTCCATGAGCCAGCCCTACTTAGTCTACCTCCTGTCCTGGCAGGAACATTTTCACAAATGTTTTATGTAATATAAATATATACTGATATATTTATAAATATACATATTCATACAAATATGCTTATAGATATATAAATATAATGCGTAATTACACGTATATGTTTTCAAATAATACATTGAAAATTTAGTAGCTGTTTTCTTTATATTTTAATCTCATTCCTAATATTTTCTAATTCTGGCTTGTGTTCTTGTTTCATATCTTTTGACTTATTTTGAAAAAAAGTTAAGTTTTTACCTATTTTTTTAGTGATTTTTACATTATATATATTTATGTATCTTAACGTTTTATATTTTATGTTTGTTTTATATTATCTTCTTTTAATAACTGCGCATGCCTCAGTTCTTGTCTGTTCATTTTTATGTGATCTTGGTTTTCCTGAAAATCAGGACAGGTTTAGGACAATGGCTCTAAATCTATGTGCCTAGGGCGCCCTCTTCGGGTGGTTTTGTAAAATGAAATTTTTTTCTCTGGGGCCTCATTGTCTATCTCGGTTTCTCTTGCACTGCCTGACTGTTTCTTCTTAATGCCGTGCCTTTGCGGGTTGCTTCTGAAGGCTGAGACCATTCCAGCCCTTGATCTTACTGCAAACCTGGTGCCCTCAGGCACTTGATGTGCAAATCCCCTTCTGGTATCAGATATTTTCCTCAAAGTGGCTGTTCCAGACTTCATTAACTAGTTGGCTAAAGATGGACCAGTGACCACTGGCTTTCTTCTGATTCCCCAGCGCATACTTTGGTACTGTGTATATCGTAACATGTGAGTTTGAAGTTTTATAGATATATCAGACTTTTTGCATTTTTATAAATGCTATCCATAGATTTTTAATTTTTAAATCTCAGGTTGTCTTTTTACAAGAATATCTGGAGCATTTTTCAAATTTCTAAAAAGATGTAACTATGGGCCTGGTACAGTAGCCAGGGATCCCATATAGGCGCCAGTTCTAATCCTGGCAGCCCCGCTTCCCATCCAGCTCCCTGCTTGTGGCCTGGGAAAGCAGTCAAGGACGGCCCAAAACCTTGGGACCCTGCAGCCGTGTGCACCCATAGGGGAGACTTGGAAGAAGCTCCTGGCTCTTGGCTTCGGATCGGCACAGCTCTGGCCACTGTGGCCGCTTGGAGAGTGAATCAAGAGAGATCTTCCTCTCTGTCTCCTCCTCTCTGTATATCTGACTTTCCAATAAAAATAAGTCTAAAACAAAAAAGATGCATTTGTTCCTTTGAAAGGTAGAGTTAGAAAGAGAGAGAGAGACCTACTGGGTCATTCCCCAAATGGGCACAATGGCTAAAGCTGGGCTAATCTGAAGCCAGGAGCAGCTTCTTGGTGTCACACATGGGAACAGGCACCCGAGCACTTAGGCCAGCGTCGGCTACTTTTTCAGGCACGTTAGCAGGGAGCTGGATTGGAAGTGTAACAGCTGTGACTTGAACCCGTGGCCCTGACCCATAGAGAATTGTGGTGCTGCAGGGGCAGCTATTCATACTGTGCTGCAGCATGCAAATCTGTATCTGAGGTACTAAAAAAAACACATATATTTGTATTATTTGAAAGGCTGAATGGCCGAGAGAGATCTTCCCTCGTTGGTTTGCTTTCCCAAATGGCTACAACAGCCAGGTTTGGGCCAGGCCAAAGCCAGGAGCCAGGAACTAAGCTGTGGTCTCCTGCCTGGGCATCAGGGACCCGAGTACTTGAGCCGTATTTTGCTGCTTTCCCAATTGTTAGCAGGCAGGTGGGTCGGAAGCAGAGCCTGCAGTTTTCCGTCACTTCACAGGTGCTTGAAGAAAATACTTTGACCCAGGAAGGCCAGCGGGGTGGTGGCTGTAGCCGTCCCAGGTCGAGCAGCTCAGGTGCGATGGTGCCACCGGGGCGTGAGCTCTGCTGTTCTGTATTGACCTTTCAGAATCATAGATTTAGAACTAAATGAACTGTTGTATTTTTGTTCTTTTGTTTTATGATGATGTTTTCTTTTTGAAAGTCTGAGTTTTGTTTAGAAACAAACCTGGAATGGCTATTGGACATCTGATTTAAGCTTATTTTATTCACTATATAGTTTAAGGTTTTTTAGGTTTTTTTTTTTTTAGGCTTATTTTCATCCTACATGGATTTCTCTCTCTCTTTAGATATTTTTTAAAGATTTATTTATTTATTGGAAAGTCACATATACAGAGAGGAGGAGAGACAGAGAGGAAGATCTTCCGTCCGATGATTCACTCCCCAAGTGAGCACAATGGCCGGTACTGTGCCGATCCGGAGCCAGGAGCCAGGAACTTCTGCCAGTTCTCCCACACGGATGCAGGGTCCCAAGGCTTTGGGCCGTCCTCTACTGCTTTCCCAGGCCCCAAGCAGGGAGCTGGATGGGAAGTGGAGCTGCCAGGATTAGAACCGGCGCCCATATGGGATCCCGGCGTGTTCAAGGCGAGGACTTTAGCCCCTAGGCCTTGCCACCGGGCCCATCTTTAGATATTTTAAAAACCCATAAATCATTTTATTAACTCTTTATGTTGGTAATCACCAGTGAGTGAGCTCTGAGAAATAGCAAGATATTAAGCTTTCTCTTACTTAATAAAAACAAATCAAGCGTGTGTACAGATCGTTACATCAAAGGCTTAGTTCCAGTGGGCTTTGCAGACTGATCCTAAGCGAGCTCTTACAATTGTCCCCTCCTAGGCTGGGTCAGTGCACGTGCGAATTCGGCGGGATGCAAATGAACAGATGGTTCTCGCTCACGTGACCAACAGACTCTACACGCTAGTATCCACTCTGACTGTTCAGATTTTTAAGGATGACTGGAACAGGCCTGCCTTACTGTCCGGACCCGTGGCAGCCAGTGTCCTGAACCTGCCCGATCATCACGTCGTCCCCATGCCGCTTCTCAAGGGCTCGGACGAGCTGAACCCTGTCACGTCGACTCCAGCGAAACCCAGCAGTCCCCCACCAGAATTCTCCTTCAATACCCCAGGAAAAAACGTGAACCCAGTCCTGCTTCTGAACACGCAAGCAAGACCTTATGGTTTGGGTCTTAATCACGGACACAGCCCTTACAGCAGCTTGCTTCATCCAGGACTTAGAGTTCCCGGAATTGGAGCAACGCAAGGATTCAGGACTGGTTACGCCAACCTTCCAAGTAGATCTGGAATGAACAACAACAGGCTTGGGCCGCCAAGACCGTGATGTGCTCTGACTTGATTTTGATAAGGAACCCTGACTCCTCGGCCTCAGATGAAGTCAGCTCCACACTGACTGTTCAGTCATGTACTCAGATTGTTAGACACTCGTTGGCTTGTCACATTTCATGAAATCTATAAACTATTTTTATAAGATGTATTTGTGGCAGTGAGATCCTTATAAGTGTCATAGGCTCTTAAGAGGCTTCCTTTCGAAGGCGGTTTTCTCTGAATTTGAACTTTGCTGTCTTTGCTTTTGTAGTTGACAGTGGTGTAACACACCTTTCTAAAAACGGTCTTTGACGGACTAGATCTGTCAGTAGAATGTGATGTTTTCTTCAGCGGGATTTACAAACCTACTTCTTGAATATTGTGCATTTAAGGAAAGGTAAACGAATGTCCATGCAAAAAGAAAGCATCTCTTTTATAGGTTTTCTAAGTTTAAATGCTGTACTTTTCTTTTGAGATCCTTCTGGGTTATGTCTTGCAGAGGAAAGGCAAAAATTTTTTATCAAGAAATTTTCAATACGTTGTCCTATGTGATACAATATAAGTTTTTTACTATAGGACTTTTGTTGAAGTTTTCCTCATTTAAGATTTCAGTACATTTGTACATAGTGTGGTTCCCAGTGTTTATTTTGGTGAAATGAAAACCAAATATGTGAGGATGTGCAACAAGGAAGTCACAGTTTTCTATGTTCTATTTATAATCAAATACTAACATAATGATGGAATTTATCTTTTTGTCACATTTCCATCGGTTGCTGACTTTATAAGTAACTACATAGAATATTTTATAAAATTCCATACATAATATGGAATTGGATATATATTTTTTAAGTTGCATACAGCATTTGACATTACCTAATTTCATCAAAACAAAAAGGACCTTACAGAGTGTGGTGGTAGATATGCTGTGAGAAGTGTCTGATTTCTTGTTTGAATTATTAACTGTAATGAAGTGGGAGAATCCGCCAGGTTATTTTTCAGTGGATTTTACTCTTAGCACTTTCTAACAAGGTCAGTATTTTCCAAAAACATAAGCCACAGCAGTTGCACATCACCCGGGAAACTGTCTCGTTTTATCAAGAGGTTTATAAGGAGGGATTTAGAAAGAGGTTTTGAAAATGGATCCAGTAAGTTCTTAAAGTCCACTATTCCTGGAGTTTTATCATTTGCCCTGCGGGAGGCAGCTCTCTGGAGATTTTTGGGTTGTTTTTTTAATAGAGTTTGTACCAGCTTCTTCAGTTCACACATCCTTTCAATAGGAGCGACACTTCCAAATCCTGTTTTTCCACACCGGAACACGAGCGTCGTGCCAGCCATCTGCCAAGCAGAACTGGAATCACCTATGGAGTCAGTGATCCCATTGTAAATGCCTTCTGCTTTGTGAGAACTTGGTCGTCTTGGCACCTGCAACCCTGTCGGGACATTTGCCATGCTGAGGAGATCCAAGCCCTGCTCCTTTGACCACAGGAAAGTGGAGCAGAAAATATCATTGTCATGAGGGGAACTATGCTTTCTCCTTGTTTACGTCCTCCAATGATACTATACCCATTATTGACCTACTCTTACATGCTAATGTTTTTCCCCAAGTCGATCTTATCTAAATGTGATTTGGGGTCATGGATGAAATCTGAAGATTTGGAGCTCTTTTCCAAGTAATGATTAAGAGGTGTTTGCAGGGCCTGGCGTGGTAGCCTAGTGGCTGAGGTCCTTGCCTACACGTGCTGGGATCCCATATGGGTGCTGGTTCATGTCCCACTGCTCCACTTCCCTTTCAGCTCCCTGCTTATGGTCTGGGAAAGCAGTCAAGGACAGACCAAAGCCTTAAAACCCTGCAGCTGTGTGAGAAACCCAGAAGAAGCTCCTGGCTCCTGGCTTCTGATTAACTCAGCTTTGGCCATTGTGGCTACTTGGGGAGTGAACCAGCAGATGGAAGATCTTTCTCTCCTCTCTGTAAATCTGAATTTCCAATTAAAAAAAAAAACTTTAAAAGAAAAAGAAAAGGTTTTTGCTGCTACCCTACACATGTCGTCTCCATCCTCTGGGGATGTGAAAGGGTGCCGGCAGGGAGCAGGGCGCTGCGGGGCTCCGTGCAAGCTTCGTCAGTGGCCGTTCCGGGGTAACTGCGCACAGCTCTCACCAACAGTGCTTCACTGCACGTTCCCACTGCTGGAGAAAGGACACTGTGGGTAGTAGATTTGTCGGTGACACTGGACCCTGCCAGGTTCTGGCACACTTCTGGATTTGAAAACTAAGGAATTGGGCTAGAGTTGGCCTGCAGGCCGTCGCCTTATTAGTAAATCTTGTTACAGGTTTACCTGAAGCCAGATAAAGAAGGAAATCTGATTTAAATAAGAGGAGGATGCTTCGAAAGTTATTGGAAAGTGGAATTTAAAATACAAATGTATTGAGTGAAGGAAATTTTGAAACCCACGCATATTTGTACTTGGTCCTTGGTTTGTGATTAAGAAGGAGCTCCCTGGAGTGTGCTGAGCCCTGTTGTAGGAGGTCACAGCCGTGATGGAGGAAATACTGGGCTAGAGAGCAAGTGCTTTGGATTGCAGTCCTGATGCTGCCATTTTCGAAGTTGCTGTAGCCATGGACAAGGCTTTGGGATTCGGAGGTTTCTTTTCTATAAAGCTAAATTGGAGAGATTTGTGTTGTGTAGTTGTGTCTATTTGCATTTGTGTGGGGGGGAGTGTGTGTTTGTGTGTGTAGTGTAGCTGTTGTATATTTGTGTAGTTGTGTAGTGGTGTAGCTATGTATTATAGTTGTGTAGTTACATAGTTGTGTAATTGTGTAGTGTAGTTGTGCAGTTATGTAGTTGTATAGTGTTGTGTAGTGTAGTGTGGTTGTGTAGTATAGTTGTGCAGTTATGTAGTTGTGTAGATAGTTGTGTAGTGTTGTGTAGTTGTGCAGTTATGTAGTTGTATAGTGTTGTGTAGTGTAGTGTGGTTGTGTAGTATAGTTGTGCAGTTATGTAGTTGTGTAGATAGTTGTGTAGTGTTGTATAGTTGTGCAGTTACGTAGTTGTATAGTGCTGTGTAGTTGTGTTGTATAGTTATATAGTGTTGTTGTGTAGTTGTTTGGGCCTCCCACACTGATAGCTTTCCACCAGCATAGGCCTCTCTTCCTGGCAGTCCTAACCTTCTAAATCTTGCTCCCTGATCAGCACAGCCAGGATGAAACTAGACACTGTCCTCCGTCATGTCCCCCACCTTGGCCGTCAGGGCCGCACTGCCAGACATGCCATATGCACTTGCTCGTGGTGGTGACCACCACCTTGTTCTTGGAGCGATGGTTCCTGTTGATCAGGCCTTTGGTCTTGGGGCAGCTCTGGGGCTTGAATTGTTGTAGCCATCCAAGAGAAAGCGCACCCGGTGACGCAGCTACATCACCATGAAGGCTCACCTCTGGATCACGTCAGGAACGTCCAGGAGCTGATCACACTGTGTCTCAAGGAGCCCGCCCTGGGCCCTGCTCAGCCGGAGGAAGACAAAACTTGGCCAGAGCTTCGCACTTGCCCAAGGCCCAGAGCATGGCAATTCTCTGCACCAGAGTGGACTTCCCTTTGCCTGACTCACCTCAATGATATAGGGGCTCCGGAGGATGGCCAGCAGGTTCCCTGGGGTCGGTTACTGCCCCCGGCCATGGTGCTGGGCTGTCTGCCACAGCACAGGTTCAGTGAAGGTATTTCTCAAGTTGAAGATCATGTTGATGTCTTGGCCCAGGGGATAGAAGTTCAGGAAGGAAGGCATAAGGTAGAAGAAGTTCTTTAAACTCTGAGCCAACACTTCCCAGTCCCCTTCCCAGAGCGGATGCAAAGGACCTGGCAGAGAGGAGGAGAGGTGAGACCCGTGTCTTCCCGTGTCCCTTGCAAACCGAGGGCTCAGGCGACTGAAGGACAGCGGTGCTGAGAACCTGCCCTTGGGAGCTTTGATTTTCTTGCCCAGTTCTGAGTTGGCCCGAAGTTCCAAACAGCCGCTGCTTTCCCATGGCTCTCTCTCCAGCCCTCCCCGCTTTGCTTTCTGTCGGCCTCTTTCTACCACCTGGTCCGCAGCTGCAGGGGGATGGGAGGAGCTAGTACTCTGGGAAGGAAACCTGAAGGCTGGCTGGTTGAGAATCACAAGATTGAGGCTGGCAAGCCTTCACAGTGACCGGAATCTATCGCGGCAGAGCTTACAAGTTGAGGAAAGCAAAATGACTATTTTAGGAGAAGCAGAATCATTCTCCTTGAGTGAATCAGCTTCTCTTGACCATGAAGCTTGAGTCCTGGGGTAGCCAATGGGTCTCTCACCCACAGGTAGACCAAGGGATGCCAAGAGCGCCCTGCATGGATTAAATCAGTGCAGTTACCATCCCATTGTATTGTGAGACTATGCCGAATCTTAGGGACCCTGGCCCTGGAGTTATTATTTGATTTTGCCACAAAGCAGATTTAGTGGAAGCTTGCCCTGAGAACCTCCGAGTTTTTCCTTAGCACCAATCACAGCCCGACGCCCTGTCCTGGGATGCGGGGTGCTTACTCTCAATGGTCTTGTCTGCTTGTAGAAACAGGTGCCAGCCAACTTACTTTGTCCTTTCAAGTCCTGAAGCTGGGCAGAGTCCCACTTCTCAAGGGATTCGAGAAAGAGGTTGCAGGCCTCTGAGCCCTCTCTCGGCATCCTGCTCCACCTCCTCACAGCGAATGACATTGATTCTTCACAATTCATAACATTCCATACAAACAGATCCTCCGTCATTTGCTTGGTAAGTGCCATGCCATCCTTGGAATGAGGACTTGACTGTTCTCTATGAAGTTCACTAGGAGATGGGGAAAATGCATGTACTTATTTATTCATATAAATATCTGCGGCCGCTGTCAGAGCATTAGCGGTCCTGCCTGTTCCCCTCTGTGCCCAGTTTTGGAAATGCAAAATTTCAGCCCCATAAGGAAAGTTCTGCAATGCTTCCCATCCCTCCCCCCAGAATGACAGGTGAGCACAAGGATTTGCTTTGGTGATGAAAGAAGGCAAATAGCCTTGCTCCCTGGCACAGAAGAACCCGCAGGGAGGTTGGAATGGTCAGATCGTTAAAGGAATGAGTCTGGCCTGGGGTCTGCCACTTGCTCCCATTTGTGTAACTTTGGCAAGTTGTTGAACTTGAAGCCTACTTCCATGTTCTGCTACTAAATGGTCAACAGACTAGCTCTCTGGGGACAACGGTCCTATTTGTATGAATATTCTCATTATGGTCAGCTTCAAGCCAGCCTTGTGTATCATTAAGGAAAAAAAAACAGTCCAGAAAATTTAACCTTGAGGTTTCACAAAATAGAACCAGGTGCAGTACAGCACTGATTCTCGTTCTGTACCCTGAGTTGAAAACAGCATTCATTTCCTTTTTGAATCCGAGCAAGAGAACAAGAGTTCGCATCCACTGATTTATTCCCTAAATGGCCACTACAGGGCTGGGCCAGACTGGTGGGAGGAACCAGAAACTCAATTCGGGTCTCACCCATGGTGGGTGAGGGCAGCTCAGCCACGAGAGCCATCACTGCTGCCTTGCAGGGCCTGCGGTCAAGAGCCAGGGGCAGTTGTGAACTCTGGAACCCAGTATGGTGGATACCTTACCCAGCACCTGAACCGCTGGGCTAAGCACCCACCACAGCAGTATTTCATGTGTGATGCCGTGAGAATTCATTTTTAGTGCCTGTATAAAATTACAGCTCCATACATGTGAGCTGCTATGTCTAGCCATTATTATGTGGTCCCCACTCAAAGAATACTACATTTCTTTTTTAAAGATTTATTTTTATTATTTTTTCATTGGAAAGGCGGATATACAGAGAGGAGAGACAGAGAGGAAGATCTTCCGTCCGATGATTCACTCCCCAAGTGAGCGCAACGGCTGATACTATGCTGATCCGAAGCCAGGAGCCTCTTCCGGGTCTCCCACGCGGGTGCAGGGTCCCAAAGCTTTGGGCCGTCCTCGACTGCTTTCCCAGGCCACAGGCAGGGAGCTGGAAGGGAAGCGGGGCTGCCGGGATAGAACCGGTACACATGTGGGATCCCGGGCGTGCAAGGTGAGGACCTTAACCACTTGCGCCACCGTGCTGGGCCCGGCAGGTGTTATTTCTAAATCACTTAGTTGTCTCAGCAGCTCCAGCTTCCAAATGGACGTGTCCAAGATGGTATTGTCTTGCTGTTAAACTACTCTTCCTTCTTTAAAACCAACAAAACAATCCAGAAACTCTTAACTGTAAGGACTGGAAACAATTAGCTGGTGAATGCCCCTCTGATCATAAAGCCATGGAGATAGGAGCAAGCCAAGCCACACGTGAGTGCTAAGGTGATGTGTGTGTATTATGTCCTTTGAGCAGCTGCAAGTCACAGTGCTACCAGGAGCACGTTCAAAGGCATGTGGTAACATAGGGATTTCTACCTCTGGCCATGCTCC